GCTCTGTGTGTGTGTGTGTGTGTGTGTGTGTGTGTGTGTGTGTGTGTATGTGTATAAATATGCTCTGAGTTCTTTTGGGAAGACAGCCTACATAAAGAGAACTCTGTGCCTTCCTGTGGCTGCAGAAGAGGGTGATGTTCCAGAAGGGCAGGCCAGGGCCTGGCCATGTCCAGACAGTAATTCTGTTAGCACTTAGGATGGGCAGCTCTGAGCAGAAATGTTTGCCTCTGTTTTTGAGCTCAAAGGTCAATGGATTCAGATGGATTACCCTTCACTGAGAGTAAAAAACCAGGGCAGTGGTGTTGTAGCTTAGTGGTAAATTGTGTGTTTAACCTGTAGGAGACCCTGGGTTTGATTCCCAGAACACACACACACACACACACACACACACACACACACACACACACACACACTTAAAAAAGCAACTCCCTCCCAAAAAAAAACCCAAAATGAACAAACAAAAAACTCCAGGCATGGTGGTACATGCCTTTAATCCCAGCACTTAGGAGGCAAAGGCAGGTGGATCTCTTCAGGCTACACAGAGAAACCCTGTCTCAAAAAACCAAAAAAAAAAAAAAAAAACAACAACCCAACAAAACAAAACAACAAAAAACAAAACAAAAAAAACACCATTTTTCTCAGTCAATATTCTTTTGGTCAACACTGTCCTCAGTCCTGAAGATATGGCATTGGGCAACTAAAAACTATTGCTTGTTTCCCTGGAGTTGACATCCTACCAGTGTCCAATTTCTTCCTGGGATGAGAGGCCTGTAAGTAACCTTTTTGAGCATCAGGTAGAGAAGGTGTTCATAGACTCCCATAGAACTGTGGTGAGGATCCTGAGGTACAGTTGGCAGAGGGTTGCTCAGATCCCCGGGGTGGGGATGCCTCTCACTGCTTGGCATGTGTTGCCACATTTGATCTTTAAAAACGTCTTCAGGGAGGCCGAAGAGGTGACCCAGTGGTTAAGAGCACATACTGTCCTGGCACAGTTCGGTTCCCAGGACCCCCATCCCGCAGCTCACAACTGCCTGTAACTCCAGCTCTAGGGGAATCCAGTGCCTACTTCTGGACTCTGCAGACACCTTCATTCACACACATAAACCTACACAGAGATACACAAACACACAATTAAAAACAATGAGGCTGGTGGTGGTGGCACACTCCTTTAATCCCAGCACTCAGGAGGCAGATCTCGGAGTTTGAGAGCCAGCTTGCTCTACAGACCAAGTTCCGGGAAAACTAGGGCCTCGTAGAAGAACCTAGTCTTAAACAAAAGAGCAAACAACAAAAACAATGAAAAGAGCGAACAAAAAACTTCTTCAGGGTCTGAGGAGATGGCTCCGTCTTGTTTGACAAGGTTGAGGGCTGGAGTTCTGACCCCCTGCACGCTTGCAGAAACCCAGACATGAGGCAGGTGAGTGTAATCCTGGTGATGGGGGCAGGGAGGAATGGAGGCTCTCTGGAGCTCACTGGCTAGCTTGGCCTTGGTTCAGCCAGAGGCCCTGTCTCAACAGGAGAACGATAGAGGAAGACACCCGAAGCGGAGCTCTGGTGCTCGCATACACAGATGAACGCGCACGCACGGCTTCATTCTCTGAGAGGACTGGATGGATGTCTGACACACTGTGGGTCTATGAAATAGTGTATGGAATCAAAAACGCAAATCCTCACTGCAAATGCTGTCAGGTGGCTACTATTGCTGCTATCCGTAACAGCAAGTTTCCCTAGGCCACATAGCTCCTTAGTCTGGCTTCCAAGCCAGGGGGTTACTTTGCTGTATTAGTTTAACAAATCACTTCAAATTGAGCTGCTCAAATCATTCTGGAAGACAACTCTTAAAATCAAGGCGTCAAAGACCTCCTGTTCCTCTTTGGAGGTTCCAGGGGGAGAATCAGTTCTCAGGGACTGGGGAGATGGCTCAGTAGGAGATAAAGGTGCTTGCTGCTAAGCATGACAACCTGAGGTCAGTCTCTGGAACCCACATAGTGGAAGGAAATGGCAAATCCTCCAAGTTGTCCTTTGCTCTCTACATGAGCATTGGTGTGCACCCACCCCCAGTAAATAAATATACAAAGCTTAGAAAAGGTCACCCTTAGATGAGTCTTTGGCTCTCTGCTCCCTCATAGTTCCATTCCCTGGTCTCCTGTGGCTCCTCATCTCTTTTCAGGGCCTTTTGAATAATCTAGGCTAGTTTCCCCATCCTTTTTTTTTTGGTTTTTTGAGACAGGGTCTCTCTGTGTAGCTTTGCGCCTTTCCTGGAACTCACTTGGTAGTCCAGGCTGGCCTCGAACTCACAGAGATCCGCCTGGCTCTGCCTCTGCCTCCCGAGTGCTGGGATTAAAGGCATGCGCCATCACCGCCCGATGCCCATCTTTTTTTTTTTTTTTTTTTTCTTTTTTTTGAGACAACAAGTCTTGTAGCCTCTAATTAGGGATGCCGCCAAGGATGACCTTGAGCTCCTGATCCTTCTGCCCCCACCCACGTTGTGGGGATTACAGGTTTGTGAATCTACACACCTGAATCTGCTCTCTGCTCACAAAGTTCTGTAATTCAATCATAGCTGAACGTACAACGCTGGGGATTTGGGGTGTGAACACCCCTCTGTGGGTGGTGTGTGGTGTGGGAGGTGTTAGCATACCCACCCACCTTTCTTTATGGTAGTTTTGTTAGCTTCCCTAAACATTGCAAGGAAATGGACGACCCTATTTAAGTATAAAATTTGCAAAAAGTAAACTTGGAGGGTTTAAAACTGCTGAGAAAGAAATATCAAACTTGGGGATATCAGAAGAGAAGAACAATTTAAACTACATTTTGTTTTAAAGACTTCAAGCCGATCTTCAGAATTCTGACCGGCAGAAAACGAAGGTTTGTACGCTCTAGTTACTTCGTTTTCCTAAAAACAACTGAAATGGTCGGCATCCAAGTGGAGCTTGAGAGATGGGAGAACGCTAGCCTGGCACAAATTGTCAGGTCTTTTCTTCTCTCTGTAAAATGTGATAAGAACGAAGGAGCCCACATTAACAAAAGATCCCGGACAAGGCTGGTGCTGGACACTCGCGGCCACGGGCCCTGAGGTTACAGACCGAAGTAGGAGTGCCTGAGGCCGCAGGCTGAGTTAGGTGCAAGCCGGGTTCCCGGGCGTCGGCCCCGCCCAGTCGAGCGGCGGGACGCGGCGGAGCAGCACTGCCCCCAGGTGTCCGCAGGCAGCATCACGTCGATGGAAAAAACGCAAAACTCGCACGCTGCGATCTAGTGTTCAGGGTTGACGCGCAGGGACTGTCCTTTCCTTTTTACTGGTACGTTCCTGCTTGTTGTCCCTACCGGAAACCAGAGCGTCGGGAAACCGATGGCGGATGCCACTTCGTGCAGAAAGGTTGAGTTCACATTAGGCTCAGAAACACCCAGGGGCGGGACTTGCAAAGTACAACGTGCTGCGTCATCACACTGATATACTCTGAATGGCGCCGCTTACAAGCGGGAGGTAGCGTGGCCGAGTGGTCTAAGGCGCTGGATTTAGGCTCCAGTCATTTCGATGGCGTGGGTTCGAATCCCACCGCTGCCACATCCCTAGGTTTTATTTTCTCCACTTGTATGCTCTTGGCTCTGGTCTCTCTGTTTTCGTTCCCTCTGAAACTCGTTTTTAAAAGCATAAGATGAAGAAAAGAAAAATAGTAAAACGGAAGAAGTCGCCCTGTCTCTAGCCTGGTTCACAAACCTCCTTCTTGACCAATTCTCTTCCTTTAAAAACAAAACACAAAGCAAAACAAAACCCCTCCCCCTTTTCAGGGTCTGGGACTCCATGCAAATTCCCAACAGGGGGTTTGGGTCTTAGTTCATACTTCGAGGGTCTCTGCCAAGGGCAAAGATGGTTATGCTTGACCTGAGTTAGAGACGGGCCCTTCCGGGTCTGGCTGGCACCCATTAATCTCTATTGGTGGAAAGATGTCAGGTGACTAGGGAGGGCTGGGTTGCTGGGGTGAAGCTCCACGTAGGAATGCCAATCTTGAGGTCTCAGCTTTATTTATTCTCCTACGTGGTCTGTAGGCTTGGTTTAGTGGGCCCCCAATGCTTTATTTATCCAACAACTACTCTGAGCCACAAACCCAGCTCGCGGTGAGGTTTCAGGAGAGAACAAGACAGGTATGCCAAACATCATCATTTAGTTACACGAGTCATGCTCTGCACTGCTGTGTCCTTACCTGGCTCTGGGAACAAAGAGGTGACATTTAGCTGGACCTGAAATTGGACACTGAAGGTGGGAGAAAGATTTCCAGAAAACCCAGAGGCCAGTAAGAGCCTGGAGAGCTGGAGGGGCTGTGGAGGCAGTTAGGGTCACTGCGTGGAGGAAGAGTGGACGGAGAGCAGATGAGGCCATGAACGCCACGTTCAGGCTTTGAACTCAGAGGGCAATAGGAAACCATGAACGGTTTTCAGGCTGGTGAGTGGCACATTCTAGTTTGGGATTCATAAAATCCAGCAGGGGCGTTCAGTCCTGTCAGAGAAAGGACAGTAGTTTGTAACACGGTGGTGGCAGTTAGAATCGAAGGGGTGGGAAAGAGACATTTTGGAAGTAGATATCACAAAACTCGCGGATGAAAATGCCTTGACGAATGCATCCTTCCTTAAGTTGTTGTCAGGGTATTTTATCATAGCAACAGTTAGAGTAAGAATGATGGCCACCTCAAATGGCCTGAGATTTGTAGGGAGGTAGACCCCAGAGTTCAACCCCAGACCCGGGAACAGTCAGGCTGCAACCGACATAACCATGTGGCACTTTTCCCACGGGGCTTAGGGAAATGCAGCTACAGTGCAGTAACCCTTACCCTCTGATACTTCAAGCTAGTCCTGGCCTCATCTTTAAACTGACAGTGACAAATCCTCCTGTAGGAGTGACTTTAATAAAGAAATAAAGCCGTACAAATGCAAGTTCCTGCAGGTGCTGGGCACTAAACAGAGAGAAATGACTACTATTGATTTAAAAAATACATATACACACATAAAATTCTGCTGAGTGTATTTTAAAACTCTTACACAGTCTTCCTTATTTACCAGACACACACTGTGAGGGACACCACCTACGAAGGTTGACTAGTGAGTGCCTTCTCTTCCCTCCACCGCAGGCTAAGCAGTTACTTTGCTCTCTGCTAGGGTCCATAGTATTTGCTCAGCTAATGCCACGTGTGCACCAGATGATAGATAGATGTGTTAAATCTGTTTACACACTGTTATTCTGGGATCCACAACATGATGGCAGGGAGATGCAGTTTCTGTGGAGAGCAGGACCGACTGCGGCCTTAAACTCTTAAAGATGCTAGTGAGCACCACTACCCATCAAGAAATACAAATGAACAAAGGAACCTATTCCCCATGCTGGCTAGTCTCACCCAGCCTTGATGCAGGGGGAGGAACTTGGTCCTGCCTCAACTTGATATGCCATGCTTTGCTGGCACCCATGGGAGGCCTGCCCTTTTCTGAAAGGGAGACAGAGGAGGAGTGGATGGGGGGAGGGGGCAGAAAGGAGGCCGGGGGAAGAAATGGGAGGAGAGGAGGGAGGGAAAACTGCGGTCGGGATGTAAAATAAATGAAAAAATGTAATACATTTTAAAAAAGAGAAAAAAATACAAACGATACTAAATCATAAAATATGGATGCTGGGGAGAGGGCTCAGTAGGTAAAGTGCTTGCTACACGAGGATGGGGACCCGAATTCGACTTCCTGCACCCATACAAAATGTTGGGTGTGGTGGCATATGCTTGCAGTCCCAGGGCAGGGAAACAAGAGACAGGGTGGATCCCTAGGGTTTCTTGGCCAGCCTCGCCACTCCAAGCTCCAAACCAGGGAGAGAGATGCTGTCTGCAAAAATAGGGTAGACAGCTTCAGGAACGACATCCTGATTCCACGCACAAGAACACAACTCTAAATCATAATATGATCAGCCAAACTCTTATTTTGTCTATTACATTGGTACCTTTATGAGACATTCAATTTTCTTTTGCAATTTTTTTTTCCCCTTGCCCCTTCTGGTACTGAAACCTTTTACTGTGCTGAGTCATTTCCACTCATTAACCGAGAACCCAAAGATACCAAGCTGGGCTGGGTATCCCTCCCCAGCTAATCAACACACAAATCTGTGTCAAAATTAGGACAAACTCAAAGAAGCCATGGCAGGGGAGGAGGTCCACTGTCCACAGAAGCAGCAGAAGACAGGTCCAATTCTAGACTCTACCAACCAGAACGTCATCCACTTGGATCAACGGCGAAAACCCGAGAGGGAGGAGTAAGGTCTGTCCCTAAAGAAGCAACCGCGTTGGAGCTTCAGCGTACGGGTGGAGGCAGAAGGGGCGAAACCAGAGCAGGAAAAACCGGGAGATACACGGAGCAGAGGGCTGGACTGGTTAGGAGCCTGGAAATGGCTGGGAAGGAGAAGCAGGGTAGGAGGCTGGGACTTCATCAACCGCCTCGCCCAGCCCAGGAGAAGAATAAGAAGTTGGATTAGGAAGCCAAAGGTAGGGAAATGTGGCTGAGACTCGGGGGGCGGAGCAGAGAAAGTGAGCCCAAACACGAGGACTAATACAAGCCTAGTGGGTGGAGCCGGGGCGTGGGCAGCAATGGGGGCGTGGCCAGGACGCGGGGGCGTGGCTAGGACGCAGGGGCGAGCCTAACTCAGGAAGTCAAAGCCAGGTACAAGCTCAGAGAGCCATATGTGGGCGTGGCCGGGGAATCGGAGGCGGGATCACAGGTGTTGCACTGCTGTCTGCAAAGGCTGCAGCCCTAGGAAGTGCAGTGTCAGGCCCAGCAGGCCGAGCAGCCCCAGAAGCAGGAGCAGCAGCCGCAGAAGCGTCAGCGTGGTGAAGCCACGGGGCTGCTGGGTCGTGGCCTGCACATATCGCTCCACTGCGTCGGCGAAGCTGAACTTGTCCGGCGCGTAGCCAAGCTGAGCGCGGGCCTTGGCAATCTGGAAGGTGTGCGTCACGGCCACGCTGAGCACCTGTGGGCGAGGCGGAGCGGTGGAGGGCCGGGCTAGTGGGAGGGGAGAGCATCCTCGGCCTTGTTGACCACAAGGATAGGGGGAGGGCAGCTTGTTTCTCTGTCAACACTAGGATTTAAAAAGACTGGCCGCTGCGTCTTGTTCCGGCCGATGCCTCCCTGGGGGAGGGGAGGGGAAACCTTCCTTTCTAAGATCTTTTTCCTGGAGGGCGCCGCCTCCTGGATGCCCTTTTAGATCTCATCCTCCAGCCTTGCTAAATTCTCATCCTGTTTAATACCTCGTCTCTGCTGCTCTTCCCAGCCTAGCGCTGTTCTGGACCTCTGGAGGCCTTAGATGCATTTTTGAACACCGGGAGAAGCCGGAAGCCTCCTGCCTGTAGTGGGGAGCGGTTCTCCAGAAAAACATCTCCAAGGAAGGATGTTGGCTTCCTGTTGCCAGCCCAATACCAATTGTAGCGGGCAGGGCCTCAAGAACAGCCTTCCAGCCCTCCCAGCTGCTTAACTAAGTGTCCCTAAGAGAAGAATTCAGTTACGCCTAATGATTCCACTTTAAGTCTGAGCTGCCTTTCCCGTGCTTCCAGTTGGCCTCGGGCCCACCTGCTTCTAGGGTAATAATAAATGATAGCTATCGATTATAGAATTCCCACTCTGCTTGGTGTGGGCCCTTTATATAATTTTGTCCTCCGAGATGACACTATTTCCTCTTTCCATAATTGGAAATTGAAGACCAAAGGTTGAGTGACTTGCCTAGGGTCACATAGACGATCCACTTCCTAGGCCATATTCTTTGTCATGCTGGGGTCTGCAGATGCCCTCCCACCTGGCCTTTTGTTCTTCTCTAGTTGGGCATTGGCTGTGTGATTCTCACATGGCACAGACACGCCCTTGGGGCCAAGCACTGGGCCAGGGACCCTAATGAGGGAAGCAGAGACCAGTTCTTGCTCCTCTTGCCCCAGATAGAACATTCAGCACTTGAAGCAATGCAGGTTAGTAAACATCCTAAAACCAACCGAGCACCTCTTCCATGGAGACATAGCTGTGAGCTACCCAAGCAGGTCCTGGCACAGTGTTTTCAGAGGTCAGGCTTAGCGGTGACCTCAGAGTGGCGGTACTTCTTCATGCTGGGCAATTCCTCCTCCCATCCCAGCGTAGCTCTTATCACCGTGCTGAGCTGCCTGGTTTCTGGAACATCTTCCTCTTTAGACTATGAGCTTCCTGGGGTAAGGACCAAGTCTTCTTACCTCTAGTGTTCAGTGCAGTGCCTGGCACACAGTAGGTGCTCAAGGAATAGAAAGGCTAGAGAGCTAATGGGTGTCTCACAGACTGACCAGCAGAGGGCGACAGACCCACAGCCCCCAAACTGCCTCAGATCCTGCGGCCTGGAGCCAACGAGTTAACTCACACACGAGACAAGAGGAAGCCCGACTATGGGTAATCTGCAGCGCTCCTGGCCACCGTTTTGCCCTTTGTTCCTAATGTGTTTTCCAAGGTCGTGTTGGAGCTTTAGGTCTGGGTTCAAATCCCATCGGTACCTTGTAAGTGAGTGATGATCCTGGGTAGGCAACGTCACTACGGATCTAATTTCCTCCTCTGTTCATGGGCAGGGCAATAGTTTCCAGCAGCAGGAAATATCAAATGACACTAAAGGACTGTCATTATCCACCATCATTCTGGATGCTCAAAGGAACAATAGTGGGTGGGCAGTGCCTTCTCTGGAACATTCCCCCCCCACACACACACACTTCCTTTCAGCTTAAGGAGCACTGGAGTTGGCATCCTGAAGCCAATTCCAGTGTGGTGTGATCTTGGATAAGCCACTGCTTTCTCTAGTGCCCAGTTTCTCATAGAGTGGAGAACATCATCTTTGTGCCCTTCCTAATTTAGCACTAGGAGGAAGCAAATGAGAGACCCCAAATAACCTGTCACTTTCCTGTTTACAGTCTACTTAAGACATCCTCTGTAAAAAAGTTTATGGATTTATTTTATATGTATTATTGCTTTATTTGCATGCATGTATGTACACCATGCACATGCCAGGAGAGGGTGTCAGATCCCTTGGGACTGGAGGTATGTGTGGTTGTGAGCTAGCATGTGGGTGCTGGGAATCAAACTTGGGTGCTCTGAAGAGCAGTAAGTACTCTAAAGTGATGAGCCATCTCTCCAGCCCCAAGGTGTCCTCTTTTTGAATGGTACATGCTGAGCAAATATAAAACTAAACATCAGCTGGGTGTGATGGTGCATACATTTCATCCCAGTACTCAGGAGGCAGAGGCAGGTGGATCTCTGTGAGTGTGAGGCCAGCTTGCTCTATATAGCGAGTTCCAGGATATCCAGAACTGCATTGTGAGACATTGTCTCAAAGAAAAAAAAAAAAAAACCCAAAATAAACTGTGCATCATAACTCTGAGAATAGTATAGAAGACACTTAATACATACTTATTGTTAAGTAAGCATGAATGATGAGCCTAGAGCCACTGGAGATTTGTGTGAGTGTGCATGTGTATATTCAGAGGTGGGTTCAAAAAAGTATCTGCTATGGACCCTGCCCTTGGGAGCCTCAGATATAGCTAGAAAATAAGCCACCTATGGCTGGAATAACAGCTATGAAGCTTGCATGGAGCAGTCCTCTGTTCAGTCTATAATACAGTCTGAGCAAAAACAGTTGGTAGGGAGCATAGTGGGTAGGGAGCATTATAAAGGAATGGGCTGTAGCTTTGGGCCTACATGGAAGGTTCTGAGATCTCAGAGAAGTATCTTGTGGCAGGGTGTTCGGCAACAATGGAGATGTGGAGGGGAGGAGAAAGGCTCTGGGCTAGGACTCCCCAGCAGCACACTTACCTCACTGCGGGTGAGCAGTGGGGGGACGGTGCAGATGGGCCTCAGGGCCAGGTGCAGGTACTCCATCAGTGCAGCTGTGGGAGAGGGCAGACGAGAGGGAGGGACCCTCAGGACAAATCCATTGGAGACATTGTTTGCTTTGCTAGGGGGTCCCTTTACAAAGGTCACTGGATTCCTTCAGGTCAGCAGCATCTCTGGAAGAGCAGCCTTAACCTCTTAACCTCTGAGCTGTCTCTCCAGCCCGCCCACTTGCATTCTTACGGGAAGGCCAGCAGAGGGCAGCAGCAGGACACGCTATCTTGGTGGGGTGGGAGAGGGGAGTGGGAGCAGATACTGACGTGCAGGTGGAGGGGGAGAATCCAAGGTCCCAGCCTCCATACATCCCAAAGAAGCCCTGGCATCAGGGTGACCTTGGAAGAGGGGGAGCCTCAGGGCTCCCTCTGCCCCACCAGGCATCATGCCTTCCAGCACAGGTCTAGGTGTCAAGGCTGCCCCATCCCCCGCTCCCTGCACCACTTCAGGCAGGTCTCAGAGCCCCAGCCTCCTCTTTTACAGTAGTTACAGCCTTGCCAGAGGCTCACGTTTAAGGGGGCAGGCCTATGATGAGTACATCTGCACAGCTGTGACGATATAGAGACAGGTGTTCCTCTGAGTGCGGGGTCAGGCTGGGTGCACCTGCCCAATCTATTTAAATTCCATTACTCCTGCGTGCCTCCCTGGCCTCATCACAGTCCAGGCCCTGGGTTACCAATAATGTAACACACACATGTTGTGTGTGTACCTGGCATACAGGAGCTTCAATACCCATGCTGTTCCTTACCTGTCAGATACACACAGGAAGTTGGTACCCAGATCCAGGGCTGACTGTACCCCAGCTTCTCAAACTGCAAGGGAACATGGTCTGATGTGAGAACTGGTTGTTTAGGGACTGGCTGGTGAGGAAAGATCACTTGTTTCCCATATCCTGGCTGGCAGGGGACCCCACCAGCCCAGAGAGACCCTCAAGTCCACGCTAGTCTTATTTTTCAAGACAGGGTCTCTCTATATAGACCAGGCTGGCCTCAAATCATAGAGATCTGCCTGCCTCTACCTCCTGGGTGCTGGAATTAAAAGCGTGCACACTCTGCTTGGCATGATGAAGGTGATCGTTTCCACACCAGCCTCGAACTGAGATCCACTCCTTGGTCAGGGTAACTCAAGTAGTTAAAACATAGGACAAATCTTTTTCTTTCTTTTGTGTGTGTGTGTGTGTGTGTGTGTGTGTGTGTGTGTGTGTGTGTGTGTTTCAGGGTGCACATGCAGTGATACCATATGGAGGTCAGAGGACAACTTGCTGCAATCAGTTCTCTACTTCTACAGTGTGGGTCCTGGGGATTGAACTCAGGGTGTCAGGCTTGGCAATGGGATCTACCTGCTAAGCCATCTCTTTTAACTTAGACTCTTTCACATCATATAATTTTTACTATGGCCACCCACACCTGGACATGTTCCCAGGCCCTTAAGTAGAATCTGATTTTTTTTTCCTTCCAGAATTGACTGTACTATTAAAGAAAAATAGATAAAACCCAGCAAGTGGGTGGAAGGCAGGAGACTCAGGGAGAAACGGGGGATCTGGCAGGGGATGAATGGAGCTGTCCACCTGCATAAAACCTTTCCAGGTCACAGCCAAACCAACAAAGGCTGGCAGGCTGGAGAGAATGGGAGCCCTCCCCGACTGCTGGGGAGAAAGGAATCCCGCAGTCTCTGGAAAAAGTCTGGAAGTTCTTCAATGAAAAGTTAAACCTGGAGTAACCATTTAGCCCAGAAACTCCATGCACGGACCCAATCCAGCAGGGACGCTCACTGACCAGCCAGCCTAGTCTACTTAGTGAGCGCCAGGATAGGGAGAGACCCTGTCTCAAAAGACAGGTAAACAGTGCCCGAGGAACAGCACCCACAGTTGTCCTCTGACCTCCACAAGCATGTGTACTCACATACTTGTGCACTTGTATACACAAGTGTAAGTGCACACATACACACGTACATCAAAGAAAAAAAAAATAAAAAGGAATGAAGTCTTGACCTGATACACGTCACAGCACACATCAACCTTGAAAACTAAGTAGGGAAGAAGCCAGACACAAAGGGTCACTTATCCTATGAGTCCATTCATGTAAAATACCTATGAGTCCATTCATATAAAATACCAATGAGTCCATTCATATAAAATAGGCGAGGCAAATGAAGAGAGAGGAAGACTCCTGGTTGCCTGGGGTGGGGTGGGCTGAAGATAGAGGTAGGGTAGGGTACCCAGGGCTGTATTGCTAACAGGTATAGGCTTGTTTTGCTTATCTGAAGACGAAGACCTGCTTTAAAGTTAATTATGGTGATGGTTGTGTAACTCTGAATATGATTAAAAAAGGAAAACCATATTGAATTACATCCTTCCCATAGGTGAACTGCATAGCTTGTAAGCTACATCTCAATAAAAGTGCTTTTTAATTCAGAAAATTAAAAACAAAACAACTTTCCACGTATGGGTGTTTTGCTTATATGTAGGATTGGTGCTCATGGAGGCCAGAAGAGGGCATCAGATCCTCTGGAACTGGAGTTAGAGACAGTTGTGAGCTGCCCTGTGGGTGCTGGGACTTAAACCCAGGTCCTCCGGAAGAGCAGCCAGTGCTCATAGGCACTGAACTGTCTCTCCAGACCCTCAAAGCGCTCTTTAAATGGAACAAACTAGAGCTGTCATTGGCATAGCAGTACAAGATAACCCCTCTACCTTTAGCCTGGGGTTCAGTGCTCACTTTCCACACAGGGCTGGTCCATAGGTCTGTGGGTTGCTGAGAGAGGACAGGTTTTTCAGAGGCCAAGCTCTTCTCTCCAGGCTCTGGTGACCTTCTACATACCTGCCTAGGGATTACAATCAAACCCTGCCTTTCAGTGGTGACCACTTGCTTTAGCATGGGTCCTGGGTTCCATTGAAAAAAGAAATAACAGAAGACTCACATGGCCAGAATCATGTAAATCAGGAAGCTTGGAAGAGGTCTGTGACAAAATCAGGGAACGCTTGGTATCATAAAGGGGCAGCCACAACCCAGCTTCAGCTATACCCAGGGCCTCTCAGGCACGCTGCTGCCAGGGCTTCCTAATGTAGATTCTTGGATTTGGAAGGTAGGAAAGGATTTGAGGATAGAGGATGGGATTTTGGAGTCTTGCTCTGGGTTAGGAGATCAGAACACCTACCAGTGGGGCCATCCACTCAAAGAGGTTGACGCTGTCCCCATCATTGATGTAGTACGCCTGCCCACTCTGGGGGTGACAGGAGAGAAGGGGTGTAGTCAGATGTCTGCCCACAGCCTGACTCCACCCTTTCTCATGGCCCCCAGCTGCTTCTGCAGCCCTCTTGTCCTCTTGAGCAGTTCTGGGGACAGACCTGGGCAACACCTTAGTAAGGGCTGTAACTGGTTTGGCACAAATGATGATATTCTAGAGAGATGTTGACGATGTGGGCCAGTTGTCTGTCAATCTGACCATCTGACTATTGAAACAACGGACCCCCCAAAGAGACAGGGATTTCTTCAGGAATCTCATGCTGGAAAAACAGAAGGGCCACAGCCAGAGGGGAGCTTATCTCCCTTTCATTCCATCGTAGCAGCTTACAGGAGAGCCAAGCCCACTTAGGGATGAATCAGTGGTGGACAGGACCATACCTTGACCAGGACTGCCAAGATGTGCATATTCCTGGGACTCTATTAAACTTTAATATCACTCAGGATTCCAAGACAGACTGGGTCCTTTCATCCCTCTTTCCTTTTTTACTATTGGCTGTTTGGTTTGGTTTGGTTTCTCTACACAGCCTGGTCCTGGATCAAACTCACAGAGATCTGCCTGGCTCTGCCTCCCGAGTGCTGGGATTAAAGGCCTGTGCCAACACCGCCTGACCTAATTTGACTCTTTTAATTGGCTTCTAAAGGAGCGATTGAACTTGGCTTCTTGGGGTGCAGATTGTGGCCCCAAGTTTGGTAACAGGGCGACCACGCTGACAAGCTGTGTAACTTTGATGGACTCATTCAACCTCATTGTACTTCAGTTTCTTCAGTACTTCCGTGAAGACTGTGACCCATTCCAGTTTGTAGCTGTAATGTTACAGGGTCACTGCGGAAGAGCTAATTACGTTCTCTGAAGCTTCTACCCAACCCAGTGACCCTGGGACTCCTGAGACATGATTCTCCTTGCCTGCAATCTGCGGGGGTAGGGGGGGGCAGGGATGTCACAGGACACTCACAGCCACATAGCCCTTAGCCATGGTGAGGGCCTCAGCCGCCAGCATGTGTGCCTGCACCAGATTCTGCACATGGACCCAGTTCATGCGCGTCCTGCGATCCCCAAACCGGAACATGAACAGTCTCTTCTTGATGTGGTTCTGGTGCGGGGGAGAGGACAGTGCAGGGTCACCTGGCTGGTTCTACACTCTCTATATACATGCTCACAGCTTCCCATCAGTAACAGGCTAGACTCCAACTCCCATGTCCCAAGTCCTCAGGACATCTCTGCTTGCTTGTCTCACAGGTGACCTTGGGCCACCTTTGACCTTCCCTGACTTCTCTCATACCTCACACTCAAAGCTCTTGTAAACCCAGCTGCCCCAACTATTACATCTGTTCAGAATCCAACCGATTTTCTCCCCCACTACCACCCTCTCTCTCGCCTTGGGAACTCCAGCAGCTTCTTAGCCGTCCATCTACCCTGCACAGCCATATCTGGCCTGCTGTGGGATGGTCTGTATGTCAAATGTGTTGCTGATTGGTCAATGAATAAATCACTGATTGGTCAGTGGCCAGGCAGGAAGTATAGGTGGGACTAACAGAGAGGAGAATTGAGAGAACAGGAAGCTGGGTGAGAGAGACACTGCCAGCCGCCATCAGGACAAGGAAGATGTAAAGTACCGGTAAGCCACAAGCCACGTGGCAAGGTATAGATTAATAGAAATGGATTAATTTAAGCTGTGAGAACAGTTAGCAAGAAGCCTGCCACAGCCATACAGTTTGTAACCAATATAAGTCTCTGTGTTTACTTGGTTGGGTCTGAATGGCTGTGGGACTGGCGGGTGAGAGAGACTTGTCCTGACTGTGGGCCAGGCAGGAAAACATTAGCAACACTGGCCCTGTTCTGGTGACTACAGAGGCACACGGGCTGTGATGATGAACACAGACACGCTGACCATGTCCCAATGCCCCTCTAGCCCTGGCCCAGCTTTCCCTCCTACTGACCCCCTCTCCTGCTTGTGCTGCCATGACCCCAGGGCTGTCCGTGTACTCCTGGAAAGTCTTGGGGCTTTCTGAGAGTTGTCCCGTGTCTGGAGGCTCTTCCTCCAAAAGCCTGTTGGACACACTTGGCTCCTTCCTCCCTTGGAGGCTTGAAACCTGGCTTTCTCCAAGCGACTTCCCCAACTTCCCCCGGGAGCCCAATTCCCTCAGCCCACCCATTTTTCTTTTCTCCCTTTGTGCCTGGCACTTTCCAACACTCTTTATAATTCAATATTGAATCTACTTGAGTCTGTTTCCTGGGGTGAGAACAGAGGCCACACCAGGGCAGGGCTGTCTTCCGTGTTTGCTGATCTGAATAGTACCGAGCACACAGTAGTCATTCAGTTAAGTATGTAAGTGGTGAAAAGCCACTGTAGTTAACCCGTGGTCATTTAAGAACTCCACAAAGGAATATTTGAAGCAGCAGGCCAGAACAGCACTCGCCAGATGACCTTCAATGGCTCCCTGTGGCCTTGCATTCCCCATTAGTTCCAGTCATTGGGACCTCTTGCTGATGACATTAACCGTGACCTTCTTCACATCTAGGATCATGCTCAAATTGCTCCTTTACCTGGCATTTACTTTCTCTAATCACCACAGCTCATCAGAAAAATCCCTTTTCCTCCTTCCAAACACCGTAGGCATCCCTTCCTCCAGGAAGTCCTCCTGGGTCTCCCCTGCCAGGCCCATTTTCTCTTGCATCTTTCTACTCAGCCTTCACTATACTGAAGCTATGACTGTGTGGTCTGTCTCCCTGACCAGGTTGTGAGGACACTGGGACCTAGAGCCCCTTGCAGCCATATTCTAGAGTTTTCTGGCATAAAGAACCTTCCCTGGCAGCCTGAGATAAACTGTTCAGCCCTTGGGGTACCCACATGAAGGTCTCTCTGGTGTCATGGCTTTCTTTCTCCCTGACTTGAACAGAGGCCTGACTGGCACACTGGGAACTTTGACCCTGGTAGGTCTGAGGACTATGAACTTGTAGGCATCAGGGTGACCTCCCAGCATAGAGAGTCTCTGGCCGGGGACATTGCCCCTAGACAGATGCAATCCATGGTCCAGTCAGTATGCACACCACATCAACCTGACTCTTTCTGCCTCTGGTCATGGAAGGCTGGGAGGACCTACCGCCACCCGGGGCAGGTGTCTCTGTTCTTCAGGGCCATAGATCCCTGGGGGACGGAGCACACAGGTGCGGAGGGTGCCTCCTCCTAGGACACAAGAAAGGGTGGTCAGGGGCCTGCAGAGGAGTGATACATGGAGCTCGGGAGCCCACAGCACATGAGGATGGGGAGCTCAAAGCCATCCACATCTCCTGCTCCTTATTTAGCATGGAATGCCCAGCATAGATACTCTGTGCCTCCAGCTGCCCAATTTCTTTGGGGACCGCACCCACCTCCCTCCGACCCGATCACAAACCCTGAGGGCACTGGCCCTAAGCTCCTGCCAGCCACGGCCCTGGAGCTATTCATGACCTGTGCTTCCTAAAGCAGGTGGCTGTTCTTTCTGCAGATCTGTTTTCCAGGCACTTTCATTGTATGCTCCCTTTCCCCGTGAATAAGCCAGGGCCAGAACCTTCCATCTTTAGCAAACACCCCTCCCTTTACAATGAAGCCCAGAGTCATGGATGATAGAGTGGTCCCCAAAAGCTCTGTCTACATTCTAGGACTTGCCAGTGTGGCTGTTTGTAAAGGGGCCTTCAAGCTTGTAATTAACAATATTGGTGAGTTGAGATTGTCGTAGATCTTCAGCTGGGTCTAATCCAATTACAAGTGTCTTAGAGAGATCAGCAGAGGAGACAGAGGAGTTTTGTAGTCATGAGCCAAGGGTCACCTGGGGCCACCTGAAGCTAGAGGAGACAGAGGGCCCCTTCTCCAGAGCCTTCAGAGAGGGAGTTCTACCTGCTAACACCAGCTAACCCCAGGATTCCAGGCTCTAGCTTTTAAATGGCAAGAGAATGTCCTAAACCACTACAGGAGTTGCAGGATACTAACACAAGCAGGTGCAAGAAGATACAGCACCTGACAAGGCCCTGTGACCTACTTATTAGGACTCTGGCACCCAGCTCAAGTGAGAGCCATCTCAGGACTAGCCTGGATCTCAGGCCGCTGTAATCACCCCTGGTGACCACGGTCAGCCTCCTGGAAGGCAGATGGTGGCTGAGCTTTTCTGTAGCCTTACAGCTAAGTTTAAACTCTGGGTCCCTGGGGGCATGGTGGAGGGAGGTCAGGTTGCAGCCAACAGTGGCCTGTGGGACACTGGGTAACCACGTCAGAGAGGGGCAGGCCTAGGGTATCCATGACTCTTTGGAGCATTGAAAGCTGGGGATGTGCATATAAATAATTCCCAGCCAGAGGATTAGGTGTCTGGCCTGGCGGTAGGTGAAGGGGCTGTGCCCTGGCAGAGAAGGGAATTCAACTGCATCAGATCAAATCCTGGGGGAATACAGTGGATGTGCACCCCAGGATCAGGGGTCAAGGACTGACAGATTAAGTCATAAAAGCAGGGATATTATAGGGGAAAGAGCCCACATGTCGGGACCTGGGTCTCTGCCTCTAGAGTAGCACAGTGGGTGAGGCCCGGATTCTGGGGCTAAGACTCCACTGGGCTTCAAAGTTCAACTGCTCCGTGCTGTGTGACTTTGAGCAAAGCCAGTTAACCAGCCTCTGTTTCTTCCGTGTAAACTTGAATCTATAATTCCAAGCCTCTCTTGTTCTCCAAACCCGATGGGTTTCCACATTTGTTTGTCTTTTCCAGTGCTACTAGAGAGGTTGAACATAGGGCTTCATGCTAAACAAGCTTTCTACCTCTGAGCTATATTCTGCCCCCCCCTTTTTTTTTTTTTAAATTTTTTGTTTATTTGAGGCAGGGTCTTGCTATATAGCCCAGGCTGGCTTTGAACTCACTCTGTAGTCCAGGCAAGCCTTGAACTTGTGATCTTGCTGCCTCAACCTTCTAAGTAGATAGTATGTAAGGACTTTGCCACCAGACCCAGGCAGATAAATTTCTCTCTTCTTTTCTTTTCTTTTTTCTTTTTTTGAGACAGGGTCTATGTAGTTCTAGCTGGCCTTGTCTCATGATCCGCCTGCCTCTGCCTCCCGAATGTTAGGATTAAAGGTATGTGCCACCACCTCTAGCCTGGATAGATAATTTTGACAATAAAAGGAAACCATGTTGGCTGGTTTCTTTTAGTTCTAAACTTTAGAAAGACAGTAACAGTGATTTCTGGCAAGCAAATTGTCTGAATGGGTTTGGCTCCTGTGTGGAAGACCAGGGATGCCTAAATTCCACCCCCTCACTCAGGGATGATATGGAGTGAATGAACCTTTGCATATGGAATTTGCAAAACAGGGCCTGACAAGAAGAATGCACGAAAGTGTGGGCTGTTCCTATTTGATGACTGCTTCTCTGTAGCCCGAGGAGAGAATGCAGAGAGACAGCTGAGGTGGATGTTTCCAGGAAGTTTCAGTGCAGAGAAGCCTCTCTCTTGCATGATTCCCTCCAAAGAGGTGTAACTCCTTACACATTTGTAATGCTCCAGACTGCCCAAACTAAATCCATTCCCATAAGACAGCAGAGAGAGCAAGTGTCAGGCTATCCCAGTCTTTTCCTCACCAGACTGCAAGCAGGAGATCTGACTGTATAGGCCGTGTCCTGGTGGGGGAGGCAGGTACTCAGAACACAATGAAGGACAAAGGCCCAGACCATGCGGAGATGTTACTTGGAAGGATATAGGGCCTCAGACACACAATCATAAGAGGCAGCAGGGGGCAGGCATGCTTGTTATAAGTTAGGCCCCATGGTACTCACCTAGGAGAGGTGTCCCATTGGCCATGAGAGTCAACTGATCAGCAATGGCTTTGGTTCGAGAGTAGTGGTCCATGTGCTGCCAGGGGACAAGGAGAACACAGTCACTAGATGGGCTCATGATGTTGATGGCAATGCTGGCCCATCTGGGCTTAGTCTACCCCATGGCTGCATAATCCTGACTCAGGGAGGCACCTGCCAGTCTGCACCATCTGCCCTGTGACACTGATGTCAGATACAGGTTGGATGATCTGGTCATATGTCATCCATTAGTGTTCCTGTGACATCTTCGCACATAATCTCATTTCCTGCTCTCTACAAATCCCCTCCGTGGTGTTATCAGACTTAGATGGAGAACAGAGGTTCAGAGTATATGATAACTTGCACCATCACAGGGGTGAAAGGTGCCAGGCTGGGTGGGGCTCACGGCCAGGTCTATCTGATTTTGAAGCCTCCGAGGGCACGACAAGCTGGAATAGGAGACAGTTTGTACCACTCAGCTTGGGAGTCTGTCCTGCTGGGATGCGCACCCTGAGTTATAAGACGGACCTGGCTCTGTCAACACCTGCCTTTGGGCAGACACTTCCCAGCCTGCCACCCTGCCCCATCTCTCCCAGAAGTCGGTACCTTGTCCAGGGGGAAGTATGGGACAGAGTCCTCATCGCCCTGCTCTATGGGCTTTCCGCCAAATGTCACGTTGACTGTGCTGGTGTACACGAGCCTTGGAACCCGCCGACGGACACAGACTGCAGGAGACACACGCACACCACATCAGACTGTGAGCAAGGAGCTGGCTAAGGAGGGGCTCAGAAGAGGCCTCTGTGGGCAAATCCACCCATTTCTACTCAGTCTTAATGTCCCACCCCATACCATCAGGGATCTCCAGAATCCAGAGCTGCCTGGGAAGGAAAAGCCTCCCCCCTCAACTTGGGATGTGGGGGCCAGGCCTTCTTATTCCTCCTTCTGGTGTGCCTTTGGCCCCCTAGCCACTCGGTCAAGGGCAGGTAGGAAGAAAGGGCTCACTTGGTGGGACAGATAGAAAAGATGCCCTAGAGCTGGAGAAAGCGCAGGCCAAGGTTGGACACATCCCAAGGGTCCAATAGGATTCTTCTGTCTGATGTTTCTGTGACCTTCCTCAGTGCCATCCTTAGCCCTGGGACCCTAGACGTGCTAAGACTGTTGATGCTCCCCTACAGGGCCCTGAGCAGGTCTGTACACAGGGGAGATAGTCTGCCTCCCACTGGCTTCAGCTGGTACAGTCTAGGTAGGGCAGGGGGGTCTTGCCTCTGTTGCCCCCACCCCTACCCCCACCCCAGAGCTAGGCCAGTGGCAGGAGAAAGAGGAGGAGGGATCACACTGCAGGGCACACTGCACTCTGAGGGCCTACCATTAATCACTAGTCTGGTGCCTCCGACATTTATAGACTCAATCTGCTGTTTCTGTAGCTAGAAGACAAGAGGGAAATGGGAAGTCACATGCTGCCTTCTGCCTCGTGGCTGAGGCCACAGGCTGAGTTCAGGGTCAGCAGGAGTCACGCTGAAGGATACTTGGAGCAGGGTGCATGGGCTGGCATGGAGTTTGGCACGGATAAGTAACTTCAAACGTGTTGGATCATTTTCTGCCCCCTCCTAAATCTCCCCTTATCTGAGACAAATGTGGTGATGAGGCCATGCCCTGGAGGACACTGGATTGTAAACAAAGAATGGGTCTGCAATGACAGGTTCCTGTGTGCTAGGTGTCCAGCAAACAGTACAACCCAAACCCTCATTTAAAGCCCCTGGGAATGGGATGTGCTGTGTTTGCAAACGAATTTCTTTATTTCTTTATTTTTCTTTGAGAGAGTGTATCTCATGTCACCCAGGCTGGCCTCAAACAAGCTATATAGACAAAGATGACCTGGAATTTTCTGATCCTCCTGCCTCCACCTGCCAAGTGCTGGGATTATAGGTGTGTGCCACCATACCTGGTTTATTGGTGCTGGGGATTCAACCCAGGGTGCATGCTGAGCAAGCCACTGAGCCGCATCCCCAGCCCAAACTATATTTATTCTTATCGTGGTGTTTTTTGTTGAACTTGTTGAACGGGGAAACAGCTACAAGGTTAAAAATAATTCAGACAGTAAAAAGTATACCCAATGGCTGCAGAGATGGCCCCGTGGTCAAGGACACTGGCTGCTCTCCCAGAGGTCCTGGGTTATGTTCCGAGCACCCACATGGCAGCTCACAACTGTCTGTAAATCCAGTTCCAGGGGATCCGATGCCCTCTTCTGACTTCCCCAGGCACCAGGCTCGCATGTGATGCATAGACATACATGTAGGCAAAACACCCACACACATAAAACTTAAAAAAAACAACAACAACTATCTAATGAAGAGGAAAGTTCCTTCACATTGCTGATGCCAAGTCTTCCTCTGCCTTTGGACGTTTGTACAGAGAACCTGTATGTAACATCATCGTATACCCTTGTGCATGTAGCAAACATCTGACCTAGCTTTACAAATGTTGTCACGTTTTGATTTATTTGTTTTTCATGTGCATGCATGTGTCCGTGTGTGTGAGGGCCGTGGCACACGGGTGGGGATAAAAGACAGCTAGTGGAAGTCTTTCCTTCCACCGTGGGTCCTGGGGGTCAAACTGAGGTCATCAAGCTTGGCAGTAGGCACTTTTTTTTTTTTTTTTTTTTTTTTTTTTTTTTTTTTTGATACAGGGATCTCTCTATGTAGCCCTGGCTGTCCTAGAACTTGCTATGTAGATCAGGCTGGCCTCAAACTCACAGAGATATTTCTGCTTCTGCCTCCTGAGTGCTGGGATTAAAGGCGGTTGGTTGGGTCACCTTGCTGGCGCTTAGCTTTTCTCTTTTCTTTTTTAAGGTAAACAGGGGATACCAAACACTACTTTGAACGTTGGAGGTTGCCAGGGGATCCACACTTTGGAGTCTTCTCATTCTTTTGAACGGCTGCATAGAATTTCACGATATCCCTACTCTTATTCCGGTAACTAATGGACCACTGCATAATTCCTGGTGGTTTATTATTAAAAACAATGCTATGGATATGGAAATAAGTATAATTTGAGTCAATGGAATACGTTTTGGTAGATGCTGCTACAGTCAGTGTTCCCTAGAGTTTGTGACATAAATCACAGTGACTCCCTCCTTTCCAGATGAGGAAGGGACAGCTTGGAAAGGTGACCGGCCCTGGGTCACACAGGTGGAAGGCACCAGAACTGGTGTTTGATGTCATGGATGCCCAGTGCTTCTTTGGAGGAGGCAAGAACAATAAGACATACTTGGGCATCAGAGTGGTGGGTGGGGCAGGACTTGAACACCACTCTGCCTGGTTCTGGGTGTGTGTGGGAGTCTCACCTTCTCAGCCCCAGACATGCCATAGGAGGCCACATGAAAGACACAGTCCACCCCCTGGAAGGCTTGGTACAGGGCTTCTTCATCTCGGACATCAGCCTGAAACAGAAGTGAGAGGTTCAAGTCCAAGGCAGTGACCCAGCCCAGGCCAAGATCTGGTGGGCCAGGATTTAGCAGCTCCACAGAGCATCAGCAGGCGCTGCCCCCATTTATCCGGCTCTGGGGCCCAGGGCTGGCCTGGGGGTTTCATATGCACTATCTTATCGACTCTCTCTGAGCCCCTTGTAAAGCACATGTGATTACTGCCTCTTTCTGGGGATAAAGACGGGGGCTCAAGGGGGTGGAACTAAAGCTTGGAAGTCTAAGAGCTGGAGCTGAGGATGCAGAATGGCCAAGAGAGTGAAAGTGCTTTCCAGCAAGCCTGAAGGCTCCTGGAATCCACAGAAAGCTGGGTGAGGTGGCCCGCATCTGTAATCCCAGCACTCCTCCGGAGAGATGGGAGGTGGAGATGAGAAAAATGCCTGGAAGCTCTTAGCCGGCCAGACTGGAGTGTGTAGAACAGAAGCAGAAACAGGAGAGGCCGGCCTCATCATGGTAGAGGGAGAGAACCGTCTCTGGAGAGTTCTCCCCTGGCAAATGTATGACTGCACTATCACACCATCACATGCACACACACATACATCACACATATACATCACACACATCACTCACACATACAAACATATCACACATACACATCACACCATGCACATCACACACATCACACATACACTCACATATACATTACACACATCACACATACACTCACATATATATCACACACACATCACTCACACATACACTCACATATATCACACACACATCACTCACACATACAAACATATCACACACTCTTGCACATCACACACATGCACATCACCCACATCACACCCGCACAAACATGAGTAATCATACATACACACATCACACACTTATCCTGCCCCCCCCCCACACACACACTGATAACAAAATCTAAAAATAAAGCCAGGTGGTAGTGGTGAATGCCTCTCTCTAATCCCAGCACTCTGGAGGCAGAGGCAGGTGGATCTCTGAGTTCAAGCCCAGCCTGGTCTACAGAGTAAGTTCCAGGACAGCTAGGACTGTTTGTTACACAGAGAAACCCTGTCTCAACAAAACTAAAACTAAAACTAAAACCAAAACCAAAACCAAAAAGAAAATTTTTTTTTTTATAAAAGTAATAAAGAATTGGAGCTAAATCTGACTCCAGAGCCCGAGATCTCAGACTCCACTGCGGGTTCACATCCTATGTGTCCACCTGAGTTCTGCCACCAGCACCGTCACCTCCGGCCCCGTCACCTCCGGCCCCGTCACCTCCAGCACCAGCACATCCAGCACCGTCACTACCAGCAGCAGCCCCCCCCCCCCCCCATGATTCCCATCTCTGTACCTGGATAAACTCCGTTCCTGAGGGTAGTGGCCACTGGGGTCTGCGGAGGTCCAGCAAGATGACAGAAATGCCTCTCTTGGCCAGGCTGGAACCCAGGCTGAAGCCCAGGTAGCCTCCTCCTCCGGTCACCAGAACCTTCTGTCGGGGGCCCTGTGTGGGTTTGGCCTGAGTCTTCTGCTGTAGCGCTGGTTCTGGGGGCGTCACTGATTCACTGGGGTGAGAACCAGTCCCAGAGCCTCGTCTGGTCCCAGGCACTGGGCCCAGCCCAGGTAATGGTGCAGCTCCTGGTCTAGGTACTGACTCGTTTCCTAGCTGAGGTACTGACCCAGCTCCTGGCTGAGGTACTGGCCCAGCTCCTGGCTGAGGTAATGTCCCAGCTCCTGGCTGGGGTACTAACCCAGGTACTGACTCGGCTCCTGGCCTGGGTCCAGACCTAGCTCCTGATCCAGGTAATGGTCCTGCTCCTAGCGCGGGGTCCCAGAGTAGCAGTAGGCCCTGAAGAAGCACCAGGTACTAGCCCAGTCACAGAAACAGCACTAGGTCCTGGGCCAGAACCTGGAACAGCGCCAGGACCAGGTCCCGGTCCTGGAATAGCCCCAGGTCCAAGCCCAGACCCCAGAACAGCCCCAGGCCCTGGCTCAAGGCCTGACCCCGACCCTGAAGCAGACCCCAGGCCTGAGGCCCCTCCACAGGCCTGGCAGACAGGGCAACCCTTCTCGCCCTGGCCTGCAGCTCGGCAGGTTTCTAGGGAGGAGCCTACAGGGTTGGTCTTCATCCTCTATGAAGCCATGCAGCCTAGAGGCTGTCCACCTGTGGAGAAAACCAGAAGAATGTTCTAGGGTCATCCCAAGGCACACCTTACCAGGTCCTGAGGACTAACGGGAACTTCAGGAAAACTGGAGCCTCCTAGATCTCTCAGGGCTCCAGACTCTTTCAGAGCCCCCAAGAACCTCCATGTGGCTGCTGGCTCCTTAGGGAGTCAGAGAAGGCAGCCTGTCCTTTGACTTCATAGTTGAGGAAACTGAGGCTCAAAATCATGTTGTATGACTCAGATGTACAGTAAGCACCCCTGATTTCCCCACAGGCTCCATGTAGCACCCTAGGAAGGCAGGTCAGTCATGCCTAGGGGGCCTCACATACTGGGTGTGGTATTATCCGTCTCAGAATCAGAGGGCAAGGAGGAGGAAGAGGACAGGGGGAGGAAGAAGAGGGGGAGGAGAAAGGAATAGAAGGGAGAGAAGAGCAAGAGGAAGAAGAAGAGGATGAGAGGGAGGAGGGAGAGGAGGAGGAAGGAGAGGAGGAGGGAGAGGGAGAGGAGGAGGGAGAAAAAGAAGAGGAAGAGGATGGAGGGGAAGGGAAGGGAGAAGAGGAGGAGCAGCAGGAAGGTGAGGAAGGAGAGGACAAGAAGAGTGAAGAGGAGGAGGAAGTGGAGAGAGGAGGAACCACTGGGACATAAGGGCTCAGCACCTGGGAACTTGTCTATGATCCCCAAGTCTGCAGCCGCTTCTGATACCAGGTGCTCCAGGGGCATCTGGCTGACACCACACTGTCCCAGTCCCCTGCGGCCTTCCGGGTCAAGTGGGTGGGCCCCAGGGACCAGCACTGAGAACCCTGTCCTCCTCATTCTAGACCTATAGCTGACCTAGGCTCAGTCAACTGCCACGGTCTTTCCTACTCTCATCTCCCTGAGCATCAGGCTAGACCAAGGACTAGGTCATTAACATTACAGAAGCGGGGACTGTATGGCAGGCCTTCCGTGTACCAGGCTCTGGCTGCCTGCATGGTGCAGGATGGCTGCACAAAGGAGCAGGTGTGTATTCAGTGACTGACTGGCCAATGAGCTGCTGCCTGTGGTGGTCACAGGACAAGGACCCCGGCAGTCATAAGAACTATGCCTGTGTCTCCTCTGTCATTATCCTGTTCGTTTTAGGACAGGAAGGCAGTCATGTCCCACATAAGTGGTGAGGGTATCTAATTCTCCCACCCCACCCCATCCTCAGGAGACAGGATGTAGCTTCAGAGGGGAGACTCCTCTCCCAAGGCCCAGATGACTCTTCTGGGGAAGGGTATATGGGTATTTATGGTGGCAAAGTCTGGGTGTGCCCTTGGGTAAAATACTTAGAACTTCACTGTGCCTCAGTATCCACAGCTGTGAAATGGGCCCAAATCATCTTGGCTGCTTCAAATTCCTTACACAGTGGTCTTGAGAGAGCAGACACCAAAGTCTTTGCAAATCGCCTCAATGCAGGCTGCATGCAGGGTTGCTGACTGGTGTCTCCCGTGCCTGGAACAGTCCCTGGCTAACGGCTAGGAGAATAAACGGGCCTGTTCCTCAGGGGAGCATTACGGCCGAGCCAGGACTGAACCTGGATATGGCAGTGCTAAATTCTCCTGGCAATCTCAGGAAGCATAAGCTACTGTTCCCATTACCCAGAAGTGGAAACCGAGGCCCAGCAAACATCAGAGAATTGGGAAAGAATTACACTAAAAGGCTGGCTGTGGTGATGCACACCTGCGATATCAGAACTTCAAAGGCCTACACAGGAGGATTGCCATGAGGTTGAGGCCAGCTTGGGTTGCATAGTAAGGTCCAGACCAGCCTGGGATACAGTCAAAAAAGAAAACAAAACAAAAAAACACACAACAACAACATGGCTAACCAGATGGCTCATCTCTGCAAGTGATCGGCTCTGTGAGTCTGATCCATGAGGAGAATGGAAAGAATTGACTTGAGAAGTTGTCCTCTGACCTCCACACATGCCCCATGGCAAGTGTACCCCCCATCACAAACAGAGAGAAAGAGAGAGAGAGAGAGAGAGGAGAGAGAGAGAGAGAGAGAGAGAGAGAGAGAGAGAGAGAGAGAGAGAGAGAGAGAGAGAGAGAGAGAGAAATAGTAGTAGTAATATTAAAAACTAACAAAAATGAAAATAGAAGTCCTTAATCCAGGTCCATGGAGACACCAACGCTGGGTTTGATGAAAGGGTTCTGGAGTGGTAGGGACCCGGGCCTCCCGGTGGCAGACTGTCCCACACAGCTGATGGATGGGGGCGGATCCCCATCCCGGGTCCTCTCGCCCTCCTTCCCCAGCACCACATCCCACTCTGCACTCACCTGGCTTGGGCTCCCGCAGCGCTGCGTGCTTCCTGCGCCTCTTGGGTCTCGGCGCCAAAGCCAGCACCACCCGTGGGACCGTGAGACCGCAGCTCCAGTTGGGCAGGCTCGGGGACCGCCCCGCCCGCCCGCCCGCTGCCTCCGCCCCGGCTGTCCCGCCCTGCCGCTCTGCTCTGCAGCCTGGAGCTCGGCAGCCCCACTCACCTGAGGGTGAGCAAGCTAACAGGGCTGCGCTCCTGGTAGAGAAAAGAGGCAAAGGAGCTGCGAGCCTGCCCTGTGCTGACTGTTCTACTCAGGAATTATTCCACTTTCTCCTCTTCACCATTCCACCTGTTCCCCCTTCCAGCTCATCAGCCATGGTGTGTGTGTGTGTGTGTGTGTGTGTGTGTGTGTGTGTGTGTGTGTGTGTGTGTGTGTGTGTGTGTGTGTGTGTGTGAGAGAGAGAGAGAGAGAGAGAGAGAGAGAGAGAGAGAGAGAGAGAGAGAGAGATTATACACATATCCCCTTGTCCATCCATCCAGTTTCCTGTCTGTTTCATTTCCCCGCATCTGTCCTTTCAAACTTTCACTCATAACCCTCAGCCCATCTTTTCTTCAGCCCACCCTTACCTTTCACCTGTCCATCCGACCTTCCCTCTGCCCATCCTGCCATGTATCCAAGCCAACTTTCACCCACCCATTTATATGCCTGTTTTCCTTCCTTCCATTCATCCACCTACCTATCCACCTACCTACCTAAGAATATTCTTATAGTCTCTTAATCCCTGCCCTCTTCTTCCCTGTGGTGCTGGAGGTTGAACCCAGGGCCTCACACAGGCTACATCCTCACCCCACTCCTCTTTTTTTACACTTAATTCCTCTGTCGCTCAGGCAAGGCATTGAACTTGTGATTCTCCTGTCTCAGCCTCCCAGAGAGCAGGAATTAGCCTGTGCCTCCAGGCTTGGTTCTACCATTCCATTTTAATGGATGCTTCTTTATTGTTGACCTCTCCTCTCTGCTGGGGACCAGAAGGGCTTTCCCATCCCTGGGAAACTCATATTTGAGAGACAGAAGCAGAAGGGCTGGCGTGTGTCCAGCCTCTGCTACAAGGAAGCAGCCTGGCCCTAGAGTAGGGAGCATGCTACTCACTGGACTCTGAGAAGGGCCACAAAAAACCGCTCCACCTGTATGAACAAGCTCTGTGAACATTAGGTAAAGGAGGCAAACCCCAGACTTTAGCTTGCTCCTGCCATGTACCAGATGGAAGAATGTCCCATTCAATCTCCATAATTTCTGTTTCAGCCTCATTTTAGAGCTGGAGAAACGGGTTCAGAAAGGAGGCTTGGGATGTGGTATGTGAGTGTCCGAATGTGCCATGGTGCACGTGTGCAAGTCAGATTGCAACTTGCAGGAGGTGGCTCTCTCCTTCCATCAGGTGGGCTCCTGGGATTGAATTTAGGCCATCAGCCTTGGTGGCAAGGCCCTCTGTCTGCTGAGCTGTCTTCCTGGCCCTTTGCTACTTTCTTGCTGTTTGTTTTTGGGCAGCTACAAGGCTTGGTTTCCTCATCCCCATTCTGGAGATGCTATGTAGTTTACTCGAAGGCCACTGTGAGCTTATGGCTGATGGGATAGAGTATATGCAAATCCTAGACCACGGAGCTGCTCAGCTGATGCTCAGCTAACAGTAGCTGTTACCATTATTTGAGAAGGTGGGATTCAAACTCATTTGCTCTCCACCACTTCACAAGCCTGGTGTCTTCCTTGACCCTCCATTTACAAGACCAGCTGGACCACAGACCTCACATTTCCCAGGCAGCTGCCAGTGTTGGCTGACTCTCAAAGAGTGTCATCATTCACAACTACCATGGATTGCGTCCCACACAATACATTGAAGCTCCAACCCCTAGTACTTCAGAATGTGAGTAATTGAACACGGGATTAGTTCAGATGGGGTTCAGTAGAATGGAGAAGGCTTTCATTCCAGTACAGTTGATGTCAAACAATGAGGGGGTAACCTGGGCACAGACAATCAAGTGGAGAATGGGGTTATACTGCCAGAGCACTTCTATGGGAAACTAGAAGCCTGGGCCAGATCCTTCCCAGGGCCTCCAGGGAGCCGGCTCTGCTAAGACCTGGATTCTGGATCACCAGGCTCCAAAACCGAGACAATAAATTTACACAAGGTAGGGGCTGGAGAGATGGCTCAGTGGTTAAAGACATTTGTTGCTCTTGCAGAACACCGAGGTTTGGTTCTCAGCATACATGGTGGCTTACAACCATCCATAACTCCAGCTCCAGGGGATCTGACAACCTCCTTGGGCATTAAACATGCATATGGTGCACATACATACATACATGTCCACAAAACACTCAAACCATAAAATAAAAAATCTTAAAAAACTTAAATAGCTTAATGATTATTTTTTCCAAGACAGAGCTTTTCTATGTTTGGGTTTTAGGCTGGTTTTGAATTCCTTATGTAGGCCAGGTTGGCTCTAGTTGATAGCAACTCTTCTGCCTTCTGAAACTGGGTAACTTTATAAATAAAGACATTTGTTTTGGCCTAAAGTTTTGAAAAATTTATTTTAATTTCGTGTGTGTGTGTGTGTGTGTGTGTGTGTGTGTGTGTGTGTGTGTGTGTGTTTTGCTTGGATGTATGTACACATGCAGTGGGTGCTTGGTGTCCCAAAGGTCAACAGATCCCCTGGAACTGGAGTTAATCATGGTTGTGAGCCACCATGGGGGTGCTGGGAACTGAACCCAGGTTCTCTGGAACAGCAACAAAGTGCTCCTAACCACAGAGCTTTATCTCCAGCCCCAGCTCAAGGTTCTTGGGGTGCACAGTTGAGATGCTGTATCTGCTGATGGCATTCTTGCTGGCAGAGTTCTGATGGCACAGGGTCTCATGTGGAAGAGACAGGGCATGTGTATGTGTGTCTCTTTTGGCCTCTCTTACTCTTCCTATGAAGTCACCAGGATGTAGTCTTGGGGATACAGCCTCAGCACCTTGTCTGACCCTAGTCACCTCCCCAAAGCCCCATCTCTGCACACCACAGCATATTGAAACGTGCAAATGTTTGAAGGGCATGCTCAAATCCTAGCTGAACCACAGCAGTGTCCTAATGAAATACCACTCAGATGAAGACAAAGCTTTTTAATCCCCCGGCACCCAATGCTCACTCTGCACTCCTCAGAACAGTTACCATTGTGATTTCTGTCTCAGTGACAAATATTACCTGTTCTTGAATTTCATATAGTTGTGAGCACATACTCTTATGTCTGGTTCCTTTTTCTTTTCTCTTCCTTTCCTCTTTCCTTCTTCTTTCCTTCTTTCTTTCTCTTTCTTTCTTTCTTCTTTCTTTCTTTTTCTTTCTTTCTTTTTTTTTTTGGGAAGATTCTTATATACCCCAGACTGGCCTTGAACTTGCTGTAGCCAAGGATGACCTTGAATTCCTGATCCTCCTGCCTCCATACCTCCTTTTTATGCAGGTCAGGATATCAAGAAACCAAAACTTCCTGCATGCCAGGCAACCAACCCAGTTACATCTCCAGCTTATTTTAGTTTTTTTTTTTTGCGTATCCATTGTTTATGAGTTTGATACATCTTATTGAATGTAGTAACTATATTTCATGCTCTTCACATTGACTCATAGTTTGGCAATATACAAATATGTCATGATTTGTTTGTATATTGTACCATGGTTGGACATTGGGTGGTTTTCAATTTTGGGCTTTTACAAATAAAGCTATTGTACACATTCTTGCATCCACACACTCATTTCCCCTAGAGAGGGATTGTTGGGTCACACAACAGATGTGTTTTGCTTTAATAGAAACTGCCACATTTTCAAAGTGGTAAAAATTTACATTTTCTTTCCCTGAGCCGCATCCCAGCAGCAGGAGCGTTCTGGTCACTCTGGTGTCTTGATGTGGACGGTCATCTTGTGTCAAGCCATTCTTCTGAGTCTGTAGCTGCGTTTCATTGTGACTTTAATTTGTATTTCCACAATAGGTGAGGCTGTCGAGTTCCTTTCCACTGTTCTTTTAGGAGTGACAGGGGTTGTTGTTTCTTTTTTCTTTTTTTTTCTTTTTTTTTTTTTTTTTTTGAGATAAAGTTTCAAGTAGCCCAGCCTGACTGGAACTCCTGATTCTCCTGCCTCCAGTTCTCAAGTGCTGAAATGACAGGTGTGTGCTACCATGCCTGGTTCAACTGTGTGTGTGTGTGTGTGTGTGTGTGTGTGTGTGTGTGTGTGTGTGTTTTGTGTTACTGAGGATTGAACTTAGACCTTGGGCATACTGGGCAAGTGAGTCACACCTCTAGAGGTTAAGCACTTTTGCATATGTATTTCCCATTTGTGTTTGTCTGAGTTGCTGTACATTTTTAAAAATAAGTATGTTTAATCCTTTTCATATTGAGCTTAAATCCTCTATATAATCTGATTGGTGTTTTGTTTTTTGTTTTTTCCAGACAGAGTTTGGTCTGTGCAGTTCTGGTTGTCCAGGAACTCACTCTGTAGACCGGGCTGGCCTTGAACTCAGAGATCTGCTTGCCTCTGCCTCCAGAGTACTGAGATTAAAGGCATGGGCCACCACTGCCTGGCATTTAATGAAGTTTTATCTCACTCAAAATTTACACACACACACACACACACACACACACACACACACACACACACACCTCATTACCAGTACTCAAACATTTGAAGTCAGTTTGACTCTATTAGTAAAAGCAATTTTCTCATTTTAGGAAATGATCCCAGATCATTGAACACACGATGTTCCCACTCATGTGTACATGGTATAGCCAGGTTCAAAGGATGCATCTGCCTTTCAGAGGCTGAGCAGAGCATTTGCTCTGGACTGGATCCATAGTAGCCTCTGGTTAGCAGGTGATGGTGGTGGTGATGGGGCTTGGCTCTTGGCTGTGTCTTCCCCCAAGCTAGGCTGCTGCTGCCTGCCTTTGCCCATGGATCTGGGTGGTAAGAAGTATAGAGAGGAACCAAGAGAAGCAGCCTCATCAGGCTGTTATCCAGAGATGGGTTGCTACATCCAGCTGGGTGTTCACTGCTTACCATGTGACTGCCATATGGCAGGTTCTGGAAACCCATGGATAGTTAAGACAGTAGCTTCTTGCGGAGAGGGAACTGTGGTCAAAAAGAGTTAGGACACTGAGCAGGACATCACAGTCTACAGTGCTGAATGCCCCAAGAGGCATAGCTGGTTGGGAAAGCCAGAAGAAGAGGAAGGCCAGAAGCATCCAGATGTGCCTGGAGGTCCTTAGCTCTGGATGGGTACCAGGGACATCTTCACAGTGGAACCGATGCCATCTGAGCTGTGCCTTGACAGATAAGCAGGAGTCACTAGGCAGAAGGTGGCAACAGAAACTTCCTAGTGAGCTCGGTCTAGAGAGTATGGTGTGTTGTGGGACACTGCAAGAGAATGAGGGACTGTGTGTGGAGGGACATGGCAGGGTGATGAGGGACTGTGTGTGTGGAGGGACATGGCAGGGGGATGAGGGACTGTGTGTGTGGAGGGACATGGCAGGGGGATGAGGGACTGTGTGTGGAGGGACATGGCAGGGGGATGAGGGACTGTGTGTGTGGAGGGACATGGCAGGGGGATGAGGGACTGTGTGTGTGGAGGGACATGGCAGGGGGATGAGGGAGGTCTGGGAGGCCCCAGACACAAGTCAAAGAGCCTCCCTGCCCTCAGCCTTCAGAGTGCCCTAGTGCTAAACATTTTTTTTCCTGCAGGTAATCTGGGGGTCACAGCTTTCTGTCAGTTTGCCCTTTAGGTCAGGGGTTCTCAGTGGGTGGTCTCCGTGGACTAGCTTTTCAAGTCAGAGGAATCACAATGTCTGATCCTTCCTCACAGTTACACTTGTGTGTAAGCAGCGTGTGCCTGGCTCTTGGTGAACACTCAGCAGATATGGCATCCACTCCTTTTCTTACCTGAGAACATGTCTCTAGCAAAGAATGACCTTTGGTTCCGCGTTATTTTTCTTCAGCAGCTGGGATCTAGAAGCGAGAAGGCAAAGGAAGTGGGTAATGAGATGGTGGGGTGGGGAAGGGCAGATATTATATGTTTTTTTTTCCCATATGTGGATTTTTCTATGAGACAAGTTCTCACTATGTTGCCCAGGAACTATGTGGTCCAGGCTGGCCTTGAACTCATCTGCCTCTGTCTCCCGAGTGCTGGGATTAAAGGTGTGTCCATCTGGGTGGTTAACAGGTGGGAGGCGCAGCTAGACAAGCATACCTGAAGACCTGGGCTTGCTTAAGGAGGCTTCTAGCCTTGTTGACCTCCTGGGCCAGTATCTTTAAATCATCCCCTTCAAACAGCGGCAACTTGGGGTCCTAGGGAAGGAAAAATGGAGGTAAAATTCAATATACTAAACTGACTAGATGAGACCTGAAACTCTAAAGTCTCAGAAGATGGTTAGAGCACATTAGATGCAGCCTCTCGCCAGAGGCAGGGAATCCTTGTGGCCGCAGCTCACACATCTCCACCTATCCAGGCAGCCACTCTATACATGGGATAGTTTGAAATGAGATGCTCCGAGAGCCAGCATCTGGAGGGGAGGGGTGCGGGGAGAGGGGAGAGACCAAGGTAGTGTCCACATTTCAGTGAATTTGGCTCTTCCCTGGGCGCATGAGGAGAAAGTGGTATGTATGTGTCTTATCTAAACTGCTGGTCAGTCAGTAAAGTCACTTAAGTCCTTTCTCCACTTCTTCTAGTGAAATAGAGTCTCATAGGAATGTTTCTGAAGACATTGACTACTAAAACTCCAGAGCCCCAGAGCTCTGAGATTGGGAGAGCCGGCGGCGGCGGCGGCGGCGGCGGGAGGGCAGCTGTTCCCCCTGTGTGGGCAGAAGCCTTCAGATCTGTGTGGGGGTGCACATCTGTAATCCCAGAGGGAAGCAGGAGGATCAGGAGTTCAAGGCCAGTCTCAATCACGTAGCGAATTTGAGGCCAGCCTAAGCTACGTGAGACCCCTGTCAAACACCTAAGGCCTGGGGATCTGGAGATGTAGGTCAATGGAAGAATGCTTCCGCAGGCCCTGGACTCAACTTCCAGTACTCCTGAACAACAGAGATAAAAGTTAAACCCAGGCCTGGTGGCACATACTTGTAATCTCTGTCCTGGGGAAGAGGAGGCAGGAGGCTCGGGAGTTCAAGGCTACATAGCAAACCACTGTCTCAAAAGGGTCTATCAAAACAAAGAGGAGTTAAATATGTGCACCATTTCCCTGCTGAATGGGAAGGGGCTCCTTGGGACCTTCGGCTCCTCAGCGTTTGTTGTATAGTAGTAGCTAACCGATGACATCATTCCATGCTGCTTAGATGAAATGAACGTCTGTGTTCCAGAGAATGAGCACAGGAGTCCACAGGAGTTACAGTACAGTCGTTCTGAACCTAGTCTCGGGCTCGGCTTCACCCTTCTTCTGACTTTGGGCACACATTTCAACTTCTTGAGCTGTTTGTTTATGCAGGGATGAGGATGTAAGAGTGGCTGATCCAAAGAGGTCATCGAAGTAAAGTGATCGTCCCATATTGTAAACACTCAACAGGTCGAAACCGGTCTGACCTAACCATAGCATTCCCAATCTGTTTCCACCTTCAGGGGGAGTTGGCTTAGTGGGAGAGCCATGGGAAACATGCCCCTCTTGATCAGCATTGTGTGTTACAAGAGCAGCAGAGATCTCAGGCAGAAGGAAGCCAGTACCTGTGGAGGCTTCCTGAAGTCTCTCCAGGAGACTCACATTTATGACTGGTGACCTACCCCTTCCTTGATGAAGCCTCTGGTGAGCAAGCCATGAATCCCGCTGAGGGTGTCCTCACTCACAGGGCAGTGGTAACGTCCTCCGCTGAGGGAGGCCAGCTTCCTCAGGAACTCAACTGCTGCTCTGGAGGAAGAACAGAGGCCCAGGGACTCACAGAGGCCAGGAAAAGCAAGCAGAGCCCCAAGCCCAGTGGAACTTAAGTCTTGTGGAGCTCAAGGGAAAGCAGCCTGGCTAATGGGCCTCAGCTTGTACCATCTAGATCACTGTTAGGACCATCAAGGACACTCTCAGGCGTGGTATACACATCCACCACTAGTGTCTACTGTGTGAAAGGCCTACAGGGACACGAATACGGTCCTTATAGAGTTCATAGTTGAGTCAGAGAGAGAAAATATGTACCCAAGTAACCAATTTTATTAATAATAAAGTTTATTTTTTTTATTGGGGATTGAACTCAGGGCCTCATACATCTAAGTATATACTCTGCCACTGAGACATGCCTTTAGCCCTCAGGATAAAGGGTTCTTTTTTTTGTTTTTTTTGTTTTTCGAGACAGGGTTTCTCTGTGTAGCTTTGCGCCTTTCCTGGAACTCACTTGGTAGCCCAGGCTGGCCTCGAACTCACAGAGATCTGCCTGGCTCTGCCTCCCGAGTGCTGGGATTAAAGGCGTGCGCCACCACCGCCCGGCTTGGATAAAGGGTTCTTTAAAGGGGCTGCATCTTGTCTAACACAAGTTCTTCTAAACGACCATCTGTAATAAGAATTGTTCTATCAAGGTCAAGCCAGTTTAAAATGCCAGCATGGAGGGGGAGGGGGTCCAGAAGGCCTCCTCCTGGCTGAGGAGCTAGTGAGAGTTGGTGGCTAGTCGGGGAGGGAAGAGTTGCTTCTCTTAGGGTGTGTGGCCACGGGTAGGCTGCCAGGCCCCAGCAGATGGCCCCCTATCCATGTACATTCAGGCAGCACAAATTAGACTCAGTGTGCTATCTTAATAAAAAAGAAAGATGGGGCTTGAGAGAAATGGTTCAGGGTTCAGATCTCTTGTCGCCTTTGCAGAGGACCTGGGTTTGAGTCCTAAGATCTACAGGGCAGCTCACAACCATCTATAACTCCAGTTCCGGGGGCATGAACCCCTCTTCTGACTTCTGAAGGTACCAGGCACTCTTGTGACAGACATACCTACATGTAGACAAAATATTCCTACATATACGATAAAAAAAAATAGTTTTTGTAGAGGAAGAAAAACCATGAAATTGAGAGGGACATATTGTGGGGATCTAAGGGAAGTTGGAGGTTGGAGTTGGGGGTAGGTGTAATCATGCACGCATACACGGATGAAGTTTTCAAAGAATAAATAAAAATATTAAAGACAGTGCTATGATGGTGTTTTCTTTTCTAGTTTCCCCAAGTATTCATAAACGTTTTCCCCAAGTAAAGAAGGCCAGAAGGGAGAAGACAACAGGAATCATGAACTAGGGTGCATCAGTTCAAGGGTGCAGAGTGACGTAAGATCGGTTTGTTGCTTGGTCAGTCTGGGGTGGGGAGAGGGTTGCTGCTCTGTGGTGTCCAGGTCACTAATTAAAGCAATGCATCCCTAGTTCCTGTGTCTAAGGGAGGCCCTGGCTCAGTGGAGGCTCTCAGGCCTTTAGACATGTAGCCTAGGAGAAGCAAGTTCAGCTTACTACAGTTGCTCACCTGTCTGTGCTCGTCAGGGAGATAGTATGCACTTTGACGTCTCTCCCCTTCCACAGCCTTTGCACAGTGTCAAGAATAAGGCTGCAGCTTGTGTCTGGCTTTCCGTCAGTTAGGAGGTACAGGCCTTGCATATCCTGAAAGCTGAAGGCTTTCTAAGAGAGCATAGGGAGGTAGTCAGACATGGGAAGGGAGATTCGCTGGGAAGGACAGAAATGGCCCAAAGGAGGAGACTCTGTCCCCAAGGAAAATGTGTCTGACAGGATTCTACAATTGCCCATTAAGATTATGATTCTGGGCCACCAGGACAGCTCAATATGTAAATTGCTTTCTATGCAAGCCCGGCAATGTGAATTTGATTCCTGGAACCCATGTAAAGTTGGAAGGAGAGAACTGACTCCATGAAGTTGTCTTCCACACATATGCCATGCCACGTATGCCCACACAAATCATATCCCCCACCACACACAATGAAAATAAATTTTAAAAAAGATTGAAATTCCACTTCCAGCCTAAGATAGAACAAGGGAGCTGCTGACGGTCAGGAGGGGGAGCATGGACCACTTCCTAGCTTGTTAGTCCCAGACAAGCCACCCAACTTCCCTAAGCCTCTGTGTCTTCCTCTGAAAGTGAGAGCCCTGTATCACCCGACTATTAGGAGGATGAGATGAGGTGACATGCTGTAGGTCCCAAAGCATCATGGGCTACTGGTATGGGGTGGCACTGTTTGTGCTACAGGGTGGGGATCAGTGGCAGCACTTGCCATTAAAGCGGATAAGAATGAAGTGTTCCCGTGGGCTTGTAAGCGGGTCACCCACTGCATAGCCTCGTGACACGCTGATTCTGTGGTCTCCACCAGAGTGTTCTGCCATGGCTTCAGGTCCTTGGCAAAGCTGAGCAGGTTAAAACTGGAGAGGAAGAAAGAGAAGGGGGCAGAGAGAGGAAAAACGATTGGTAAGAACAGGCCAGTTTGTGCTGATGTTGTGGAAGTCACCTCTGTGAGGACTGTTCACTTGAGGACTCTACATGAGTCCCAGACACTGAGAAGGGAGAGAGTACCCCCTGAAAATGCTAGATGCAAATGTAAGGACATTAAGATGCTGCCCTGGGGCAAAATACAGTGCTCTTTCCTTCTCCACAAATGATTCAAAAGAGCATTTCTCATTTCTAAAACCTCTCTACCCCTTGGAACTGTGAGGAACTGGAAGTGTGCTCAGCCTGGGAAAACGGGGAACTGCCCTCTAATCTTCCTGACCCTACCCACCCCTGTCACCTACCTGTCACAGTGCTTCCTCAGCTGCTCCCAAATCAGCAGAATCATCTCTGTCTTCATCTGCTGCAAGTGGGGGCCCATGGAGCCCGACGTGTCCAGCACGATGCACACGTTGCTTTCCAAGATGGTGCCAAACAGCCTGCGGCTCCCTGCTCCAAGGTGGGTGGCAGAGGCAGGGAAGGGGCGAGATGTTAGTTTTCCTCATGGTCTCTACAAAATACCAAGTCTCGTAGCACCTACTGCCTCCTCCATAACCGGTCACAAATTCTCCACTGGGAGATGGCGCTAGAGAAGTCAGCTGTCCAAGGGCTGACTTGAGATTTGGGAGATCAAGATTTCATCTCTGGGGACTGGAGAGAAAGCCAGGGTGAGGGACTGAATGGAGACACCTGTGCGGGATAGGTGAGACATAAACAGAAGTTGTCCAAGGCCTGGGGACTCATCTCAAGGGGAGATCCAGAGGGCTAGCAACTTGTCCAGAACCTACAGCTTACAGACTAGGTTCTGTCTTGGTCCCCTAATCCACACTTCTGCAGTGGAATGTTGTTCTGTATGCTTTGAATATGTGTTGCTCTGATTGGTTAATAAATAAAACTCTGATTGGCCAGTAGCCAGGCAGGAAGTTTAGGCGGGGCAAGCAGATGAGGAGAGACACAGGAAGAGGAAGGGTAGAGTCAGGAGTCGCCAGCCAACACAGAGGAAGCAAGATGACAAGGCAGAGCTGAGAAAAGGTACCAAAGCATGTGGCTAAACATAGATAAGAATTATGGGTTAATTTAAATGTAAGAGCTAATCAGTAATAAGCCTGAGCTAAGGGCCAAGCAGTTATAATTAATATAAGCTTCTGAGTGATTATTTTATAAGCAGCTGCAGGACCACGGGGCCTGGTGGGACCAGAGAAACCTTCCTACTACACACTTCCATCTGGCACCCTCTAACTTTGGTCTTCTGGTTGTACAAGGCTAAACAGAAATGACAGTGGGGAAGTTCGGCAAGTATGTGAGATGACCAATGTCATGAACATTGGTGTTTACTGGGACAGCAGAAGAAAACTGACAAATGGCTGGAATATCAACTAGCCACTCTCCATGATAAGTGGACCAAGTATGTTGGACCTTGGTGTGTGGTGATAGTCTATTTGTGCTGAAATATGATATTTTATTTGTATGTTAGTAAAGTTTGCCTGGAGGTCAGAGGTCATAGTGAAGTCATAAACAGAAGTCAGGCGGTGGTAGCACACGTCCTTAATCCAATCACATGGCGGGCAGAGTCTCTGTGTGGTCAAGGACATAGTCAAGGTGGTGATATGCGCCTTTAATCCCAGTACCAACCATAGAGACCTGGAGGTCTGTATAGACGGGCAGTGATGAGGAAGTGATGTGGCTGGGTTCAGAACCAATGAGAAGGCAGAACAGGAAGGCAATAAAAGCACAGTTTAGACAGAAAGAAGCTCTCTCTGGGAAAGCTACAGCGTGGTGGTAGGTTAAGGCTAGTCATGGCTATTTGCTATTTCTCTGATCTCTTTGGCTATTACCACTGTATTTGGCTCTGTGTTTCTTATTTAATAAGACTGTTTAGAAATTCATCTACATTGGTGCCCAGGGTCTTCCAGGATTCATCTGGGTGTCCCAAAGCAATTCTGTCATACAGAAGATAAGAGGAAAGCCAGCCTGAAGCTGGCAGGGTGGTCTATGAGACTGGCCAGCCAGTGGTCAGCCCTCCAAGGACCTCAACCACAAACATTTAGAATCTGATGGCAGGAACATAGTGTGAGCCACCATGCCCTGCCCATTTTCACCTTCCAAATTTCTCATGCTCTGCCCACTTCTCTGCCTACGTAACCCAGGCCAGCTCTCTTCATCTCCCCAAAGAATAGGACCAGATAATGCCTGTTCTGCTCTATCCCCCAAGAGTTTATCATCCACAGAGCAGCAGAGGGATTATTGGAAAAGCTGACCGATCATTTTCTACTATGGAAAATCTGCTAATGGCTTCCTGTTGCTCTTAGTGACATCTGTGCCCTAGCTGCATCTCTCTCTTGTGAATGCTCTTTGCTTGGCTCCTCCTTACCACACTGTCCTCTTCTTTTCAGTCTTTGAACTCAGAGTTGCCCCTTCCACTCAAGGCCTCTGCCCCAGACTGCCTTTCTTCTACACATCACTTCAGGGACACTTTCTCTGAGATGACACTTTCCCACCTAAGCCAACTGCCCCTCACAGTGCTGTACCGCGCCCCCACTTGCCCTGCACTTATCAGTGTTGCCATATCACACTTGTTTGTGACTCTTTTGGATAACAGCTCTCTCCTAGACCACATGATCCATGAGCTCAGGAGCCCTGTTGGGACTTGCCTTCTATCCTCTCCCACACACCTGGCAGGAGTTCAACACTTCTTCATTGAATGAATGAGTAAACAAATGAATGAAGTAACCCCCCCGGGTGAGTTTGTGTGTCTGAGTCCTGGGGACTGAACGTGTGGCTTTGTACATGCAAGGCAAGCACTCTGCCACTAAGCCATATCCCTGGCTCTCAGGTGAGTTCGAGGTACAGGTGTTTGGGTGTGGACCTGTGTGTGGGGTGTGAGATCCTTGCTACAAATGATGGCACTCAGTCATCAGCTCTTCCAAGTGGCTGGTGTGAGTTGAGAACAGGGAACTCTACTTCCCTTTTGCCCTGCCCTAACCCATGACCTGTCAGTCACCTCTGGAGATGGGAAGAGGTGCTTTGGAAAGCAGCACTCATGGCCACACACTATGACCACAGACTGTTTAATACATAACCCCCATTTCCTACTACCTGGCAGCAATGGTCGGAACTAGGACATCCTCAGTCAGGTACAGGGAAGTGATGGAGGTATTCAGCTCTGTAGGTAGCCTGGACAGGCAGACGCTCCCTCTGGGTCCCATCCCACACTTCTGTCCCCTAGCCCCTTGCCTGACCTCTGGACCCAGAGCTCACTGATTCAGTCCAAGGAGAATCGGCTTGGAAAAACCCACTGGCCTGACAGTTCTTGAGGAGTTGGCCTTGAAGGACTGACCCTGAAATTCCGGGGTTAGCCTTACCTCTCTCTCGGGCTCCTCCCACCTTTCCAGGCTGTAGTCAGACTCACCAGACAGCAGCCACTGCAGCCTTTTCACATAACACCTCAGCATCTTCTCCATGCACGTGATGTACTCCTCCATTTCCCGCAGTGTCCACCGGATGTGCTTAACCACTCCCTGGGGGAAGCAAGCAGAGGCTGATACACCCCACCAGTGATGGTTCACAGTCTCAGAACCCCTAAAATAGTTTATGCCATTGAAATAAACAACTCTCCACATATTTCTTTAAATATATATTTGTTTGTTTGCATGCTTCATTCATGAAGCAGGGTCTCACTGTGTGGCCCATGCTGGCCTTGAACTTATCATCTTCTTTCTTCTGCCTCCTGAGTCCTAGCATTGCAGACACAGACCATCATGTTTGGAATGGTTTTATTTATTGAAAAGTTATTTTTCTTTTAATTTACTACTAGATTCCATGATTCTGTGAAGGAGTGGAAAATAGGATAAGGGTGGATGACAGAGTCACCGGAGTAGTAAAAACTACCTCATCTCCAAGTTTTAAAATAGAAAAGCCTTAATCAAGGGCCAGAAGGTCTGTATATTTCAAATGGAAAGATAACCTCAGACAGAGAGGGGTCAGCATGAGAAATGACCCCACATTCTCTTAGTGGATAGTTTTTAGGCTATTTCAGTTTCCTCTGATGTTGATAACATGGTATCAAAGGGCGAAGTGGGAAAGAAGCCAATTTTAATTTTCTACTGAATGCACTTACTGCAACCTCAGAATAATGGGAAAAGCACCTCTCACACAGAAAGCAGAGAAGGAACCTGCCCCTCCTGCCATCCTACCAGGGCCGCCTCGGCCAGTGTTGGGGCACTGTGATGGTGTGAGGGGGAATGGCTCCCAGAGGGTCACATGTTTGAATACAGGGCTCCCAGCTGGGAAGGATTAGGAGTGTGACCTTGTTGGAGAAGGTGTGTCCTTGGGGTAGACTTTGAGGTTTCAAAAGCCCATGTCATTCTCAGTTAGCTCTCTCTCTGCCTCATGCTTGTGGTGTGAACTCTCAGCTACTGCCAATGCCTGCTTGTATGCTGCCATGCTTCCCGTCACAATGGTCCTGGACTCTAACCCTCGGGAACTGTAAGCCCCAAGTAGACTCTTTTCACTACAAATTGCCTTGGTCATGGTTTTTTTTTTTTTTTTTTTTTTTTTTGTTTTTTTTTTTTTTTTTTTTTTTTTTATCACAGTTACAGAAAAATAAGACAGGTACCAACTGCTTTGGAGTGGCTACTTTAGCCACTGCCTGTGTGCTTAATATCTGCTTCTGGGTCTTGCATCTACTCCAGAGTATGACCTCAGACCGTGAGGACTTGGCTTTTTCTTTTTCTACCAGAATTCTGTGTTTTCCATCAACTGAGGGAAGGCCTACTTTAGGAAGTGAGGCTGTATCAGGAGTAACAGATGTCAGTGTCCCCTGACCGTCTCTCTCTGCCACTGGCAGCTGCCAAAAGTAATGAACTGGGGGATGAGGAACACACACACATCGTCACTTACGTGGATCTCTACACTGGGGAAGAGAGTGCAGTGTTTGGCTGCCCTGCGTGCTGACCTTTGACTTCCACAGTGGGGCCCGAGACATCTGGAGAGCTCCAGCTTCAGTTTCTTCAGCCCGCAGGTGGCTATCCACTTTAGAATAAAAAGGTAACTCTGGTAAGGTAGGCCTACATGAGCAGCTGACTCACAGGTCAAAGGTTTTTGTTGGAAGTATACTCCTGGTCCCCTCCAAGCATCTATTATGCTCCTGGTCCCCTCCAAGCATCTATTAAGCTCCTGGTCCCCTCCGAGCATCTATTATGCTCCTGGTCCCCTCTGAGCATCTATTACTTGCAAATCCTCTCCTCAGCCCTGGGAGAGAGATGCACAGGAATGGCCGACAGGGAACCCAATGCACTGAGCATACACTTGGCCTTGTTGACTCTGGTAGATGTTATTGATTCTTAACACCCAGCACAACCTTCTATTATAATGGTTGGGTTTAAATGGTCTAAAGTTCAGACTCTAAAACCAATCAGGATAACCTCAGTCTCTTCATCCAATGGAGAGATGTCAGGATGTAGGCTCCAATCCATTTGAGCATGATATCTAGGATCAACCCAGCCAGAACCAAGGCCAGACTGTCATTGAATGGTTGTGTGGAAAAAGATGATATGAACTAGTAGGGGGATTTCTGTTGCTTATACCCCCAAAGGATCTGACATCAATAAGGACTATGACAAAATACACTTTAGTTGTGCCTCATATCAATCTTATGAGATAGGCACAATGTCTTCCTTCATTTTATTTATTTATTTATTTTGGTCTTTTTCTTTCTTTCTTTCTTTCTTTTTCTTTCTTCTTTCCTCCCTCCCTCCCTCCCTCCCTCCCTCCCTTCCTTCCTTCCTTCCTTCCTTCCTTTCTTTCTCTTTTTTTTGAGACAGGAGTCTCTTTATTAGTCCTGGTTGTCATGGAACTTGCTATATTAGACCAGGCTGACCTTGCACAGAGATCCGCTGGGATTAAAGGTATACACCACTTGGCCCGGCTTGATTTCACTTTACACAGTGAGACTGAGTGTAGTTATGTGACTTCCCGATGTTACCCAGCTAGGAGGTAGCAGACTCTCTGAGATTATTACCATTACCGTATGTGTTACAGTCAGCAGCCATTCTTAACAGCTTTGTCTTCTTTTCCAAGTACACCCACCCTCCCAGAAGCCACGGTTAGTAGAAGGAATCACTAAGGGGCGTGTGCTGACATGCATAACAATACCTCTCGACTTGAGCAAACAGCATCCTTCCTGGGCAGCTCAATACAAGAGTTAGCCCTTCTAACAAACTTCCCTTGAGGGTACCTCTTGGACATAGAACCTAGGAGAAACACAGCAGTGTTACCACAGATATGTCTCTACTTTCCTCCCTTTCTCATGTCAATTTCCCTGCCAGTCAAATTCATTGCAAATTATTTAGGTATAATTTGCTGGAGATGTGGAAAGCAAATTATGAGGATGAGGGCAGGCTGCTCAGGGCTCCCCTTCTCCATTTAGCAAGGAATCCAGCTAGGATGGGTACTGTGATGGCTAATCTCCATTGTCAAATTGACTGGATTGAGAGCCACCCAGAAGACACGGCTCGGCATCTATCTTTGAGGGAACTTCCGGAGAGATTTGACTGAGGAGGGGAGAGCCGCTCTGAATGTGGGTAGCGCCATTGCGTGGGCTGCAGTTCTGGTCAGAATAAATGGGGGGAAAGGGGGAAATACCACCATTCAGTTTTCTCTGCTTCCTGATTGTAGGCACAGCCACCTTGTGTCCCTGTTGGCACAGCTGAGAGCTTTTCCCTCCACAACTTTCCATCAGGATGGACTATAGCTCATCAAATCGTGAGCCCAAATACAGTCTTCCGTTAGCTGCTTTTGTTTGTATTTTGTTATATGAAGAAGAAAGGTATCTAATATAGGTACCATTTCATAACAACCCAATGGCAGGTCAAGGGAAATCTTTATTCCTCTCCTAACTGTCCTTGGGGCTCAGGAAACTGCCTCTCCCGGAAGGCACCAGTGTCCAAAGACCGTGAGCGAGCCCACCTGCACATGTCCAGTCTTTGGCTGGGAGAACTGAGCTGTTTAAGGACAGGCCTGCTCCAGAGGCTGAGTCCTGAAGGAGATAGATGGGGCTACTGTCCTCATCAGGTTGCCCAGGGCCAGGAGCTGTTCAGATGCATATATTGGCTCTAGCTTACCCACACTATTCCCCGAGTCTGTGCTGAACACAGAGAGAGCTGTATCATCTGCCCCGGGCTTGGCCTTCCTCCTCTGTTCCACCATCCCTTCTTTCCCAGGATGAACTGCAGCTGGAAGACAGTTGAGTTTTGGTTGGGCTACTCTGTAGGTCCTACTGATAAAGCCATGTTGCTTGGCTCTCTCTATTTCAACTAAGATCTACGCTGGGCATGGGATTCTCAGGCTCCTCGCTCCCATCTCGGGTTCCTTGCCCTTGTCTGGACCAATAATAGCTGGAGCTACTCTCTCCAGGTCCTGATAGCTCCTGGACACAGTGTTAATGCTTAGTGTGCCTGTTAAATTTCCTCATGGTCCCCCAGGTTACAGACGGGCTAATAAGAAACAGAGTGGAGACTCCTGGGCTTGCTGCCCTGAACCACAGTGCTAAAAATCTTTTTCTTTAAAACAAAGATACATAGTCTCAGGTTTATGAAGTGAGTACTTTCATAAAAATAGCTGTGACTTCTCTTGATGAGTCCCTTTTGGACTGAATCTTGTCAGTAAAATCAGCAAATAGGGAGCTGACTGCTGAGGGCTGATGGCTACAGGCCTTATGAGAAGCATCTCGGCTGATAGGCTGGCAGTCAGTCAAGCATCATCATCATTTAGTCACTTTCATTATTAATTCATTCCTCAGTGGTACCTGAGCTGACCCTCCACCCCCACCTCTCTGCTGCCATTCCTTACCTGAAGAGATGCTTGCTTTGCCACTGGGGGGATGACACTTCAGAGCTTTCATTTGGGGGCTCTTGTCGCCATTCAGGTCATCTCTAATGTTCTAGAAAACAGGCCATCTTTCCCATCAGAGGCCTGCTGCCTGTGGCAGGCAGTTCCCCAGTCACCCTGACCTCAACCTGCCAATCAAGAATGTTTCCAGGGAGGGATTGAAGAGAGTTAGCACCTCAGGCACATTTGGCCCACCTTCTGCGGCAGATTTCACAGGGGGCTCTGGGTTTGGGAGTGAAAAGGTGTTTAAGTGTGAGCTTTCATACATGTAGTATAAAAGGGCACTAGTGGAGCATTGGGTGTTTGCCAGAACATTCTTTACTAGTTTCCTGATTCTCTTCCTACTAGACTAGATTTTCTGGGCCTCCAGCATGACAAACAACCATTTAGGTAACTTCGATGCTCTAATTTTGTTGTTCTTTTGAGACACAGTTTTGAGGCTTTTGCTGGCCTGGAGCTTGCTGTATTGACCAGTCTGGCCTTGAACTCATAGAGATCTGCCTGCCTCAGTCTCCCAAGAGTTAGGATTAAAGGCATGTGCCACTCTACCTGACATTTCTATGTCCTCTTGGGTCCCTCAGTTTTAGAGGAATTCTTCCCTTACTGGGCATACATAGAACATAGTAATAGTTTCATAATGTCAGCAGAGGCACCAGGCCAGCAAAGGGATCCTTTTGTGAACTGTGGTGAAAAGGCCTAGATGCCGTCCCTCCAGGGAGTGCTCAGCCTGTCAGGAGGGCCCAATAGAAGCCATGGTACAGCCTAGCCCTCCTCATACTGAGTCAGCTATGAACTACTGAAGGTACTAAAGGAAAGCCCTGAGATGCTGGGGTTCTCCCAGAACTGGGAGATATTAAGAGGGGGTGGGGATAAGCCTGGGATGTTGGGCTTCTCTGAGTGAAATTCTGGAATGCCTTGGAAGTGCAGCCTATGGCTAAGCTATATATGCCTGGGATAGACTTGCCCATTCTGAAATGTGTGTGTTCACTAGTCAGCAGCCTCCAGGGTTCACTGACTCTTCTGCTCACAGGGCTGAGCTGTGTCCCCTCTAGAAGGCCCTCTGACCACTTAGGTGAGCAATGAATATTTTATGTAAGACACGTTTGATGCCCATGAATGATGATAATCCCCAGCAGGCTTAGGCTGAGCTTTGGGAGTCCTGTCATACCCCACTAAGCTTGGTCTGCAGCAACAAGGTCCTATTAGCGACTTACTCTTTCCCCCACAAACCCTTCAGGTTGAGCTACCACATGCAGAGGAGGAGGGTATAGTTCCACAGAGATCCTAGAATGAGGCTATGGAATGAAGCTGAGGCATAATCAAAGTACAGGGGAGTAGGAGAGCCATAGGTGCCCCCTCTAAGCTAAGAGGCAGGTCCTCTTTCCAGTGGGCCCCAGGGGACATCCCTCCCGGGTCTCTGCCCCCACCAGTGTTAGCCCTGGGGCCTGGCCCAGTTCTTTTAAGAGCTAGGAAAGACAAGGAGACAAGCTGGAAACAAATCCTCTGTGTGTTATTAGGGAAGGGAGTCAAACCATTCTGGCCACCGAGGGGGCTGTGGGCTTGGGAGGACAGAGATTCTTGGACGAACTTTGCTTGAGCATCTTTGGCTTGTCTTTCTGAAGGGCTGCACTTTGCACTTCTTTTCCTGAATGGTTCTTCAGGGAGGCCACGAGGAGGGCACACTGCAAAGGGGGTTGGGTGGTTAGCAGCACACCAGCCACTGTGGGTAGATAGACACACATGCACAGCAGGACAGAATCCTCTTGATGCTTCTTTCTGCTCAGAGAATGCAGTTTGGGGCTGTGGATCAAGCTTATGAAGAATAAGGATGCTCTTATTGTATTGGACATTGAGCAAATTCACATTTGGGGTCTCAAGCCTTCAGGCCAAGAAGACATGCTAACATCATTTTATACCCAGCTCTTACAGTTTGAATATGAAATCTTTCCTGCTGACTCATGTATTGAATGCTTGGTCCTTTACACTACTTTGAGAGGTTCTAGAAACTATAGAAAGAGGGGCCTTGCTGGAAGAAGGTTATCTGGAAGCAGATCCTTGGGAACTGGATCGCTCTTTGTCCCATCCTCTCTGCCCCAAAATCAGCTGCTCTGTTCCAGAACATGTCCCGGCCATGATGCTCAGCCTCACCTATGTCCCCAACATGATTTTCAGCCTCACCTATGTCACAGATTCTTCCCTCGGCTTGGATATGGGCCCTACAAACTCCCTGTCTATTCTAGGCTTGAACTGCTCCAAATCTCTGCTGTGGAATAACCCTTTTGTACACTGTGAAGATGTGTTGCTCTCATTGTTAATAAAGAGCTGATTGGCCAATAGCTAGACAGGAAGAAGTTAGGCAGGAAAGCCAAACTGAAAGAATACTGGGAAGAAGAGGGTGGAGTTGCCAACCAGACACAGGGGAAGCAGGAGATGAACATGCATGCCATGATGAAAAAAGTTACCACCACGTGGTAGAATGCAGATAAGAAGTATGAGATAATTTAAGTTGTAAGAGCTAGTTAATAACAAGCCTAAGCTATTGACTGAGCATGTATAATCAATAAGTTTCTGTGTCAGTTATTGGGGAGCTGGTGGTCTTCACAAAAAAGTCACCTACAAATGGTACCCAACTTGGGGCACCTACATCCACATAAGACTTGAGAAAGCTTAAAAGAAGGTTCTAAACACACACACAAAAAGAGGCAACGTGGCTTCCTAGTCTCGTGTCTCTCATGCTGGCTGCAAAATAGAGACATGTCTCCCAACCGCTGCCTGCAGACTTGAGTTGCTCATGCGAGCCCCACCAGCATGAGCCCTGCCAGCATGCCATGAGCTAAGCCATGTGGTGGGTTTAAGATTTTGCTCATGAAGACAGAAAAGATTACAGGTATGCAGTAAAGACAGATCTAGATGGAAAAAAAAACTCTAAATGAGTTACAGTGTGTTTAAAAATGTACATAGGCTTGAGAGAGAAAAGAAAAAGGGTGTAGATAGCCATACAAAAAGAATAGTTTAAAAATAATAAAGTGCTTAAAAAAGTAGTAAAGTAATATAAAAGAAAAAATCCACGTAAAGATGGAAAACACAAAAGGAGTCTGAATCCTGTATGTTATTGTGCTGTCTTTGAAATTTTTTTTAATTTTTTTTTTCAACAGGGTTTCTCCATGTAGTTTTGGAGCCTGTCCTGGATCTCACTCTGTAGACTAGGCTGGCCTCAAACTCACACTGCCTCTTGAGTGCTGGGATTAAAGGCATGCACCACCACCACCGAGCTGTCTTTGAATTTTTTGATTGCTGATGAACAAATGATAGCTGCTGGAGACATTGGGTTGTGAAGGCTGCTGGATTAAAGCAACCTATATATTTTAAAATTGTCGACCTCAAAATGAAAGTCAAAAGATGTGTTGCTTCGGGGAAGAGGTTGTGCTTTTATTCCCACAGAAAAAGAAAGGCTGTGGACTTGTTCAAGGTTGAAGATGATCAGGTTTAATTGGGGAAAACCCCCTGAAAATTCTGGCTACAGACATAAAGAAATCAACCTAAAAAAACCTGTAAGACATGTAATGTATATTTTACCTGCTCAAACATAAAACAAAAATTTATCTTTAACTGACTTGTACACTCCACACATTCCATACTTGTGGTAATACAGATATGCATGTTATCTTTGAAAGTTTATGTATTTTTAGAACAAGGGGACCAGTGAAAGACACCAATGAAAATGGATAGCCCAGATGAGCCAACATTTCAGAATGCCTCTGTTGTAGTTTCCTCAGAGTTCTGCATCCAGAACAGCTTCAATGCTGCTGGTTGAGATGATCCAGCCTAACATACTACTCTAGCCAGGGCTTAACCATTATCCTGAATATTCTCAGGGTCCCCCCAAAATGCCAGCTCCCCCAGACAACAGGAAGCAGTCTAGAGAAAATAACACCCACATTCTCAGAAGATAGGTTATGGATGCTTGCCATCATTTAAGGGGGGTTGGTTATAAATTTGTGTTGGTTATGGTCAGGGAAAAAGTTGAACAAAGGAGTTAAATTCAAAGATCTTTTTCTAAAGGAAAAAATTTATAAAATTTTTATAATATAAAAATCAAAAGGGTAGATTATTGAATCTACTTTAATCCAAAAAGCAACTATTAAACTCAAAATACTTTCTATTGTTATGGATTTTGGTTTATTAATACAAATTTAAAGTTATTTTTGTTATACTATATGTGTGTTTCTACTCTTGTTTGGGGTTTTGTGCTTATGCAGCTCATTTTTTTCCCCCCGAGACAGGGTTTCTCTGTGTAGCTCTGCGCCTTTCTTGGAACTCACTCGGTAGCCCAGGCTGGCCTCAAACTCACAGAGATCCACCTGCCTCTGCCTGCCCAGTGCTGGGATTAAAGGTGTGTGCCACCACTGCCTGGCCCATGCAGCTCATTTAAAAATGTAACGTATAATTAAGAAATACAAGTTAGTAGTTAGTTATCTATAATAATCAAACTTATAGTCATATTAGTTATGTTTTCAAGGTTAAACAGATAATATTTAGATAGGCAGATGTTCAAACACTTCAAAGACCTACAGAATATGGCATTTAAGATGTTTAATAACCTGAGGCTTTTCATGACAGTGAGATATGTCTGCTCCTGGCAGCACCAATCTACTTAAATGAAGATGAAGGACATTGAGAAAACTCCATATGGAGTTTATTTTCTTTATGGAAAAGGCTAGCCATTTGGGCAAATAAACTGCTCTTTCTTAGACTGCTAACAGTATGCTGTCCAAACTGGACCAGCAGGATGCAAAAGGGTGTGACTGCCAAATTTTGCAAAAACAAGGTAGGACAGTCCTTCAAAATGCCCTGCTTTTCAGAAATGTCTGTCAGATATGCTAGGCCTATAGGTCAAAGATGGATGCCCCAATGTTACAGAAGAACTCTGGGTGACTGCCCAGGCAGCCAGGTGTCCTTGTCATTAGGTACTATTACATCCTTCTGGAGTCTTTGATAGAGTTAAAGAATAAATAGTTAAACTTATAGTTTTCATTAGTTATGATAAAAAGCAAATTAGATATAAAACTTTAGACTTATAAAGATAAGATAGATAATAGAGTATTTTCTCCAAATTTTTCAAATATAAATGAACTGGATATTGGAACTGTAACTCTTACTTGATAACTGTTTTTGTTATATATAGTTTTACTATGCTAAAGTTAAAACATTCCTTTTTAATTAGACAAAAAGGGGGAAATACTGTGGAATAATCCTTTTGTACACTGTGAAGATGTGTTGCTCTCATTGTTAGTAAAGAGCTGACTGGCCAATGTCTAGACAGGAAGAGGTTAGGCAGGAAAACCAAACTGAAAGAACACTGAGAAGAGGGTGGAGTTGCCAGCCAGATGCAGAGGAAGCAGGAGATGAACATGCCATGCTGAAAAAAGGTACCACCACATCGTAGAGTGTAGATAAGAAATATGGGTTAATTTAAGTTATAAGAGCTAGTTAATAACAAGCCTAAGATATTGGCTGAGAATTTATAATTAATAATAAGTCTCTGTGTCAGCTATTGGGGAGCTGGTGGCCCTGACAAAAAACTCTGCCTACAAATCTCTATCTCTACCCCTTATCTTTTTCCATCTGCCTTCAGGCCATCCTCATTTGTTACCTCATAGGCAAGGCCACCTTTCTCTTAGCCTTACCCCCCATATCCACCCACCATAGACTGTTCTACATTCACTTTCAGTTGATCAATGACACTACTGTCTGCTAGTTTCCCTAGAGAAAACCTTGGGGACTACTTTAGGTTTCTTCTTGTCCTTCGTCCTGTATGTTCCATCAGCTGTAAATTTGGTTAATGCATCTTTAAATATTCTCCTGTCTGTTCCCTTATTCCCACTCTCATTGCTCCTGGCATGATTTGGTCCCTTTCCATCTTTCTAATTTCACCTGTACTACTCAAATCTCCTTTGGGGAAGTAGTATTTTAAATGAATTTTGAGTAACAAAGTGCAGACCATGGATGATCTAGGAAGGAATAGCAGGCAGAGAATACAGCAGTTGCAAAGACTGAGATTAGGGCCTGGGGGGGGGGGGGGGTGCATGCCTTTAATCCCAGCACTTGGAAGGCAAAGGCAGGAGGACCTCAGGTCTACAAAGCAAGTTTCAGGACAGCAAAGGCTGTTACACAGAGAACCCTGTCTTGAAAACACACACACACACACACACACACACACACACACACACACACACACACACACAGACTGAGATTAGGAAGGGGCTTGGTGTATTGAAAGAACTCAAGAGGACAGAATCTATAGCATATAGATCAAAATCCCATGAAAGACAGGAAACAATGTTCCACCTGAAGCCTTGGCTGTCAGTGGATCTAGACATGGAGAGGGAAGCTGGTGTGAGCTGATTTGTGTCTCCTAAGACACATTGCAACTGGTAACTGCAAATGTGACCTTAAAAATAATGTCTATGTAGCTGAAATTAAAATTTAAGTCAAGATGATGTCATATTGGAGTAGGCTGAACCTTTTAATTTCATACGACTAGTGTTCTTGTGAGAGAAAAGACCAACACAGAGGGCAGATAGCCATGTGGAGATGGAAGCATAGGTTGGAATTACGTTTATACAGCTGATGAATGTCCAAACGTGGACCAAACTTAAGAGACAAACTTTTGACTAGGTCTCCACTTTGGCTATCTCAGCTGAGTTTTAGCAAAGAATTTTCTCAGTAAGTTCAGCAAGGCCACTCTCCCCTTGATATCCATACCACCCCTGCTTGAGTTCTAGGTCTTTGGATGGCCTTTAACAAGAACCTCTGAACCCTTGAAGCCTAATCAACTCCCTCCTAGAGATTTTCTACCCATTGACTGCTCACTGTCTACAAATCCCCAGCTATTTCAGCTGTGTTTGGGGTTCTGTGTTTGAACTGTCTCCCCTATTGTAATAGTCTTAGAAGCCTTCCATGCCATTTATAATAAGCATCCAACACACTTGTTTTTCATCAAAACAAAAGGGAGGCAATAATAAAGACCTCTACTTACAGTCTACCAAAGGAATATGGCCCTGCTGCTACCTTGATTTCAGAGTTCTAGCCCCTGGAAGCACAGAAACATAAATGTGTTTTTGGTCCAAACTACTCTGCTTGTAGCATTTTGTTGTGGTGGCCATGGCAGTTAAACACAGGTACCACAGATGTATTAAACCTGACCCACGGCATACCTTTTGGGAGTAGGTGAGGGCTTTTTCTATCTCGGATATGATAGCACTGATGTCATCACTCTCATAAATACCTGGAAACAAAAGCACATCTTGAGCAACAGGGGAGGGTGTGGATCTGGGCAAGTGTCAACATCTGCATGCATGAAGGCCACGGGGAAGTGACAAGCCCAAGGGGCAGGATGGGACTACAGTGGACTGAACTAACCAGCTCCAACCCTGTATCATCCAATGGTATGTTGTCACCAAGAGTGTGATGTAGCACGAATCTTAACAGGTCTTATTAATAAAAGGAAACCCAAGGCCAGTTATTGGGGTGAATGCTGGAAGATCAGAGAAACAGAACAAGCCGCAGCCTCACCTCACCAATTCCTCAGCTGATCCTGTTTCCTCAGACTGGAAGTCTCTGAGTCCTTACCCAGAATGAATCTCAGCTGAACTGCTGCTAAAAGCCTTAAAGCTTAACCAGCTCTAGTTCCTGATTTTCTCGCTTTATATACCTTTCTGCTTTCTGCCATCACTTCCTGGTCTTAAAGGCATGAGTCACCATGCCTGACTGTTTCCAGTGTGGCTTTAAACTCACAGAGATCCAGATGGATCTCTGCCTCCAGAAGGCTAGGATTAAAGGCGTGTGTGCCACCATTTTCTGGCCTCTATGTCTGTCTAGTGGCTGTTCTGTTCTCTGACCCCAGATAAATGTATTGGGGTGCACGATATATTGGGGAACAAAATATCACCACAGTGTAACTGGCCATGGGACTCAGTGTCCTGGCACTCACAGGAAGGGCAAGTTAGGTGCAAAGGTTTTTGCTACTCTATGGAATGGGAGATAATGACCTATATGGTAATTATTTACAGTGACTAATTACAGTGGCTAATATCTGCAGTGAACATTCCAGTGTTGCTCTCGAGCAGGACTCTAGTATTCGGCAAGTACACTGGGCATTAACGCTGACTTGTCTGGGTTCAGCTTCTGTCCTTTAGGCTGTGGCTCAGCTACTCATCTGCTGAACAGGGCAGACAGTCCCCTCCTCCACAGAGTTATGGTGAAGGTCAAGTTATATAGTGCACGTAAGATGCTTCAGCTGTGTCTGCCATCTCACAGCTGTTCACAGCTAGGCTCAGTCCCTCCCACATTATTGTAATGATTTTTGCATATTCATATCATCTATGCCATCACTTATTTCATATATTTTAATTTCATTTACTTCTTGTGTTTTTAAGACTACTTTAAAAAAATGAAAATTTGTCACAGCCAACAAAGTGAAGTCAGCATTTTTCTAAAATGTTAAAAGAAGCATGTAATTATCATAACCATTGCACACACTATATATATATATATATATATATATATATATATATATATATATATATAGAGAGAGAGAGAGAGAGAGAGAGAGAGAGAGAGAGAGAGGGCACAACCTTGCTTCATATACCATCTACAGCTATTTATGGGTTACTTGTGAATATACCACACTTTGGGAACTATAAGTCTAAGGGATCTTTACAATGTGTTCTAGATCTGATGTGTGTGTATGCATGAGTGTGATATTATACACACACACATATAACACTCACATATCAATATGGGGCATCTATCATGGGGATTTATGCACGCTAGGTAAGCACTCTACCACTGAGGTCACCCTCAGTGTTGATTTCTACAGTATTTTAAGGCTTTACCTTTTAAAAATTTGCAGTAAAATATACCCAACGAAAACTTCACCATTTTACTTTTGGTGTGAGTGGGTCTTGAACCTGGGCATACAAGGGACTAACCCCATCACCGAGCTGCACCGTTTGCTCATAGTCACTTTAACTGTTCCGTTCAGTGGCACTAAGTACATTCATGTTATTGTACACCCACCCACCATCACTTGTCATTTCCAGAATACTGATTAACATTGCTATTTTTTGCTTTTTGAGGGCTGGGGATGGAACCCAGGGAATGCTAAGTGTCCCCTTGACCACTGTGCTATACCCCTAGTTTCTAACTTTAATTTACATTATTTATGTGCGTGCACACGCATACATGTGCATGCCATAACATGTGTGTTAACCACGTGTGAGATTTGCCTCTCTTCTTCCACCATGTGTGATCGATCCAAGGGTTGATTTCAGGCTTGACGGCAAGCCCCTTTACCCACTGAACCATGGCTCTGCCCTCCTCACTTGATTTTTTAGAATTGTTTTATTATTTTATAGGCATGGATGATTTGCCTGCATGCAGGTCTGTGCACCATATTAGTGACAGATGCCCTGGGAGGCCAGAAAAAGGTATTGGATCTCCTGGCACTGGAGTTACAGATGGTTGTGAATGACCATGTGAGCGCTGGGACTCAAACCCGGGTCCTCTGGAAGAGCAGTCAGGGCTCTTAACAGCTGAGCCATCTCTCCAGCTTCCTCATTTAATAAATATGACTTTCACATGTTGTTTCTTGGGACTATTTCAATGTCAAGGGGATCCAGTACTGAGACGCTGTCTGGAAAGAAAGGGGCAAGGGACCAGGAAACGCCCACACACCTGTTTCTCCAAACCAGTGGAGGCGACCTTGGGCAGCCCGGGTGATCTCTTTGTAGGCAGTAGCCGTGTCCTTGCGGCTGGCGTAGCAGGCAGGGGGCGTGGTGTCCAGTCGTGGTTCACCCACGTAGAACAGACAGACATTCAGATGGAGGTCGCAACCTCCACAGGCCTCTGCCACATAGGCGCTGAGCGTGGACTGTGGGGAAGAGAGACAGGAAGTCCACACCCGAGGGCCTGGGAGCTGCTGCTCTCCCAACAGCTCAGCTGGTCATCTTTCTCTAAAAGAACATTTCTGAATGTGTGTGTCATGGTGTGTGTGTGTGTGTGTGTGTGTGTGTGTGTGTGTGTGTGTGTGTCTGTGTGGGGTATATGCAGGTGAGCACAGGTTCCCACAGAAGCCAGAAGAGGGCAATAGATCTTCTGAAGTTGGAGTTTGCCAACAGTTGTGAGCCACCTGACATGGGTACCAGGAATTGAACTTGGGTCTTCTACAAAAGTAGCAGAAGCTCTTAACTACTGAGCCATCTTTCCAGCCCCCCCCCCCAGTCATCTTTCCTGAGGCCACTGTGTGCTTGGTCCAGTGCTGTGTGCAAAGACAAAAAGACATGAGTCTGAGACACCATTTCTTCTCACGTTTTAACAGGGTCTGGCAGGGATTTGGGCCTGAAAGCCTGCTCCTGCCAACTAGGGTCTGTAAGCAGCAGTATGGATATGCTTGGAGCTTGTCAGACTCTCAGTCCCCAGCTGAGACCTGCTGAACCACGAGCTGTGACTGTATCCTAGATTCTTGTCTGTGTTACAGTGTGAGTAGAGGTAGTTTAGACACTCGTGCTGGGTTGGGGGGTGTGGCTCATGGTAGAACGTTTGCCTAGCAAAAGCAAGGGCCTAAAGTCTACACTCAACACTGCAGAAAGAAAGAAAAAAAAGACAATAAAAGAATGAACGTGGTGGTGCACGCCTTTAATCCCAGCACTTGGGAGGCAGAGGCAGGTGGACTTTGTAAGTTTGAAGCCAGCCTGGTTTACATAAGCAAGTTCCAGGCCAGACCTTATCTTGCCAACAAAAAAGACAACAGCTGTCCAGGATGGAGGCTACTCACCACATCTTGGTCAGGAACACCCCCTGTGAAGAGGTAGATGCCCTGAGACTCATGTTTGTCCTTGTCCTTGAAGTCTACTTCTATGGCCTTCCGCAGGGCGCTGAGGACATTTCTGCTTCCTTGACACCGGAGGCCCAGAGCCCACCTGGGGAGGCAGGGACACAAGGCCTTGAGGTCCCAAGGACAGTGAGAGGAAAGTTGTTTTCTGATGTCTGCCTTTGGCTGGGGGTGGGGGGGGGGGCGGCCTGCAGAGGGCTACATCCAGGTAGAGACGGGGAGTGGAAGATGATGCCACAGGACAGCTAAGTCACAGCAACAGCAGGGCTCTGCCTCCATCACCTACCGCCAGGCGTTCTGTAAGTTGTCATGGCTCACGGGAACCATCTCAGGCCTCCAGCTCTCAATTGTACTTCCAAACCTTTAAGGAAGAAAAAGGGGCTTGTTTTTAGGACATACGTCCATTCTGAGTCTTTGTTCTTTGGGCTTTACGGGCCTTTAGGGAGATGAAATTCTGACAACAACCCCCCAAAATGTTGGAATGTTGCTGGCTCACAAAATTTTCTTGTTCATCATAACACAGTGAAGCAAACTCCGTGTGGGACAGCGCCAGGATTCTCAAGCAGGGACAGAGTGCGGGCCAGCTTTGGCTGCTGCCCTCTGATACTCTGACATCTCCCTTCTCTGCAGGAACTTCTCCGTCCCCACGGGGAGCCATTCAGTGTTTCCCTAAGACTCTTGGAGTCCAGCATCCCCTCACAGCACACTTTCCTTCCAAGGCTGGACTATGGTCTTTTTCTATAAATATGCATGATCTCATTTTCTTTATAAGCCAGAATTTAAGATTCTCAAGAGGAGAATTCATCCCTTTATGGGTAACAGTGTACCTTTCTCTGGGCCAAGATGGATCTCTCTTGCTGAACCGAGGCCTCCTCTGTGATGGTCTCTTCTGAGAATCCCATAAAACTCCTCCTTAGCAGACACACTCCATGCCCTCTTTCCCATCACCCTGCACAGCTAGGAGCCTCTACTCTGTCTCCCAGGAACTTCTCTCTCTTCCCTTTGACATGCTGGACAAGCTCCCTGGAAAAGCACCACCACTGCACCACCACTGCACCACCACCACACCACCACCGCACTACCACTGCATCACCACTGCTCCACCACTGCACCACCACTGCACCACCACCACACCACCACTGCACCATCACCGCTCCACCACCGCTCCACCACCGCACCACCACTGCACCACCACCGCTCCACCACTGCTCCACCACCGCACCACCACCGCTCCACCACTGCTCCACCACTGCACCACCACCGCACCACCACCACACCACCACCGCACCACCACCGAACCACCACTGCACCACCACTGCACCACCACTGCTCCACCACTGCACCACCACCACACCACCACGGCACCACCACCGCACCACCACTGCTCCACCATCACTCCACCATCACTCCACCATCGCTCCACCACCGCACCACCACTGCTCCACCATCACTCCACCATCGCTCCACCACTGCACCACCACTGCTCCACCACTACACCACCACTCCTCCACCACTGCACCACCACTCCTCCACCACTGCACCACCACTGCACCACCACTGCTCCACCACTGCACCACCACCACACCACCACGGCACCACCACCGCACCACCACTGCTCCACCATCACTCCACCATCACTCCACCATCGCTCCACCACCGCACCACCACTGCTCCACCATCGCTCCACCATCGCTCCACCACTGCACCACCACTGCTCCACCACTACACCACCACTCCTCCACCACTGCACCACCACTGCACCACCACTGCTCCACCACCGCTCCACCACTGCACCACCACCACACCACCACTGCACCACCACCACACCACCACTGCACCACCACCACACCACCACGGCACCACCACCACACCACCACGGCACCACCACCACACCACCATGGCACCACCACTGCTCCACCATCATTCCACCATCGCTCCACCACCGCACCACCACTGCTCCACCATCACTCCACCATCGCTCCACCACTGCACCACCACTGCTCCACCACTGTACCACCACTGCTCCACCACTGCACCACCACTCCTCCACCACTGCACCACCACTCCTCCACCACTGCACCACCACTGCTCCACCACTGCACCACCACTGCTCCACCACTGCTCCACCACCGCTCCACCACTGCACCACCACCACACCACCACTGCACCACCACCACACCACCATGGCACCACCACCACACCACCACTGCACCACCACCACACCACCACGGCACCACCACCGCACCACCACGGAACCACCACCGCACCACCACTGCTCCACCACTGCTCCACCATCACTCCACCATCGCTCCACCACTGCACCACCACTGTTCCACCACCGGACCACTGCTCGCACCACCACCACACCACCACTGCTCCACCACTGCTCCACCACTGCTCCACCACTGCACCACCACTGCACCACCACCGCACCACCACTGCTCCACCACCACACCACCACGGCACCACCACTCCTCCACCACTGCACCACCACTGCTCCACCACCACCACCCCCCACCACTGCACCACCACTGCTCCACCACTGCTCCACCACTGCTCCACCACTGCACCACTACTGCTCCACCACTGCTCCACCACTGCTCCCTCTTCAGCCTATCGCTCTCATGCTTCTGCCTGGGAAGGTACTCTTGCCTTCTTCCTGACATCTGTAGCGGGTGTCTCTAGGAGTCAGTTCCCAACCTTCTATGGCACTTGGGTTAGAAATCCAAAATATACAAAGAAACAAAACATTTTTAACTCTTTGTTCTGTTTTTTTCATTAGAATGCATAGATAGATACATTTATAGAAATGGAGTTATTCAACATGTGTGATGCATAACCTGCTTGCTCCTGCTCCTTTGGACTTGCTGAGGACATTTTCCCCTGTAGTGCAGGTAGGTGCTGAGCATGCTAGGCAAGTGCTCTACCACATCTTTCCTTTGCCTCCCCAACACCATTCTCTGCTGTTTGCCTCCCACGTTCTGGCTTCCCTTCCTGTCTTCCTTGGTCACTGTCTTCCTGGGTGAAATCCTAGTGCTCCCTCAGTATTCTCTGTCTTTCCTCCTTCCTACAGGGGAAACGCTGTTCCAACCATATAACTGGGCATCAGTGGCTCCTGAACCCATGCTTCTCTGCTCCGACTCCTTCCTGGAGCCCCTGCCAGGACACCTTTTGAGATCTCCAAACTTTCAAGACACTCAAACTTGCCGTGTTTAAAACTCTCCCTCCCAACTGATTCCCCTGCCTTTGCCTCCTGAGTGCTGGGATCACTGGTGTGTCACGACGCCTGGCTGAAGCCTCCTCTGCTCTACCTGGGCCATCATCTCCCCATCCTTCATTCCCTACATTCCCCACAGCGAACGGCTCCTCCCTCTGCAGCGTGCATCTCCCCAGTGCTCTGTCTTGCTTCCCCGTCATCTTCCCTTCTCCCTCCATTAGCGTGAGTGTGGCGTGAGGACCACAGTAGAAGCCCACTGGCCTCCTTCCCTCTGGGGTTATGCCCCCTCAGTTCATCCTTCACATTGCTGCTTCAGCTTCATTTGAGGATGAAAACCTGATCATGTTATATCACCTTGCTTAAAACTCCTGAACATGGCCCTGTATAAAGTCTCTATCATCCGGCAAAGCCTCTTGTTTGTATATCCTCATGGAACTACTCCACAGTCCCTTACAATTCTATCGTGCCTCACATTTCCCGCTACCTGGGGTATTCCTTCCTTAGTGCATACCATGCCTATGAGCGGGGCAAACCTTATCCATCCACCAAGACCCAGCTCAAGAGGTCATTCCTCCATGAAGGCTTCTTAAGCTTCCTGGGCCCAGCCAGCACAGACTGAGCCTGCCTTCCATCCTTCCCAGTCCATGAAACCTTCTGCCTATTCATCAGGAAGCACTCAACAGCACTTAATTCTTTTTTTTTTTTTAAAGATTTACTTATTTATTGTATACAATGTTCTGCCTGCATGTGTGCCTGCAGGTCAGAAGAGGGCACCAGATCTCATTATAGATGGTTGTGAGCCACCATGTGGTTGCTGGGAATTGAACTCAGGACCTTTGAAAGAACAGCCAGTGCTCTTAACCTCTGAGCCATCTCTCCAGCCCAGCTGGAGATTCTTAATGGGTCTTCCCTACTAGACCTTAAGTTCCCTAAGGACTGTGTACATTAATTTCTGGATCCCAGTGTCAGTATACTGCCTTGCACACAGCAGGTTCTCAATGAAACCTTGTTGAATTGATAGGTGGGTAAATGGATGAAAACATTGTATAAAATGTTTCTCCAAGGAAGGAAGCAAGGGAGAGGGGGGAGGGGGGATAAGAGGGGACAATAGAGGTGAGTATATAGAAGTACACCATATACATACATGACAACATCATAATACAGCCCATTATTTTTGTGTAATTGGTGTGCGCTAATAAAAAAGGAAAATGTTGCCCTAAGCATTTTTCATCAGAATTTATTAAGGAAAGATTAGGCTCTGGCCTATTATTTAGTACTAACTGCTGACTTTTAGGCCTTCTCTAGTTAAAAGTGTATGCAATTAAAAAAAATGTGTGTTTTCCGTTTTTGAAACAGGGTCTTGCTATGTATGCATCAATGGTTGGCCTAGTATTTACTACACTTGATCTTAGCCAAAAGGCCGAGAAGCGATGGCCTAGTATTTACAATGCAGCCCAGGCTGGCCTGAAATTATAGCTCCCAAACGTTGAGATTACAGGCATGAACTACCATACCTCGTCTTCCAAATGCTAGGGTTTCAGGTTTGTGCTACCACACCTGACATATAGTATCCTATTCAAATTTAATAACCTCTACATATGATATGTAATTACATATAACATATAAAATTTGTTTTTGTTTTGAGACAAGGTCTCTCTATGTAGTCCTGGCTGTTCTGGAACTCACTATATAGACCAGGCTGGCCTTGAACTCACAGAGATTCTCTTGCTTCTTCCTCTTAAGTGCTGAGATTAAAGGCCATCATGATAGTATATGCAATTTAAAACTATATATAATTTGCAAATTTTTAAAGTTACCTATATGGCATATACAATATAACATATATAATTAAATGAATATATATTTTAGAAGCTACATATTATATAATTTTAAAATGATACATAGTTTTAAAACTATAGCTTAAGCTATATATAGTTTCAAATTTTGTATACTATTTATTTATAAATTAAAATTAAATTTAATTTAGAATTGGAATACCAAGTATTTGCCATGCTTGCTAGAACCAGGCTAAGATTAAGACCAGGGCATGGCTGGGTCCCTCTCTTTTCTCTGCTGTGTTTACTAGCTTAAAAGCCAAATGGGGCAATGGGCTGAATTACATCACCCTGACCGATCATGTGTTTTGGGGCCACTTACAACCTTTGCCCCAGTGGGATAGTCCTGCAGCCATTCAATTATTCAAGACCCCAAACAAGATCACCCAAATCAGATAAACTGATAGGCATTCTAAGATGCCGGGCCCTCATAACATCACTATCTGTGGTCCCGCTGTTCGCCCAAAGCCTCAGCCTGGTGGTGGCATCCACACACAGCTTCTTCCCCGATACCCATGGGGAACTCCGGGGACTTACGCGATGATGTTGAAGTGGTCTTTGTTGGACAGCTGCTCCTCTAGCAGCATTCGCAGGGAGTGCTGGATATGAATAATGTACATGGAATTGGTCACCGAGACATCCAGCAGTATAACAACCCTAAAGAGAAACACAAGCTTCAAGAGGCAACCTGAATCTCTCAGATAATGTTTGTTCCATTCCATTTTACTATTTAAAGATTTTTCCAGGGGGATTTTGTATGCCAAACTCATAGATGGCCAAGAATCTCTGTGGTTTGAGACCAACACAAGTAGGCTTATAGTCATCTACGGGTATTGTGGGACCTTCTGTCTTTAGTGAAATGTAGTGAAAGTGGATTAAGCGCTGAGGACTGCATGTGGTGATTTTCCAAGTCAGAAGACCTGTCTTCCCTTTGGTGTGTCACTACTACATATTTACAAAAAGATTCCTTATAGTCAATTACAATACATCAAATAAGGTATGTTGGGATACCCCCCACCATGTGTCACCCAATTCAGCATCTATCCCCTCTTCTGCCAATGGCATCTTCATTTCTCCTTGGGACAGCACTATCTCTATCAATTCGTGTGAGTTGGGTGGAGCTGGCACACACCATGCTTCAGGAGTGGGCATTTGACTGGGAATCCAGAATATCACGTTTCCCTGGCTAGTCTGATGACCCATGGATGCTTAAGTCCTGGAAATGCAAATCTGGTAGGAAGTGGATCCCTGGCTGTATTGCCACCTGCAGGGAAAACCCAATCTGACAACAAAACCCACAGAGAGGAAAGCAGAGCTGGGGGGTTCTTGACAAGCCTGACCCTCTGGATGCAGCAGCCACAGGGCTAACAAGCCTGGGCTAGAATTCCAAGTTACCTTCATCAGACTGCTAAGTTTCAAGCTCACTTTGAGCGTCAGTTATCCGTGTGCGTGCGTGTGTGTGTGTGTGTGTGTGTGTGTGTGTGTGTGTGTGTGTGTGTGTGTGAGTGTGTGAGTGACAGGGTCTTAACCATGTAACCCAGGCTAGCCTCACATCCTTAACGCCTTGCCGCAACCTTCCAGGAGCTGGGATCACAGGTGTGTACCACCATGCCCATTTCTCTGTTGCTTCTAACGGAGAGAATCTTGAGATACAACGATGACGGCTGATGTGGGTGATGACGGCTCTGAGGGGGAATGATGAGTTGGATAGACACTGGGTCACACACCGGACCCCACAAGGAACAAGAGCAGACTTGGCAGGATCAGCACCTCCTTTCGCAGACAGTGCCCCAGATTCTCCTGCTGGCCAGGGAGAGCCACTCCAGGCGCCTCTCGTACATCTGCACAGCTCGCCCAAGCTGCTTCTGTGAAAACATGGGCTACCATGAGTGAGTGTGCCAAGGGTGGCCATGAAAGCCTCGGCTGTGAGGAGGGGAGGTACTCCAGATGGCTTCTGGAAATGGTACATACAGGCAGTATAAACATTTTGCTAGGTCAGGTGCAAGTCCATCATGCTAGTCCATCACAAAACTAGGAAAGGAAGAACCCAAGTATTTCCTTCAAATGAGGGACAGGCAGATATCACCCCAAAAGACCAGAGACTTGTTTGTGGCATCTATGCCCCATATAGGGAGGTGCCCATAGAAACACACAGGGAATTTGATCAATGGCTTGTTGTCTATATGTCCTAAGGCACCTTCCTGCAACTCACATTCTAATGGGTTGGACCCATAACTGACCTGGTACTCATAGAGGAAGGGTGGTTCCACATGGATATTCTTCACTGTCCCATCATGCCATTCAAATTGTATCATTGCTTTCTGCACTCAGACATGGGTAGAATGGAGAACAGGTAAGCAGAGGCATGAATGGGAAATATTACATTTAAATTGGGCGCTGGGCTCTCTGGCTCATATGCATGAGAGAAACAAGTTCTGAGCTCATCTGGAGTCAGATTTTCCTACCTACATGCACACATACCACCACTTGGCCTTGTGTGAAGCCTTCAGGAGAAGGGTCCCTGAATAAGCCAGGCCCGACAGCAAGTCAGAAGCCTTCTTAGGGGATCCTCTGAACATCAAAGCCACTAAGGCATGGTTCAAGTGTTGTGGTAACACAGAGAAGAATCAGAGATATTAAAATCTACTGGCAGCTAGGAATGGTGGCACATGCCTTTAATCCCAGCACTCAGGAGGCAGAGGCAGGCAGACAAAGCAAGTTCCAGGCTAGCTAGGCTACACAGTAAGACCCTGTCTCAAAAAACAAAAACAAACAAACAAAAACCCATACCGGCTATGTTTCTTACACTTGGGAATCCAGACAGGCTTTATAGATACTCAGTACCTATTTGTTGCCCTGTTTGGTCAAGTCGTCACTTTTATCCTACTCATTCATCAGCATTTCCATCTATCCACCCATCCATCCATCCACCATCTGCCCATTTATCTGTTCATCCTTCTATCCATATATCCATTCATAATCCACCCATCTACACTTCAATTCATTCATCAATATTTCCACTTGCCAATTCACCTACCCATTTATCCATCCATCCATTCAGCCTTTCATCCATTCATCCATCTAGTGATCCACTTTTCTGTGAATATTTGCCAGCATTTCCATTCATCCAAATACACATCATTCTCTTCCTTCTTCCCAACTTTCCTTCCACTTGCCTATCACTCAGCAATCCAGGCAACATTCATTGACTGTTTACTTGTACTAGACCTGGTGGACATAGAGTCAGAGAAGAGTCTTTTAAGTGGTCCATACTATGTAGGGCTCTACATGCAGGAATATGCTGTAACAGCCACTGTACAAATATATACAAGGCAGTAAGGACAGCAAGAAAACAAGTCTGTCTTATTTGAGTGGGGTGGAAGACAACATTCATGGAGGAGATGACCACGGTATCAAAGACAATCTCTGGTACCTTCCATAGGAATCCCACTCACCTTCTTTGAGACAGAGTCTCTCACTGAACCTGGAGCTCACCAAGTAGGACAGATTGGCTTGCCAGTGAGCCCCAGGGAGCCTCCTGTCTCCCTCCATCTCTCCTGTACTACATAGTTGTATATCTGTGCTACTACATTTGGCCTTTTTACATGGGGCTGAAGATCAAACTCAGGTCTCCCATGCTTGCAAAGCAAAAATTCTATAGACTGGACTCTCATCGCAGCCTTCATTTTCATATCCTTGAAAACCAGCAGTTATGGTAGATTTTTTTGGTTTGCTTGTTTATACTTTGGTACTGGGTACTGAACCCAGGACCCCATGCATGTTGGTCCATGCATCTCCAGCCTCATTACCCTAGATTTTATAAGCATTCTGGAGTCCTGGATGGAAAACCTGAATCCCACCCAGGCCCTCATACCCATGCTTGTCTGGCTATGCCCTAAGCTTCCACCGTCCCAACGTAACGTAAGATGGGAAGTAGTGTAGGGGAGCACTCCTGCAGAGGACTGGAGAGAAGCGTGACCTGGAATTACCTCATGGATAGTAGCTGACACTGTTTTCTGGAGAATAGGCACAAATTCTTCCACAGTACTGAAGGCGTTTGGTGCCAGAATCTGATAAAGGCTTAACTTCTTGGCTGAAAAACACATTAGCTTTGAGGCATTGCCTGGGAGGCCTCCAAGGTTCCAAGTCTAGTCAGCCACCTGGGTCCTGCCCTCTCTGGGGACTTAATACCTTTTAGACCATTGACTTTCAGCCATTCTGCAGAAGTCTTGTCCAAGTCTGGGAACTCGATTGTGAGAGGAGCTTCATGCTTTGGAGGTTTAGGCAAGAGACTTGTGAATGGGCCTTTCACAATCTCTGTAGAGATCTACATGCAATTTAAAAACTCTCATTACACAATCACATCTTAAAGCTGGGAAGTTCTTCCCCATTCACCCCTCCCTTCCATGTGGAGCTTTTAAAAACATTAGCAGGTAGGTTGAAGGCAATTCTCTGAGGATTTTCTGAATTTTCAGGGGACAGGATAAGGTCTCCAGCAACCTGCTTCTCTTCCAGGTGTCCACCTCTCCCCCTCGCCCAAGATCCAAGATGACAAGCCATTTGTCCATGGGCTTAGATCACAAGGTTTCTGGAGACTCAAGAGACCAGTACACTAAGTCACTGAGGAAGCCTTGACCTGGCCCCACCTCCTGTCATGCACAGTTTCAAAGTGAAAAACTGAGGCCCTGAGAAGTTACTTCCTATAGCTAATGTATCAGCAGTAGAAAGGCAAGCCCAGACATCAACAGTGGAGTGCCACCTACTTTCTGGATCATGCAGGCCAGCTCCTCACATGGGCTGTTCTGGCACAGGGTTTGCACCTGGCTGAGGAGGTCTTGAGCCTTCTGGGTTTCTGCTAGGAGCTCATCCACATCCCTACTGGTATAGAACTGGGGGTGATGGAAACAATGAGCTATCTAGAAGTCACTGGATGACAGTAGTTGGCAATGTGGGAAAAGGCAAGCATCCAAGTCAATTCCCACGGCTGAGTGGCTGTCTATTTAAACCTGGGGTGATAAACTGAGGTTCATACACTAGACAGGGCCCACCAAGGTATTTTGTCCCATGTGTACAGTATTAACTTGCAGAATTCGAAACAGCTGGAAAATGTTCTAACTTTACAAAGGAACCTTTTAAGCCAGGTGTGGTACACACCTTTAATTCCAGCACTTGGAAGGCAGCAGTAGGGGTTATCTCTGTGACTTTGAGGCTAGCCTGGTCTACATAGCAAGTTCCAGAACAGCCAGAACTACATAGAAAGATCCTGTCTTTTTACATTTTACATCCTCTGGGATGACAATGATGATATTAATAGCGATTTAAAAAGTTGATACAGCAAGATGGTTCAGTGGGGAAAGGTGCTTGCCATGCAAGCTTGAATTCAGTCCCTGGAACTCATCTGAAGGTGAAAGGAAAGAATTAACTCTACAGTGTTATAGTCTGGCCTTCATATACATGCCTTGGCATATGAGTGCCCCGAACGTGTGTGCACATACACTAATAATAATTCTAAAACAACAAATATTGGTGGGGAAGGGGAGAATTAGAACACTCGTGTAATACTGGTGAGAATGTGGGATGGTATAGCTGTTGTTGTTTCTCAAAAAAAGAAAAATTAAACATAGACTCCAAGTGTGTTAGTGAACACCTGTAATTTCAGCACTTGGGAGGCAGAGGCAAGGAGATTGCTAAGTTCAAGGCCCACTTGGGCTACATAGTAAGACTGTGTTTCAAAAAACTACAAAGAGCTGGGTCTGGTGGTATACACCTACAATTGCAGCATTCAGGAGTCAGAGACAGGAGGATTGCTCTGAGTCTAAGGTTAGCCTGGGCTACAGTGTGAGACCCTGTCTTTTAAATTTTTATTATTTTATTTTATGTGTATGGGTGTTTTGCCTGCAATGTATGCCTGTGTACCACATGGGTGCCTGATGCTTTTGGCAGCCAGAATAGGGCATCAGATCCTTTGGAGCTGGAGATACTGACAGGGATAAGCCACCTTTTGGTGCTGGGAATTGTACCCAGGTCCTCTGGAAAATCGGCCAATGCTCCTAACCACTGAGCCATGATTTTAGTTTCAGATCCTGACTTAAAAAACAAACAAACATAACAACAACAGCAACAACAGAACAACCAACCCAAAACCAAAAACAAACAAACAAACAAAAAACCCAAAAAGAACATCATCAACAGTAAAAATCAAACCTGGACTTACCATGGGACCCAGCAGTTTTACTCTAGCTCTGCTCTAGATCACTGAACATGGGGACTTGTGTCCTGTACTGCTTCCACAGCAGCAACATTCACAATAGCCAAAAAGTGGAAAACCCAACATCTATCAGCAGATGAATCCATTATTCCATCTAGACAACAGAGTGTCACCCATCCATAAAAGTGAAGTACCACAGTGGCTACACTATGCCACGCTAAGTGAGAGAAGCCCGATACAAAAGGTGTATGCTTCCATTTAGGTGAAATGTTCACAACAGGTAAGTCCACAGAGACAGGAAGCAGTGGAGGACTGCCAGAGAGTGGGGTAGGGTAAAGTGACTAGGGGATGCTCATGGGCGCAGGCTTCCTGTTTTTCTTTTAATTACAGCTATTTCCTCTCTCTCTCTCCTCCTCCTCTCTCTCTCTCTCTCTCTCTCTCTCTCTCTCTCTCTCTCTCTCTCTCTCTCTCTCTCTCTCCCCCTCTCTCTTACCTATCATCTATCTATCTATCTGTGAGAATGTGCACAGACACACAAGAGAACGTGTGTGGAGGCCAGAGGACAACCTGACCTGTGGGAGTTAGTTCTTTCCTTCTACTATGTGGGTCCCGGGAGATAGAATTCAGGTCATCAGGTTTGGTGGCAAGTGCCTTGTAAAAGCAGTAATGAGCCATCTCATTGGCCTTTCTCTTTCTTTTTTTCCCTTTGAGACCAGGTCTCAGGTAGCCCAGGCTGGCCTCAAGCTCTCAATATAGTCAAGGAACTCCTGGTCCTCTTGCCTTCACCTCCTCAGTGCTGGGAGTATAGGAGCCAGATTTTAAGATCTCTCTCTCCTCCCTCTCCCTCATCCCTCCGTCCCTCCCTCTCTCCTCTCTTGTTTCTCCTCTCCTCCCTTTCTCCTCTCTCTCTCTCATATATATACACATACACATATATAAATGGCCCTGGCTGTTCTGGAGCAGGCTGGCGTCGAATTCACAGAGATCATCTTTCCTCTGCTTCTAAATGAGTGCTGGGATTAAAGGCATGTGCCATCATGCCTGACAAGATAAAAATTTTTCTTCAATCTACTGTTTTCATTCACTTCCTTTTTCTAGCCCCTATAGTCTGTGGCATCTATAATCAGAGTTGGGACAGTGAAATAGCAAAATGGGATGACACCTAAATGAGGTTGGAAGATCTGGGAGACAATTTGTGGGGGGCAAACCCTGGGTGACTGTCGGCAGGCGTGGCTGTGGGCTGATGGTTACATTCCTTTTGTTTTGTTTTGAGACAGGGTCTCACTATGTAGCTGGCCTAGAACTTGAGATCTTCCTGATTCTCTACAACAGCGTGACTGGTATGAAGCACCACACCCCTAAGACTGCATCTTCCATCAGCCAGATGGAGCTGTGCATTAAACGCCACCTCTGACAACACAGAGTGGGCGGTGCTTAGCTGGTAACGGGGACAAGGACCCCAGTGAACGGACTGCTAAGGAGTGGAGCACCCTTCTGCCCTTCTGGAGTCCCTCCCAACAGCAGGGGCTCATTTAGGAAGGAAATTTGGAGCCATTGTTTCGGTCTGGATGCTCTGGTGGGAGTTGAAACAAGCTAGGGTTGTGTTCATATTTATAGAAAGTGATGGAGGATTCTACTGAACAGGCTTCACAAGTGTGTGACCAGCTCATCAGACAAGCTACCAACAGCTTACCACTCCAGCTTGTCTCTGTTCTTTCCACATTTTCACTGCCATATGATTTTACCTGTTCAAAGTCACCGAGCATGGAGAGCAGGCGTGATGAAGTGGGGAAAAGAATATGCACGCATGTGGCATAGTCTGTCCTGGCCAGATCCCCCAGGCCCAGCCCTGGGGCAGGTGGCAGGTACAGCCGGTCTTCAAAAGGCTTACCTCTGATTCTGAGCTGTAGCAGTGGTGGTAGCCCCAAAGCGCGTCTGTGAGGTTCTTCAGAACAGCCTGGGGGAGGGTGAGAGTCAGCCCCAGCAATATTCTGACAAATCTTCCTTGTCGGAGCTTTCAGACCCTCCCACACCCTCTGTTCACCAACGGGGGAAGTGGGCCCAAGAGAGGTGTGTTCTGCTCCACAGCTTGGGCACCCTGCTTAGGCAGTCTCCGAGGCCGGCCCAGTTCACTGCTGCCAACTGTCAAAGAGGCGCTTTGGAACAGTTCAGATACTCACAGAGGGCACATGATCATTGCATTTGTAGGTGGTGACATGAATGAAGAGGTCCCGTCCTATGGTGGACTGCTGGATGTAGTCAGACAGGAATTCAGAAGGCTGATCTGGACTGTGGAGCAGATGCAAGAGGAGGCATGGGTACTCCGTACTGAAACTATGCTGTGAACATCCCCGATCAAAATGGCAATTCCCAGGGAACGTGTGTGTGTGTGTGTGTGTGTGTGTGTGTGTGTGTGTGTGTGTGTGTGTATTTATATGTGCATGTGTTCTTGTATATGATTGTACATGCATGTATGTGTGCATGAAGAGGCCAGAAACCCGTACCTTGTGTCTTCCATCATTACTCTCTATATTATTTTCCAGCTAGGGTCTCCCACTGAACCTGGGAGTCATTGATTGGCTAGTTTGGCTGATCAGGAAGCACCGGCTGCTCCTGTCTCTGCCTCCCCAGTGTTAACATTACAGTCATACGGTGCTTTTATTTATGGGTGCTGGTGATCTGAACTCGGGTCCTCATGCTTGCAAGCACTTTACTGAGTCACCTTCCCAGCCCCTCTACTCATTCTTAACTGATCACCTGTGTCCTAGGTCACCTGAGTAAGATGCAGAGCTGGGCGGACAGCAGCGCCAGCCAGCCCTGGCTGCCCTGCCCCAAGTATACATGGGTAGCCTATGAACAGAATCATTCTTTCAAGTGTGTGTGAAGCATCATGCTTGGTGATGTCTTTTCTTAGACACTGCTTGGGTCCTCAGCCTCCTTCATGTAGTCTATCAGCTGCTGAGTAAGAAAGGAGACCTACCAGCTTCTCAATATGGTCACCAGAGAATTCAGCTCCTTGTGAGCAAAGACTTTCTTCAAGGCTTGTAGCAGATTGCAGCTTCCCTCAGGCTGCAGCTTCTTTACCCAGAGCTTGAGTTCCTGGAGGCTGGAAGGAGACACAGCAGCCTAACTATAGTCATGTGCAGCTTAATGACCTGGTTCTCCAAGTGAAGGGACACTAGCCCACTGGAGCACATGGCTCTGGCAGGCCTTGCCCTTCTCCCCAATTCCCTCTACCTTGATCAAAACTGTTAGGTTACATTCCTGAAGCTAGCCCCCAAGGCCCATTCTCTCATTTGGCCACTTCCTTCTCCTGAGGCTGACCACCAAGGTCCAGCTAATCAAAGTATTGAAGTCCAGCAATCAAAAGCCCCCTTTGGCTCACCTAATTAACATGTCCAATTGAAATTAAACGCCTCATCCATTTTACCTTTATAAGCTGCCATTTTCTTATGGGCCGCATCTGTCTCGTCTCTATCCAGAGGCTGTCATTTGTCCCTCTGGGGCAAATATCCCTTCTCCCCTCCCTTGCTCCTTTTCTCCCCTTTCTCCTGTTCCCTTCCCCTTCCCCCCTTTCTTCATCTCCGGTCTTTGTCCCTCTGGGGCACATAAATCTCCTTTGTGTTGAGAACTTGGTCTTGGGAGTCCTGAGCCAATACTTTTCCTTTCACCAAGGTTCCCTTGGACTTGGCAATAGCCTTTGAGGCTCCATGCTTGGATAGCCGACCAGGACATGTTCTAAGAAATGTCTCTGGGTGATTCTGCCGTTGTGTGCCATCACTGAATGCACTTACACAGACCTAGATAGCGTAGCCTACCACATAGCTGAGCTGCATGGGGTCTATACAGGGTGTGGCCTATGCTTCTAGTGTTGTGACACACTGAATGACAGGAGACTGGAGTGAGCAGGAGGGAAAATAAGGCAATGAAGGAGATGAGGTGAGTACAAGATGAGGTTGCTACTCGGTGGTGTTGCTGTGGACTAGAACATTTGTTAACTATGTAAAGATGTGTTGCATGTGTTTATGCTGAATATGTTTAATTATGTAAAGGTGTGTTGCTGTTTCACCTTACCTGCCTAAGGCACCTGGTTGGTCTAATAAAAAGCTGAACAGCCAATAGCTAGGAGAGGAGGCATAGGTGGAGCTGGTGGGCAGAGAGAAAAGGGGGTCCAGCCAGCCAGCTAGCCAGCCTGCGGCCAACCAGCCAGACATGGAGGAAGCAGGAAAGCAGGATAGACAGTATGTAGATGAGGTAAATGAGCCTTAGGGCAGCACACAGATGAACAGAAATGGGTTAATTTAAGTTTCAAAAAAAAAAAAAGAGCTAGCGAGAAACAAGCCTAAGCTAAGGCTGGGCATTCATAATTCATAATAAGTCTCTGTGGCATGATTTGGGAGCTGGCTGTCCAAGAAAGCCTGCCACATACTGTTTTGCAGTAAACCTTTGTCATAAACAGAAAGGGGGAGCTGGAGAGATGGCTCAGCTGTTAAGAACACTGACTGCTCTTCCAGAGGTCCTGAGTTCTATCCCAGCAACCACATGGTGGCTCACAACCATCTAATGAGATCTGGCACCCTCTTCTGGCCTGCAGATATACATGCAGACAGAATACTGTATACATAATAAATAAATAAAATAAAATAAAATAAAATAAAATAAAATAAAATAAAAATAAAAAAAAAACAGAAAGGGTGCTCTCTGAAACATTAACCAAAAGCACAGGCTAGGGGCTGGGGATGTAGTTCAGTTAGGAGAGGTTTTGCCTAGCGTGCATGAGGCCTTGGCACGTATTACACACTGTACCAGGGTTGTATTGTTTGTCTTCTATGTGGCTGGTTGGAAGCACAGAAGCTCTGACAAGATAGGAGATGTTCAGCTCTGTTATCTTTGGTTTTTATTTTTATTTTATTTACTATCTATCTATCTTCTATCTATCTATCTATCTATCATCTATCTATCATCCATCTATCCATCCATCCATCCATCCATCCATCCCTGGTTGGCCTAGAACTTTCTATGTAGACCAGGCTGGCCTGAAACTCACAGAGATCTCCCTGCCTCTGCCTCCCGAGTGCTGAGATTAAAAGCATACACCACCACACCTAGCTCCATTATAATTTTATGGGACCACATCAGATCTGTTGTTGACCAAAATGTCATTATGTGGCAGGTGACTCTTTAGGACTCTTACAAGGTGCCAGCCCTAGACAAATCTTAGCTCATTTGAGTCTAACCATAATTCTTGAGGTGGATACCTTTAGTTACATTTCATAAATGAGGAAACTCAGGCTTGGAGTTGGAACATGCCTGATGTGGTACAACAAACACTTGGTCAGACCCGGATTTCAAACAAACCCTGACTCTGGAACCCGAGTCCCTGGCAGCTCTGCTATCGAGCACCTGGAACTGAGTCCTGTCACACCCTGCATAGCTCTTCTGGGGGACAGATGCTGGCATCGAGTTGATCTCTGGACTCTATGGAGGCTCTAAGAGCAGGGAGGTACATGTCTGTGTAGCTGTGTCCCTCGTGGCTTGGGAGCCACTCATGGATAAGAGCAGACACGGCTAAACTCAGATGCAACACTTCGGCTCTTTCCACTTCTCTTTCAGCCCGACAGAAGCGACGTCCCCTGCGAGGCTCACCTCGTGTCTGTGAAGCTCCGGGTTCAACCCCAGCACGAAGTGGAATCCTACTTGGTGCTTTCATTACGCTGCTATCTCTCTCCCTTTTGTTCCTACAATGCTGGGGGCTGGAACCCAGAGTCATGTGCATGCCCTGCAAATAATTCACCAGAGCCCGAGACTCAGGTCTAAGCACTTGCTGCAGCCAATGATGCTTTCAAGGTGGAATTTAATATCTTACTTTCACTGCATTGACTTTTACCTCCTAATGATGGCATGTGATATGGACTTCTCAGTTATGGAATTTATAGGAACTTTCCTTCAACAATAAATAGAATTGATGTGATGAAAAATCAATAATGGAGCAAGTGGCATGGAGTAAATATTAGTTCTGAGGCAGAGAAATGACAGGGATATAAGGGAGACCCAGGGATGACTGACACTGAGGAGCTCTTGACTAGACAATCTCAGAGTGACTTCCGGGTCTAGTTGGAGCAGAAAACAGTGAAAATGATCTCCTTCACAGAGTAGCTGTCACGTGCCAGGTTCCTGGTCCTCCTTTTATCTTGACATCAACTCTGTGAAGAACAGGTATCACTCACTTTATTCTGGGGGTGGGGGCAGAGGGGGTAGAGCTGTGGTTGAGGCCAGGGCTGGACTATCCTCTTCACAGCTGGTGCTGGACCAAAGGGAACCAAAGCTTAGGTCTTTAGTGCCTTTATTTAGTTGAGGGGAGATAGAATGGGCATGCCATGCTGTGCATATGGAGGTCAGGAGTCAGTTCATTCCTTCCAATCATGTGGGCCCTGGGGTATTGAACTCAAGTTGCCAGGCTTGGCAGCAGGTGCCTCTACCCTAAGCTTAGCTTTTTTCCTGGCTCTGCCCTGAGATTTGCAATTCCAGCCAGGTATGTTCCCTGTGCCCACATTTCCTCACTTACCAAATGGCTATTATAATTCTATTGCAATGGCTGTAGATTTTTAATGTGTTCATACCTGTAAAGTGCCTAGCATGGTGTACCCAACATCATAGGGGCAATCAAAGACATTGTCATCATGGACAACAAACTACTTTCTGGCACAAACAGACATTCTTACGTACCTCCTTTCCAGATGCTCCCAAATCCCATCCTATCCAACTAGAGGGCATCCATGCAATGGAATATAGTATGTAGCCACTACAGTGAGGTGATATATGCAGTGACAGGAAATAAGAGCAAGACTGGGTGAAAGGCCACAGCACAGACCAGGGTTATGAGCTCCCCCTTATGCTGTTCTTTACTTGTGGTATCAGGGATAGGGCCTAGGCCAATACTCTAACACAGCGCCATATTCCTTTGCCCCCTTTTTACTCTCAAATTCTCTTTTGGGACAGAGGTCTAACTAAGTTGCCCAGGCTGGCAACTCTAGCTCAGGCTACTTTAAACTTGTGATCCTTGTGCCTTAGCATCTTGATGAGCTGGGGATACAGGAATGCACCACCTGGCTCAGCTGTCTTGCTTCTGCCTAAACCGGATGGAACGTGGGTGTGTGTGTGTGTGTGTGTGTGTGTGTGTGTGTGTGTGTGTGTGTGTGTGTGTAGCCCGTCTGTGGAACAGATGTGCAAGTTACTATTGGGTGGTAAGAGTAGAAATGGCAGTATAAAGGAGATTCATCCACTGTTATTTATCCTTGCAGGTTGTCTGGATTATTGAAAACATGCATGTATTATTTTCATAATACTAAAGCTATCATTTCTAGTTTGCTGCATAAAAGTGGTGTTTGGGGCTGGGGATGTAGCTCTGAGGTAAAGCATTTGGCCAGCATGCTCAAGGTCCTGGCTCCATCTCCAGATCAGCAAAAATAAAAATAATAAATAAAAATAAAAAGCAAGCAAGCTGTCTTGTGGTGGTCTTATCCTTTATTTTGGAAGCGCATGGGGCGGTAACCATCTTTCTAACTGCTGCCTGTCCATATTTCTGCTGTTGCGACTCATTACTGGGTGCTTCCCTACCTGTTGTGGTTTTGGGGTTTACATCTTAAACATTCAGTGAAGTGTTGGGGACAGAGCTCAGTGGGTAGTGTTTGCTCAGCATGTAGGAAGCCTAGTTTCTTATAAACTAGGTGCACACTTGTGACCCCAGCCCTTAGGAGGTGGAAGCAGGAAGATCATAAGTTCAAGGCCATCCTCAGCTGTATAGCAAGCTTGAGGCCAGCCTGGGCCACACAAGACCTTAATTCAAACAAATGAACAAATAAACAAGCACAGGTGTAAACATCCCACTGAACCGGAACAAGTGGACATCCTGGTGGAGAGACGGGGCAGCCACTCACGTGGATGCGTTGACTTCCACGGGGTCCAGCCAGAGGGGTTTGGTGGTGACACCGAAGGACAGGACATACAACTTTTCCTTGAGGCTCAGTTGCTCATCAATGAGACTCTGTGGATAAAAGGACATAAAGGGCTCACAGAGCCGAGGTTCTATGGAACCTGGGTACATGGCTACACCCTCTAGTATAGGCTGCCCTCACGGGTGGGGAGCTGTGCTGTGCAAAACCGTGCTGAATGAGGATGGCTGTCGTACATGGAGCCTTTCGAGGCTCTGCTCAACCTTCATAAAATACAAGCTGTTGCTAGTGTGGTTGGTGCCTATCCCAGACTATAAACACCCTTCCCCATTGCCTCACGAGTCTGTTGGAGCCAGAGGTAGTACTAGAGGTTCCCTTCTATGACAGCTCTGTGAGGTGGCCATATTGTCCTCCCCACTTGCTTTACAAAGGAGGTAGCAGGGTCCTGTAGCCTGGAAGGGGTGGAGGTAGCTGGGATTTGACTCTACTTTTCTGTTTTGGAAAAGTCCAAAGAAACCAGAGTAGCTTTACCATGTGGCAAAGGCAGGGGCCCAAGGCTGTAGGGTAGTATTCGGCCATCGTCCCCAAACAGACGAACAGGAAGGAACAGACTCCAGTCCACATCCTGTCTGAGGGAACGCGGGCTTTTGCAGGGGTGGGGTGTCTAGCTGGGAGGTTCTGCTGTGGGGTCTAGAATACTAGAAGTTCACACTGTAAGTGAAAATGAGTCTGTGGTGAGGTTTTACAGAACTCCACACATTTCCTCCCCTGTAGGTGCTAATTGAGTGAGAACTGTTCTTTGTGAACAGCCCTGTTTTGCATCTGCTCTAAACAAAGTGAGTTTGTACCCCAGGCCGGGAAGTGGGGAGAAGTGGGAGGCTGGGGAGGTACACCTCATGCTGGAGACTTACTATCAGGTCATTTTGGAATTCTTCTATCTGAGGGCCACTGCTGACCTGGGACGCATCGATGAGGAGTCCCACTCTTGTTCCCTTGATGAGGCCAAATGCCTAAAACCAAAGAGGAAATGTGTGAACAGCCGCCCTGCACTTTTGAGGCAGAAGTGGGGTCATCCCTCAAACTGCAATAGAAAGAGGCCAGGGGTATCTGAGGGAACGAGAGCCCAGAGGTACCTGACAGTCTCCTTTTTCAAGGGAAGCCAGAAAGCAGGTCCCAAAGTAAAATATGAAGATTTTGAAATCTGGACAACTAAGGAGAAAACTTCTGAAATTATGGAGCCAAAACGAAGACATTTCCAGACCAGCTGGGAGCTGCACACTGCTAGCTTGCGACCCTGCTTTGGCCCTGTGTAGATGCAGATAGACTCTGTCCTGTCTGGGAGCAGCACTCTGCCTTCCCTTGTGTGGCTGTCTGTCTCCTCAGACCACGAGGTCTGGAAGTGCTAACCCAGCCCTCCTTGTTTACCCTGCCCTCCTGCCTCTGTTTCCCCAGGCAGGAGCACTAGCCTCAGGCCTAGCCAGCTTTGAAGATGGGACTGCTCTAAAGAAGTCCAGTGAGTCAATCTGAGGACTTGGGAGTATTCATAGGGACCATGACGTGAGGGCCCTGTGACTGGAGTGGTCTGGATGGTGATGTAAACTTACTGTCACCAGGGACCATCTTCCCAAGCCTGGGAGGGTTATCCCATGAAAAACCAAGCCAAAGGACATTTTTATTTTTATTTTTTTAGATTTCTGAGGCAGAATCTGACTGTGCAGCCCAGGGTAGCCTCGGACTCTCAATGTTCTTAAACACACAAACAAAACAAATTGATCTGGGCAGTGGTGGTGCACAACTTTAATCCCAGAGCTCGGGAGGCAGAGACAGGTGGATCTCTGAGGGCAGCCTGATTTACAAAGCGAGTTCCAGGACAGCCAGAGTTACCCAGAGAAACCCTGTCCCGAGAAACAAAACAAACAAAAAATTAAAGTCAAAATCACATGTGTATGTGTGTGTGTGTGAGAAAAAGAGAGACAGAGAGCGAGCGGGAGGGAGAGAGTGCAAACACCTGTGGAGGTCAGAGGACAACCTTCAGGAATTGCTTTTCTTTCCACCATGTAGGACCCAGAGATCACACTTTGTTTTCAGGTGTGGCTGAAAGCGCCTTTCCCTGTGAGCATCTCATCGGCCTGAATCCTCACTCAGTGTTGGGACTACAGGTGTGGCCCGCCATGCCCAGCCGGGCCTCGGGAGAATGTAAGAGTTCAGCAACAAGAAGCGTTGTGTCTGCGGCTTCCATGTGTGTGGGTTAGGAAGGTTGTGTTTTAGTGGAAGCCAACTTTAGTTGGAACGCCATCATCTGCAGCGGCCAGGGCTCTAACCCAGCTCTAAGGGCCGGGCTGAGGATGGTGGGAAGAGCCACAGGGGTGCCATTACCTTCCTGCTGTTCTCTGTGAGCCAGCGCATCCTCTGCTCATAGAGTTCGATAGTGCTGTGGAGACACCAGAGAAACCCATCACCAAGTGCTGTCACTTACACACAGGGGAAGGTGGCTAGGATTTTACAAGCTTTAAAAACTTTCTCTTTTACTTTACTTTATTTTTTATTTGAGACCGAGTTTCACTGTATAGCCCTGGCTGGCCTAGAACTTGTTATGTAGATAAGGCTGGCCTCAAACTCACAGAATTCTGTCTGCCTCTACCTTCCTATTGTGGGGGTTAAAGATGTGTGCCACCATGCCTGGCCTTTTCTACATTTTTGAGGGAGACTATCACTCTGCAGCCCAGGTTGGTCTCAAACTCTAATTGCTTTTTTTTTGGTTTTTCGAGACAGGGTTTCTCTGTGTAGCTTTGCGCCTTTCCTAGAACTCACTTGGTAGCCCAGGCTGGCCTCGAACTCACAGAGATCCGCCTGGCTCTGCCTCCCGAGTGCTGGGATTAAAGGTGTGCGCCACCACCGCCCGGCTCTAATTGCTTTTTTAATTTTAAAAATTAACTGCTTTGTGTGTGCTCGTGTGCATGTATGTTGGGGGAGGGGAGAGAGGAGGAGGGAGGAAGAGTGTGAGTGTGTGTGTGTGTGTGTGTGTGTGTGTGTGTGTGTGTGTGTGTGTTCTGGCACAAGTGTGTTAGAAGGAGGAGTCGGCTTCCCACCCCCACCCCCCCACCCCCACCCCTCCAGAGTCCAGGACGTCAGCTCTCGCTCCCCAGGCCTGTGCAGCAGCCTTTATTTACTCACGGAGCTTTCCACCCCTCCAGCCTTAGACTCTTGGTCTTTTTACCTCAGCCTACCCACTCTGGAATTAGAGGCATGAGCTACCTGGTTAGCTGAATTTATTATTTTTAAGGAGAATGCAATTGATTTTTGTGGAGAATGCAAGGCAAATGTAGCAAAGAGAGAGCTAAAGGTATGTGTTTGCCAGGGCACTAGACTGGGGGCACGTGGGGAGGGTGCTGGGGGGGCACAGCTCTCCTATGAAGCAAGACAGGGTGCTGGTGACGATGGGTGAGCTGCTGGGGTGCAGGCCTGGGAGCAGGGGGCAGTATTTTCATGAGAAAGGTGGGGGGCAAGACTGCTCTCACTCAGATCTGAGTCTTTTAAAAACTTATTTATTTTGTATTTTTGGGTGTTTTCCCTGGATGTCTCCAAACCATGCATATGCCTGGTGTCTGTGGAAGACAGAAGCGGCAGATGGTATCAGGTCTCCTGGAACTGGGGTTATGGGTGGCTGTGAGCATTCATGAGATTGCTGGGAAGCAAACGCAGTCGGGTCCTCTGCAAGGGCAACAAGTGCTCTTAGCCACTGGGCCCTCTCTCCAGCCCCTCAGATACAAGTCTTTACAGAAGAAACTGTCCCAAGTCTCCTGGGGTCTGACCACAAAGCTGCGATGGTGGCAGGGCAGCAAGTCATTCCTTGGGTTGATTCACAAAAATAACAGTTTCTAAAAAGTAGCCAAGAGAATGCATTGACCACCGAACGAGAGCAAAGCAAACACCCCCTTGAGGGTGTGGGCACCAGCAGGTGACAGGTGCTCATGGGAAGGCCTTGGTCACTTGAATCTTACTGAGTTGCCTCACCGAGGGCTGCTGGGAGAGAAGAGCATGGAAGGCCAGAGGTTGGTGGGTACAAATTCATGAGGCAAGAGCAGCAGGTGGAGTCATGTTGGAGACATGAGCGTGGCTATATGGCTAAGACCCTGAGCCTCACACTGAGACATGCCTGTGTTGGAGACTTTGCTTTGCTGTTTACGGGCGGTGTGACCTTTGGAGGGCGTAGTATCCTTGCTGAGCCCCAGAGTTCCATCATCTTCTACATAAAGATAGTCACGGGACTCTGTCCAAGTCAATTTGCCAACTGCCTGAATAGTTAAGCAGCTTTGACTATTCCAGTGGACCGCTGTACACTCATGTACATATAGGCAGAACTAACAGGACTTAGCAACGTATCAAAAGAAAGAGGGGGAGGAGCTGACGAAGACTGTGACAGGAAGTTGGGAGGGGGTGTTTGGGGAAGGATCTGGGAGGAAATGAAGGGTAGATGTGACCATATTTAATTGCATACATGTATTAAACTATCAAAGAACAAATAAAAAACAAAATGTTGGATTTATAATTCAAAACAACAGAGCCAAATATTAATTACAGAACTCTACATAGATGCAGTAATCCAGAATGTAATCTAGCAACTTGGGAGGCTGAGGCAGGAGGATCTCAAGGTAAAGGCCAGTCTGAGCTACATAGACCCTGTCACAAACGAATAAATGAATGAACTAATGGAACATCATGTAATTATTTAAAACCTTTAAAACTTTCTGACCCCAACAATTTTCTATAAATTTATTTATTTATTTATTTATTTATTTATTAGTTTTTCGAGACAGGGTTTCTCTGTGTAGTTTTGGTTCCTGTCCTGGATCTCCCTCTGTAGACCAGGCTGGCCTCGAACTCACAGAGATCTGCCTGGCTCTACCTCCTGAGTGCTGGGATTAAAGGTGTGTGCCACCACCGCCCGGCTAACTTTCTATAAATTTATAGTTAGAGCATGATAAATCCACTAATTGGTTGCTGTATGAATGATCATTGAACAACTGACTTTTGGTAATTAGAGAATACTACAATGTTTGGGGCGGTTACAAAGATGAAAAAGGATCTCGTAGGCAGCCCTTAGCAGAGTTTTGGGCACATTAATAAATGTTAGCTATTAATTACCATCATAACCTTTTGGGAAACCTTAAGCAACAGTAATTATGGATCAGAGATTACTACAGCTATAGCTGAGATGCAATTTTTTTTTTCTTTTTTTGGTTTTTTTGAGACAGGGTTTCTCTGTGTAGCCCTGGCCATGCTGGAACTCACTCTGAAGACCAGGCTGGCCTCAAACTCACAGAGATCTGCCTGCCTCTCTTTCCTGAGTGCTGGATTAAAGGCCACTGCCCAGTGTGAGATGGAATCTTAAGACTATTGTGTGTACTGATTATGGGAAGATGTGTGTGTGTGTGTGTGTGTGTGTGTGTGTGTGTGTGTGTATGTATGTATGTGTATGTGTGTGTATATGTATGTGTGTGTATGTATGTATGTGTATGTGTGTGTATATGTATTTATGTGTATGTGTGTTTATATGTATGTGTGTATGTATGTATGTGTATGTGTGTGTATATGTATGTGTGTGTATGTATGTATGTGTGTGTATATGTATGCGTGTGTGTGTGTGTGTGTGTGTGTGTGTGTGTGTGTGTGCGCGCGCACACACACTCTGAGTATGTGTGCATGCTCCTTGTGCTATCAAGATTGGTTTGGGTGAGGCTGGAGACAGGGCTCATCAGTTAAGAGCACTTGGTGATCTTGTGGAGGATCCAGGTTCAGTTCCCAGCACCCACATGGCAGCTGTTCCAGGGGATGCAACACCCTCTTCTGAACTCTGTGAATACCAGGCACATTTGTATGCACGAACACACAAGCAGACAAGACACCCACACACATAAAATAAAAATAACTGGTTTGGGAGTTGGGCACATGCCTGTTGGACACATGTCTGCCAAGGTGAGAACTGTCCCAGCCTGGCAGAGCCCTCAGCCATTAACCAGCAGATGAAGCTGGGACATCTGGGGCACTCATCCAAGGGCACCAGGGCTTTCAAAGGCCAAGAGACGCCAATCGAGTCCAACGTTTTCATTTGAGAAAAGGGCAAATTAGAGGTAGACAGACAAGTTTAAGGTCCACTGAAATTGCTGATTGGTCCCAACCATGTGCAGGCTATGAGATGAGATAAGGCCTCAAGCTCAGGGGTGCTGGAGGACACTGGGAAACTTACTCAGAAAGCCTTGATTCAAAGTGGCGGACGGTCTGGGTGGAGAAATGCACTTTGGGCATGGCATTGCCACACTCCTCCCTGAAAAAGCAAAGCTTTATTTGGTGTTTCTCAGGCTCAGGACTGTGTGTGCAAAGCTTTATTTGGGGGTTCTCAGGCTCAGGGCTGGGTGTGCCACTGCAGCCTTGGGGAGCTTGGGAGGAAGGGCAGAAAGATTTCAGACTTACAGCTCAACTGTGCCCTGGCTTATCAGGTCAGCCAAGGTAAGTTTCTCAAACTTCAAACTGTGAGTTGAGAGCCAGTCTTCAGAGTCTCCCAGAGCTGCTGCCCGAGTCTCACTTCCCTGCAGCTCCTACAAGGCACAAGCCAGGGTCAGACAGGAAACAGCAGGAAGCAGGGACAGACAAGGGTGCCTTGGGTTCCCTTCATACGGATACCCAAGGTCTGTGAACTCTGAGCGACCTATCATCTCAAGGTATTCTAAAAGTTCTCCCGGCTAACTGGGAACAGTGGTGCATAGCAGTAACCACAGCACTTGGGAGACTGACCTGAAGTTCAAAGCCAGCCTGGGCTACAGAGCAAGACCCTGCCTCAAAACACCAACACCAACAACACAGCAACAATAAAACTAATCTCCTTGCTGAGAGAGCATGTGAACCTGAGAATGGTTACTCTGGAAACACCACCCTTATAGCAGGCCCCAGATGTGACTCTCATATTCAAGGGCAGCTCACTATGGGAGTGATTAGACAAACGCAATGACCAGACAACCTGATAGTAGAATCACAACGTCTGCAAAAATTGCCCCCCGAATGGCTGGGATTCGGTCCTAAGACTGCTAGCTTCCCATGTTTGTGTGCCCCTACTTTCAACCCAGGACCATCCGGAGGAAGTAAAGTGTGTTTCCTGAACCAGTCATGTAAGATGCCTTCTTCTGCTGAGTCCTCCTCTAGCCTCCCACATGCCGAGAGCTTGTAGACAGAGGTCCTGGAGGAAGCCCTCTCTTCCATATGAAGTTCTCTATTTCCCATCCTGCTGTCGAGCTGATGGCAAACACAAGTCATAGGGGCTGCCTCCCTCATAGTGAGAGAGGTCTGGATACATTTCTGTTTTGTTCTCAGTGGGATGATCCTGATCATTTCCACAATTAAATGTTTTCTTTTAGACGTTGCCTTGGTCACGGTTGGTCACAGCGATAGAAAGGTAACTAAGACAGTAGTGAATCAGAGGTGATAAAAGTCCAGACTGCACGGGTACCAGCTGCACAAGTGTGCATGCATGATGGGGTCAGCAAGAGCTTCCTGCGTTACAACTGCCGTCGATGTGCTACAGAAGGGCCTTGAATACCCATGGAGTTGGACATAATTCACTTCACCACATCTCAGGTAAAAGGCTGAGAAGCTACTGTTCACTAAAGGTCTGGAATCCAGCTCAGTCTCACTGTGAGACACACAGTGACACAGATACACACACACACCTCACAGAGACAGACATACACACAGACACAGGTTCATACAGACACCTATATGTTGTGGGATATTTTTACACTGTGTGAAAATGTATTGCTGTGATTGGGGTAATAAAAAGCTGAATGGTCAATAGATTGGCAGGAGGTATAGACGGGATTTCCAGATACAGAGAGAACTCTGGGAAGAAGGTAGAGTCATAGCCAGATGTGGAAGAAGCAACATAGGCAGTATGGAGAGGGCAGTTACATATGTCGCAGTTATATATGGCACAGTTACATATGGCAATTACGTATGGCACCCAATGTCTGGGCACATATTTCCACACAGGTCCTAAGAAAGCTGAAAACAACAAACAAACAAACAGACAAAAAATGGATCTGGCTTCCTAGTTACCCAGTGTTCATAGCGTACAGAGGCACAGCTCTGCTGTATATCGAGCGCTTGAATAGCTTGTGCACTAAGTAGAAACAGCATGCTAAGTCAAAACACTTGCCACAGCCCACTAACTTCCCAGAACTGGGCTGGACTGCTGGCTTAAGGCTGGTTCTCAAGGACTGAGGAGGCGGTGGAGCCAGCCAGCCATGTGCTAAGCAGCCACAGGGTGGGTTTAAAGCTTGGCTCACATGATCAGAGAAGGTACAAGTAAATCGGTCCAGACTGAAGAAACAAACAAACAAACAAACAACCTCTAAACACATACAGTAAAAAATGGTATAGACAGTCATAAAAATAATTTTAAAATAATAAAGTCTTTAAAGAAAGAGTAAAGTAATATAAAAAGAATAAGCCACATAAGGATGGAAAATTCACAGGGAGTCTGGATCCTGTATGGTGCTTTGATGACTTCAAATTTTTTTAATTTAATGCTGATGAGCAAATGACTGCTGCTGACATTGGATTGTGGAAGAAACTGCTGAATTAAACCTGTATACTTTAGGGATGTCTTACTTTTAAAATGGAAATCAGGATATGTGTTATGTTGAGGGAGAGGATATGCCCTTGTTTCCATAGGAAACAAAAAACTATGGATCTATTCAAAATGAATAAAGATTGGATTTGATCAGGGGAAATCTCCTGAGGATCTTGGCTACAGACATGAGGGAAAAAGCCAAGAAAGACTACAAGACAGGTGATGTATAAGCTGATCCCTTGACATAGGAACAGCTCTGAGACTGGAAGAGACATGATAAATCTTGTTGGCTACAGATTATTACATGCCATCCTTTCATATGGCATGGATAGAGATTTATGGCATGGATAGAGATTTATATTGTAGTTTGCTTATAAAGTCCAAATTGACTTATAAAGTTGGTAGATGTCTTTTACTCATTCAAACATAGAATAAAAAAAAACCCATCTTTAGCTGACTTGTGCACAACACACATTCTATACTTGTGCTAATGCAGATATGTACGTTACCTTTAAAAGTTTGTGTGTTTTTAGAAAAAAGAAGGGCCAAACACCAATGAAAACAAGTAACTCAGACGGTCCAGCCTCTCAGAGAATGCCTCTGCTGTAGTTTCTTCAAAATTCTGCATCCAGAACAACTTCAAAGCTGCTAGCTGAGAGGGTCTAGCCTCATTCGCTATTCCAGCCAGGACTTCAGACAAGCCCTGCACTTTCCCATTACACAGAGACTGGACAACAAATGATACAACTAACTCTCCCAGGACTTGACCATTACCCTAATTTTATCAGGGTCTCCTAAAAATATCATCACCCCCAGACAACAGGAAGCAGTCTAGAGAACACAATGCCCACATTGCCAAGTGGTGGAAGGGGTGGTTTTTGGTCATTCAGTAGGTTATGGATGTTTGTCATCATTTAGGGGGGTTGGTTACAAGCTGTTGTTGGTCATGGTCAGGGAAAAAAACTGAACAAAGGAGATCGGATTCAGGGATCTCTTTCTGAAAGAAAAAATGGAGGATACAGAATGATGGGATGAAAGGGTGGATTGTTGAGTCTACTTTTGAAGAACCACTAGTCTCAGATATTTTACATTGGTATGGATTTTTATATAGTGATACAAATTTAAGGTTATTTTTGTTATACTGTATATATGTTTCTACTCTTGTTTAAGGTATTGTACCTGTGCAACTCATTTTAAAATGCAATGTATAATTAAGAAATACAGGTTAGTAGTTAGTCATCTATAATAATCAAACTTGTAGTTATGTTAGGCATGTTCTCAAGGTTAAACAGAGATATGCTTTAGATAGATAGGTGATCTTCAAACACTTCAGAGACCTACAGAATATGGCATTTAAGGTGTTCTAATAACCTAAGGCTTTTCATGACAGTGAGACATGTCTGCTCCTGGCAGCACCAATTTACTTCAAAAAAGAATGATGGGCATCAAAGAACCTCCATATGGAGTTTTCTTTTATTGTGGCAAAGTTAGCCACTGGGCAAGAAACTGCCCTTGCCTCGACTGCTGACAGCATGCTGTCCAAATTGGATGAGCAGGACACAGAAGATGGTGACTGTCAAATTTTGCTAAGACAAGGTAGGACAGTCCTTCAAAAAGTGTCAGATATACTAGGCCTGTAGGCCGAAGATGGATGCTGCAATGTTATACAGGAGTGTTGGACAACTGTCCAGGCAGCCAGATGTCTCTGTCATTTCTATAGTTTTAGAAGTTGTTTGCTCTGCACTTCCTGTTTACTCAGGTAATATTATATCCTTCTTGGGTCTCTGATGGAGCTGAAGATGAGATAGTTATATTACAGTTTTCCTTGTTACCAAATGCAGAAAAGAAACTCACAAAAGATGTATAAAGTATATAAGGTTGAGAGACATAAAAACTTAAATTGTTTATCTAAGAAATGTTTTGAGGTCTAAAAAGATAGTTTTAGGATGGTAATATAAATTATGATAGAAAATGGTTTAGGTATAAAACTTTTAATTCATCAAGATAAGATATTTTCTCCAAATATGCCAAATACAAATGGACTAGACAATTGTGAATATAATTCTTACCTGATAATTGTTCTTATTGTATATAGTTTTACCATGTTAGAGTTAAAACCTTTTCTTTTTATTTAGACAAAAGGGGGAAATATTGTGGGATATTTGTACACTGTGTGAAGATGTATTGCTGTGATTGATACAATAAAAAGCTGAATGGCCAATAGCTAGGCAGGAGGTATAGGTGGGACTTTCAGAGACAGAGAGAACTCTGGGAAGAAGAAGGCAGAGTTACCAGCCAGACATGGGGTAAGATATAGGCAGCATAGAGAGATGAGGTAATGATCCACAAGACAGAATGTGGATGAAAATAAATGAGTTAATTTAAGTTATACGAGCTAATGGGACAAGCCTAAGCTAAGGTCGAACTTTCATAATTAATAATAAGTCTCCTTGTTGTTATTTGGGAGTTAGTGTTATAGAGAAAGACTCATTACACATATACACATGTACATACACATGCACACAACACACACACACACACACACACACACACACACACACACACACACACGGGGGGGGGGGGGGAGAGACAGAGACAGAGAGAGCACGGGAGCGAGCATCTGATGACTATGGAAATGGCCTGAGTTCAGCCCAAAGATCCCTTCTGGGTACATGCTCGACACCCTTGGTGGTCTGTCTTTGGATTTCATGTATCGGGCTTTCACTGTAGTGGGCAAGGTGCTGATTAGAGGCTGAAAGCTGTCTACTGCAGGAGAATGAGCCACTCTGCAGAGGACACAGGAGGAAAAGGCCGGAGGAGCACAGCACACAGGCATCTCCAGGTCTCAGCTTCTTGGCAGGCCGTGCCCCCTCTCCTTAGCTGTGCCGGGGCAGTGTGAGGCTAGGGCACAGAACGCGACCTGGAGCTCCTCTGCACCTACTGTTCTCAAACGGCTCTTCTTTGCACTCAGACTCTGTCCTAAACTGAGGGTTGGCATAAACTAAAGACAGCGAAAATAAAAGGCTGCTAATGTGTTCCAGCTCGACAGTGTTGCTCGCCTCGCACTCTTTTCCCAAGACCAGTTCTGTCTAATTTCAAAAGGAAATTAGCAAGTGCTCAGGATGTGTGAAAGCACACCCCTAATGACTGCGAACACTAACACAGTGCCCAGGCTCTGCGGGGCAATTTCCGTATAGTAAAGTTATGTAATCCCAGGAGACCATCACTTTTCTGACAAGTAAGCTGAAACACAGAGAACTTAAGTCATTTGCCCAAGGTTACACAGCTAAGGATGTGGTAGAGCTGGGCTTCTTCGGAAAGCTCTATCAAGCCAAGTTTGTAACCAAATCACTTCACGGCTTCTCTGAACGAGCATAAACCACAGTTGTCTGTATGAGAGACTTTCTCACGGTGTGATTCAACCCTAAGAATACCCTTCCTGCTTTTGAGAGGCTCAGTGCCAGAGATCACAGTCCCAGCCATCAGGAAACCAGGCTTTGTATCATGTGACCACTAGGTGGCACTGTTCTCTTCCAGGACACCTTGTGTGTGACCCTTTTTCCATTTTGCACTTGAAATAGTGTGTCTCGTTTTAGGCTGTGGCTTTTGCCCTGCAGATATTTGAAAGTCCATTCCTACATACATTGCTTATGACTGAGGACCTTGCTGCTCTTCTGTTAAAGTGGGCACTTTTCATTAAAAAAATTCTTTCCATACTATATTTATTTATCATTTATTTAATAAATCTATATATTGATTGCTCTAGACAGGGTCTCTATGCGTAGGCCTGGCTGTCCTGGAACTCACTATGTAGACCAGGCTGGCCTTGAACTCACAGAGATCCACCTGCCTCTGCCTCCTGAGTGCTGGGATTAAAGGCATGTGCCACCACGCCCAGCTCATACAACATATTTTGATCATGTTTTCCCATGCCCAGACTCCTCCCAGATCTCCTCTCAACTTTATGCTCTCTCTCTCTCTCTCTCTCTCTCTCTCTCTCTCTCTCTCTCTCTCTTGCTTTATCTCTCTCCTCTCTCAGGAAAACTACAAAAATTAAAATCAAAACAAGCAAACAACAAGTCATCAAGACAAAAAAAATGCCCCCCAAAAACAAAAAATTCAACAAAAAATATAAGGAAGTTCCTTTTGTGTTGATGAACAAAACCGAGACATGGGTCCACCCTGGCGTGTGGTTGATACATTCAGTGACACTCCACTGGAGAAACTGACTTTCCCTTTGCCTGTGGGTATCAACTGCAAATAGCTTCTTGGTTGGAGTGGGACCTCGTGTCTGTGAAGCGGACACTTTACCTGGAGGACACTACAAGCTCGGTGTTGGGCAATCAGGACCCTCTCGCTGCTCTGAGAAGAGAAACAAGAGGCCTGTCTGTTACTGATAAGGTAAGTCAGGCACGTCCCACGCCTGGAAAGTGAGTCGGTCTGATATGAAATCAGATGAAACAAAGACCCACGTCATTGGCAACTGACATCACTGAATGTTTTCTTCTTAGAATCACCCATAGTTCCTCATTTCCCCCTTTCTTTTCCTTTTTAGAAAGGGTCTTACGTGTCCCTGGCTGGCCTCAAGCAGAGAGCTGAGGCTGGCCTTGAACTCCAGATCCTCTTGCTTCTCCCTCCAGAGTGCTGGGATTACAGGTCTGTGCCACCATGCTTGGCTTCCTTGTTTCTGTTTATTTAGATTTCTTGTCCCATAAATGCCCATGCTTGAGAAAAGTCGAAGTTGACTGTTTTTCTGGTTCTTTAATTGCTGGTAGTAATATAAAGATGACATTCTCTGACTGGTATCGTGTTTGTAGTCTAGTGTGGATTTACTAGCAGGTGGCTGCTGCCTGCCTCGAGTTCACAACTTGTGAAGACAATTGCTTCCACGGTAGAGAGAATTCTGAGTTGTGCATGATTGGAGGAAGATGGTTCACTTGTACAGAGTGAGCCTGACCCACAGTGTGGGGCTTTTTCTTTCTCCCCTTAAGTTAAGCCTTCTGCCCTGGCTCCCCTGTTCCCACAGCACTTCCTGAAGTGGACTTCAGGACTTAGGTCTTATGGACTCCTACAAGAAAATCTCAGCAAGGGGGGCTTTCGAATCAAATGCTTTAGACTTTCAGGCTTTGACACTGAAACCAGGATCCTCACATGCTCCTAAATATCTAATGATGTTCCTGAAGGCTGAGGAGCTCGATGACCAAAACAGAAATTCTCCTTTCATTTATAAACCTAGTGGCTAGAGAGGAATACTTAGTCACAGTTTCAGTGCTGGGTCCTATTGAAGAAAGAATTGAGTACATTTCACATCCCCTGGCTATGATCTGTAAGCGTCACTGGTGAACAGAAGCACTACAGTTGTTACCAGTAGGTCCTGGGTCTGGTTAATGTGTGTAACCAGCAATCCATCGTGTGGATTTCGGGCAAGTGCATCCATAGCCTTCTGGTCCAGTTGTTTCTGTGGATCTCTGTCAGTGTTTCTGTCCATGCTACAAAACAAAGTGATCTGATCAGTGCTTAGCCCCAGGTCACCTCTCCACCATGAGTGTTTCCCCCCACCCCACCCCACCCCCTGGCTCCTAAAAATCCAGAAACATTTTTAGTTCCATGTGGAAACTGAAAGGATTATTACAGAGTTTAGATAAAAAAAAAATGTGGTTTGTGAGGTTTATTTGTTTGTTTGTTTGTTTGTTTAGTATTTTACAGTCTAGGTAGATCTCAAAGGCCCCAGTTTATGTAAGATGTTGCAATAACCATTTATCTGGTCTCTCTTCAAGGTTCATTCCCCCTCAGTTCTCATGAGCAAGCTCATTTTCATCTGGAAAACCAGAGAATCCTATTTATCAGGGATTTTCCAGAAATGTATTACCCTGACCATGGAAGATAGGACTCCTTTGAATTGTGATGAGACTACCTAGACCTTCCTCTCCTGACCAATGCAAGAATGTAAAGCAACCTTTAGACAGTGTCTTCCGGGTTTGGGTTTGCTCAGCTCTTGAGTGCACTGACCACTCCTCAGGCACACTGGCTATAAGGCTCTGTGGGGAGGGGGGAGGGAGCATGGCAGGCGTCAGCAAGATGCCACGCGCTCCCTTTGCACTTCATTTCTTCTGAGACAGGGTCTCTCTGTGTAGCCCTGGCTGTTGTAGAACACAGTACAGAAAAGAAGAAAGATCAAGAGAAATGGAGGAGGAAGAATTTGGGGCCAGCCACCCAGCTACACACAAGCCACAGAGTAAGAAAGAATGGAAAGTATACAGAAACAGAGAAAGGCAAAAGCCCAGAGGCAAAAGGTAGACGGGATCATTTAAAGTTAAGAAAAGCTGGCAAGAAACAAGTCGAGTTAAGGCCGGGCATTTATAATTAAGAATGAACCTCTGTGTGTGATTTATTTGGGAGCTGGGTGGTGGGTCCCCCAAAAGGGTGAAAAAAGAAAAAACCTGACAGGCCCCTTCCCATTATTTTCACAGGTTTTCAATAGCATATATTAATTACATATAATAATGGTTTGATTTTGACATTTTCACACATGTATATAATTTTTTTTTTTTTTTGAGACAGGGTATAGCCCTGGCAGTCTTGGAACTCACTATATAGACTAGGCTGGCTTTGAACTCACAAAGATCCACCTGAGTGCTGGGACTGAAGATGTGAGCCACTGTACTCAGTTATATAAAGTATTTTGGTATTTATCTTCCTGTTCTGCTTGAAACTGTCAAGCAGAGTTTCCCCTCCCCCACTAATCCCCTTCTTTCCAACCAGTCCCATTGCCTTGTCTTTATTTATTTATTTATTTATTTATTTATTTATTTATTTATTTATTTATGTTTGTTTGTTTGTTTGTTTGTTTGTTTGAGACAGGGTTTTTCTGTGCAAGATCCCTGGCTGTCCTGGAACTCACGTTGTAGACCAGGCTCTGAGATCCACCAGCCTCTGCCTCCCAAGTGCAATGAAAGTGTGCCCCACCATGTCTGGCTTTGTCTTTTTCTTCTTTGTCTTTTTTTGTTCCTTTTACAATTCTGATGACCCAGTGTGCTCAATCAGAGTTGCTTACAGGAAAATGGGTAACGAGTTGCTTACAGGGGCAGGGGCACCTTATGGTGGCTACACTATTGGACATCTGTCTCGTTTCTCCCACAGACCATTAATTGAATTTGTAGCCTCAGGGAAGGATGGGGTCTTGTGTCCCTTCCCTCCTCTGTGACAGAGTGTTGAGGGCCCAAGCTTGTGGAGTCTTGTACTAATAACTACAGCTGTGGAATTCAAGAGTTGCAATTTCCACATCACACCTAAGAGAAAATCTTCCACAACCCTCCCCACTTCCGCCACCTCCAATGTTCTTCTTCCCTCCTGTCCGTGGTGTTCTTTGAGCTGTGGAGGTCCTCTGACCTCTGGGTCACAGATAGCTGCAGGATACTGTGACTGGCCTGGCTGCACCCTCTTGGTTTGCCTACCTCCTTGATTCACTTTATTATGGGGAGGGCTCTTTGTTTGACACAGGGTTTCTCTGTGTAGCCCTGGCTGTCCTGGAACTCAATCTGTAGATCAGGCTGGCCTTGAACTCACAGAGATCTGCCTGTCTTTGCTTCTTGATTGCTGAGATTAAAGGCGGTGTGCCACCACAACCTAGTTGGTGGAGGGCTCTTTAAAGAATATGAATTCACTGTTAGTTCCCATCCTCACTGTCCAAAGGCTTTCCTCTATTTCTAGGATGGAGCTTAACACCCTTAAGATGCCTTTCCAGACCCCACATGGTTGGCTGCTGGCCACTGACCTCTCTAGAGCTCCCACCCATCACTGTTCTCCTGCAATGGCCATGGGAGGTCCTAGAATGCTGTACAGTTCCTTTAACCACGGGATCTTTTCACCTATTGCCTGCACTCTGGAACATTCTTCCATTCCTACACATTACTTGCCTTTGATGTTTCAGCCAAGCCACCATGGCCTCTAAGAAACTCCCCAGCCTTCTTTTCTAGCTCAGACTCCCTTCTCTGTGGATTTTCATATACCTATGTCCCTTCATTTGAGGACAGTCACTTTAGCTTGGAGTCACAGTCACTAGTATGACTTTTAAAAACTGGCATTGTAGCTGGGTGGTGGTGGCACTTGGGAGGTGGAGGCAGGCAGATCTTTGTGAGTTTGAGGTCAGCCTTGTTTACAGAGCAAGCTCCAGGACAGCCAGGACTACACAGAGAAATCCTGTCTTGAAAAACAAAACAAACCAACAGTCAGGCACCTGTTCCCTTTATATTTTAAGTGGCATAAGAGTGGAAGCTGAGAGACAAGAATTGTGCTTGCTGTTTTGGAGACAGGAGTCATGTGATAAGTCATATAGCCTTTAAAGTGCAATTTTTCCTGCCTCGGCCTTCTGAGGGCTGGGGTTACAGGTGTGTGGCACCATCTCCAGGGAAAACAGACATTTTGAGGAGAGAAGGGACAGGGGAGTCTTGCTTTTTGGATTTCTATTTATCAAAGCACTTGTAGAAGTTTTCCACTTTTACATTCTGTGAGATACACTACTCACTGAAACTGTCAAGCAGAGTTTCCCTCCGGCACCAATCCCCTTCTTTCCAACCAGTCCCATTGCAAGCACGCGGGCTCATTAACATTTCTGTCACTTGCAGCCCTCCCTCCCGCCTTCCCAAACTGTGAGACCCGCTGTGAGAGGCTGAGCAGGGCTGCAGCTTCACCGTGAACTCGGCGCTCCCTAGTTCCTTTCAAGTCTTTAAATTTTACTTGGAGGTTGCTTGTTTTCAGGGAAGCACCCCGAAAGCCCCAAAGTGGCTTCTCCTCAGCGACATTTCCTTGGAGACCATTCCTATGGCACGGGCTTTGAAAGTCTCCCAGAACACTGGAACCCCAACATCTGCAACCCCCAGTGTCGTGGTCCCTTCTCCTTAGGGAGTGTTAACAGTTTTCAGTGAATTACTAGTCTAAACCACTGGATTCTGGGTGACTTGTGTGGGCAAATGGAGGAGAGCTGACCACATAAAGCTCACGACGCAGTGTGTTAGGAAGAGCCCTGAACTTTGGTTTTTCAGTTGAGAACAGGGTGGGAATTGTACTTACCACCCTGCCTACTAACTCCACTGTCAAAAGCAGAGAGAGAGAGAGAGAGAGAGAGAGAGAGAGAGAGAGAGAGAGAGAGAGAGACAGAGAGAGAGAGAGAGAGAGAGAGAGAGAGAGAGACAGAGAGAGACAGAGAGAGACAGAGAGACAGAGAGACAGAGAGAGAGAGAGAGAGAGAGAGAGAGAGAGAGAGAGACAGAGAGACAGAGAGACAGAGAGACAGAGAGACAGAGAGAGAGAACAATGCGCGGCCAAATGCCAAGTAGGAGAGCAATGCAGACCACTACTGTCCAGTGTGCCGTTGTGTGGCTGTGAAAAACCACAGACCGGGAGGAACTGGAGGGGAAACTGTATTCAGACTGTATTGTATGGGAAAGGAATCTACGTTTAATAAAAAGGAAAATGTTTTTTTCATTTTTCCATACAAATGAACAAACAAAACACTGACCAAACCAACTTAGGGAAGGAAGGGTTTGTTTTAGCTTTGTTTGTTTACAGGTTACAGTCCATCATCCAGGGAAGCCAAGGCAGGAACCCAGAGGCAGGACCTGAAGCAGGGACCATGAAGGAACACTCCTTACTGGCTTGCTCCCTATGGCTCCTTGTTCAACCTGCTTCCTTATCCAATCCAGGACTATCTGCCCAGAGGTGGCACCACCCACAGTGGGCTGGGCCCTCTCACATCAACCACATCAAAGTGTCCCACAGGCCCATCTGATGGGACACTTTCTCAGTGGGATCTCCTTTCCCCAGGAAAGCGGAGTTTGCCACAGGCTGGTAAAAGCCAATCAGCACAGCTGCTCGGGTGGGACTGGAAGCCGTCATCTGTCCCTTGTACTTTTGTGCCTCTTAGGGGCCAGAGAGTACTGCTCCTGGGAGGGACAGGGGTGAAGGAGACACTGCCTTCCCTTCAGGCCTGGGTACAAAGGCAAGCTGCCCCTAACCGGAGCTGCACACCTCTGTAGTGTGTTTCACTAGCTCACTTCCTCCGTGTTTACTGTCTGCTCCTTTCCTCTCACTGAAGACACTTGAGGGCAGGGGCGCTGAAATGCTCACCACTGGACTGTTGTGTACAAAGCAACGCCCAGAGCGCAGCTGCTCCACAAGACTCACTGAATTAATGAACAGGGTGGCACAGCAATAAGGAGTGGGGGAGGGGTGGTGGCGGCGGTGAGGGGACCAGTTCTTCCCCTTAATCTAGAGTCTGCTACCCTCTGGGCTCCTTGGCTCCCTTGCTGTCAATGCATGTAATGTGCTGTCCCTTGGCCCTAAATCTTATCCAAGGAGACTACCCACCAGATACAGGAGAATGCCAGGATGTCCCCAAGGACAAACTGGCCACTGAAGTGTATTTTTTATGAGAAAATATCTTCAGACCATGAGGAAAAAAGCTTTTTAAAAATGCTAAACTGGTTGGGTGTAGGGGCACATGCCTTTAATGCCAGCAATTGGGGGGGGGGCAGAGGCAGGCAAGTATCTGTGAATTAGAGGCTAGCCTGGTTTATATAGTGAGTTCCAAGACAGCCAGAGCTACATAGTGAGACCCTGTCTTGAGAAAAAAAATAAAAAAAAATGCTATCCAACTCATGAGGATCTAGGACTGCTCTTGACAGCCTGATGAAACTCCTGTTCTTCTCTCTGTGGGCGACCTGGATCTTTCCCAGTCTGCATCAACCCCTTTCCTTTCCAGTGCGGGCTATTGTCTGAGGGTCCCCATCAGTCACAGCATTCAGTTTTCAATCACTGTGATTGTCCTCTATCAACGCAGGAATGGCATTCAGCAGAAGGAGTGCATTGGGGCTGACTGCCCTAGGTGACTGGTGGACCAGAGAATGTTTGAACCGATCCCTTGGGCAGATGAACATTTTGGTCAAAGCACAGTGCTACTGTATAAAAGAAAGCCTTCAGCTAACTTCGCAGTTACTTAACAGCTGAATCTAGGATGCTCCCAAGTATCTATTCATGAATGGCCATCTGGAGGGCTTACATTTTACACTTACCTATGTACTTATTTAGTGTGTATGTGTACAGTGTGTGTGTGTGTGTGTGTGTGTGTGTGTGTGTGTGTGTGTGTGTATACCTGCACAAACATACCACAATGTACCTGTGGTCAAAGGACAAACTTTGAGTTCTTTCCTTCCACCATGTGGGTCCCAGAATCAAAGTTAGGTTGTCAGGTTGGTGGCAAGTGTCTTTATCTGCTGAGCCATCACGCTGGCTAAGAGCTTGCTTTGCTGTTGTTATAGATTTAAATGTTTACTTTTATTTTACATGTATGATTTAATTTTTTTTTCAAGACAGGGTTATTCTGTGTAATAGCTCTGGCTCTCCTGGAACTCACTTTGTAGATCAAGCTGGCCTCGAACTCAGAGATCCACCTGCCTTTGCCTCCTGGGTGCTGGGATTACAGGTGTGTGCCACTATCACCTGGCTCATATGATTTAATTTTTAAAAAGATTTATTTGATTGGTTTGAGCATTTTGCCTGCCATGTATGTGTGTGCCTGGTCCTGAAGGAGGTCAGAAGAGGGCAATGGATCCCTTGGAACTAGGGTTAGAGAGTTGTGAGCTGCCATGTGGGTGCTGGGAACTGAACCTGGTCCTCTGGAAGAGCAGTCAGTGCTCTTACCTGCTGAGCCCTGTCTCCAGCACCCAGGACTTGTTTTTTTTTAACTGCAGTTACCCCTAGTGTTCCTGTGCAATCCACGATGCCAGGGTGAGCCATATGCATGTTTCCCATTGCTCCTGCACAGAACCCTGCCAAGTTCCTTGGTGCTGAAACCCAAGGCTTGCCATCCCTTCGGCATCCACTCCTTGCTTCTTCACCTTCCCCTCACCCTCCTCTGCTCCCTGGCAACCCCTGCTCACACACTTTATTATTTCCTATCACCCTTAAACCATGCTTGCTTCTGTAAACATCCTTTACTCCCTCTGCCAAGAAACCCCAGGATCCTATTTGTTCCCGCACTGGAAACTCTGGAAGTCCTGCTTTCTCTGCACTGGCCCATAGCAAGCTGCCTTGGTATCTGCCAGAGCTCCAGCACCTAGTACACCAATCTTCCCCGTTTGGCCAATGCATAACCACTCTCTCTTCCCACTTGCCCACCCTTGTGACACTCACCTCCATCTGCATTTCTTCATTTATAGCTTCATCTTTGGGGAAGGCACAGCAGGACGCCTCTTCTCCTGGCTCCTACTTCTCCTTGCTCCAAGCTCCTCCAAACAACTCTACAGTGCCACTTGCCTGTGAGATAAGTGTTAGCTGGTCTCCAAGGTAACAGGCTGCACCGCAGCAGCTTGGGGCCAGGAAAGGCAAAGAGCTTGCTCACCCCAGGGAAGAAGGGGTTCCTCTGTTGCTGTAAGCCTCTCCGCAGGTTAACCTGAATTTCTTCCTCTATAAAGGCAGGACATGACCTGCTTTTCTACTTTTGGAAGCTCGGGGTCAGCCCAGTCTATGGTTTAGGCCAGTAGAGCCCTGCTGCCTTCTTGTGGCAGGAATGGAGGGAAAGACATATGGAGGCCCTAGGGCTTTCCTCGTCAGTTCCCCAGAGAACTGGGAACTAGCCCCAGGAGAGAGATTGGGCAGCCTCCGCCCACACCAGGCCCAGCCCCACTCGCAGTCAGGTCAGTGACTCCTGGGCAAGGTTCTGTTGAGTTATTCACTCCAGCGGTTCCTAAACCCAGGGAGGAATCACCTGGGTTGTCCGGTCTCATTTAGGAGAGTGGCCCAGAACTGTGCTACAGTGTGGCAACAGGACCCTTTAACAATGGCCTCAAGTGATTGTGATGTAACCAGCGCTTAGCACATGGGTTCAGACTCCTTCTACAGAGATGAGGGGATCCACCCAGTGTCCACCAGCTCTAGTCAGTGGCTAAGCTCTTTTGATCCCAAGTCAGTCTCTAATCACTTTTCATTTCTGGAACCCTCCCCTTCAGAAGCTGGAACTCCTGCTACTTGGGGACTTATCTTTCAGGTGTTCACTCCAGGCCAGGTCAGCAACAAGCAAACTTCCCAAACAGAAACTGTTGACTGTCAGGTTCTCCAGCTTGCAAAGGGCGTGTAGCACTCTGCAGACACCAACAAGGCAGCTGAGGGGCAGGTCAGAAACAGGGAGGGATCACAGGGCCATGAGCACCCAGCCGGCGACGGTGTGAAGAGGTCAGAGGGCCCCTGCACCCATCTTGGGGAGAATCCTAGGTGGGAGGCCAAGGTCATGCGATTTCAAGTTCAAGGCCAGCTTGTATACAGTGAGACCTTGTCTAAAAATGCTGGGGTAGGGGTCAGGGGAAGAAAACTCCTGAATGGAAGCTGGCTAATTCGAAGCATCATTTTTTTGAAATGTAGGGGTCCCTGACAGGTAATTTACTTCCTTCATCTCCCTTGTGTCTGATTCACAGGGTTGTTAACATTTCAAGTGAAACCGAACACTGAGTACTCCTGCTGCTTTCTTTAACCTGAGCTCACACAGCACATTCTGGATACACCTATGCTACAAAGAAAGCGGAGGGAAGTTTACAGAGATCAACAGAGGAGGGGAAATAATGTGTGTCATTATTTTCATTTCTTGAAAAGACAGGCTCTCGATGCGCAGCCACTAACATCTGTCATTCTTGCCTTGGCCTCCCACCTGCTGGGACGGCAGGCACCTGTCACCACACCCAGCAGGAAGTTCTCCTTAGAGTGTCCCTCTCAAAAGCTATCAAAGTTCAACAGGGGTGTGTCTGTTTCCTCACTTTCTTCTTCTTTTTTTCTGAGATAGTGTTTTTCTCTATGTAGCCCTTGCTGGCCTCAAACTCAGAGATCCACCTGCCTCTGCCTCCCGAGTTCTGGGATTAAAGCCACATACCACTGCCTGAGTAGGTGTATCTGTTTTCTTACCATTAGTTCTTGGGAGCTGGTCAGGGTCCATTCACCCATCTCTGGTCTTTCTCTTAAGGTAACATTATCCCCACGCTATGGCGGGATATATTTTTGAGAGATTAACTTGTATTTTTCTTTACTTCAGACTGAAGAACTGATGCTTTTTGTGGGGTTAAGCAGAAGCATGAAGTCAGTTGCTTTTAAAGTTTTTATTTGTGCATTTTTTATGCATGAGTGTTCCGTTTGCAAATACATCTACATGCCAGAAGAGGGCATCAGATCCCATCATAGATGGTTGTGAGTCATCATGTGGTTGCTGGCAATTGAACTCAGGACCTCTGGAAGAGCAGCCAGTGCTCTTAACTGCTGACTGAGCCATCTCTCCAGCCATCAGTTGCTTTTTTAAAAGCCAGAGCTGACTAAGAGTGACATGCCAAAGGAGGGGAGGTAAAGAATGTTTTTAACGTCAAGAGGAAGGTGGGAGGATATCGAGGTCCTTTTAGGGGACAGAAACGAACTCAGACTGGCTAAGGGAGGTGGTAGTGATGAGACTTATTTGTGTAAGTAACACACAGTTCAGACAGTTCTGGTTTTGGCTACTATGATGCTAACAAAACTGTCTTCGTGGCTCAGCTCCCCTTCTTTTGTGATGGCTCAATTGTCACCCCTTCTTTTGTGATGGCTCAATTGTCACCCCTTCTTTTGTGATGGCTCAATTCTCAGGCAGGATCCTCAGGTGTAGCCGGATAATATGGACACAGTGGTACCAATTTCTCCCCCAGCAACTTATCAATAGTGGAAGAGCTTTCTTCCCAGGAGTTCCAGCTAAGTCCTAAGCTTGGCTCCTTGGTCACATGCCATCATGCTTCCTGAGCCAATCATACGACTGACTGTACTGTTGAAGTGGCTGCAGTCCAGCTCTGCAGCCAGGAGGGATTAACCATGAAGTCACATGGCCTGATGAAAGACAGTTTTCCAACAGTTTTGCTTTTTCCTTTTGTGAGTGTGGTTGCCACATGCACACATGGATGCGCAGAGGCCAGACGAGGGCGTCGTGTCTTCCTCTATCATCCTCCACTTTCTTCCTTTAAGGTAAGGTCTGCTCTTGAACCCAAACCTCACGTGTTTTGGCCAGGCTGGCAGTCCTCCTGTCCGTCCCTCACGGCGCTAGGGTTTATAGGCATGCACGGCAGCACACTTGGCTTGTCTCGTGGGGACTGAGAACTGGGCTCAGGTCCTCACGGTTGCACAACTGTGCTCTTAACGAGAGCCAACTCTTCCCTCTTTGTTCTTCCGCCTTTTAACTGTGAGTGAGAGGCTCAAATGTCTCTCAGGGAAGCCAACGGGCAGAGGAAATTCTCCAGAAGACAGACACCAAGAAACAGAATATGAAAACTGGAAGGGGGAGAGGCCTGCTTCATGCTTCGTAGCAACACCTGGTGAGATGGGAAGACCTAAGAGATGAGTCCTCCGGTGTACCAGGGACAGTCCCAGAGGCATGGCACAAGAAAGCCACTGGCATGGGACAACTGAAGTTCCATCAGTGATGTGTGGACAGATGACAAACAGTTCAGAGAGCCATGGATGTATGCACGATTTGTTTAACTGAGAAACTAATACACTTCCCACCTCTAGGGAAGAAGTATGGTTAATTTTTAAGTGCCCTTGAAGGAGAATGGGGAGCGACCTGTTCGGAGATATTTTCCTGGGGGTTCAAATTCTGAAAAAGCACTAGAAACCAATGGGTAGTCTTATTTAGTTTCACCAATTAGGGATGTCAGCACTGTACAATACCACTGAATAATGACTGCAAAGAGAAGCCTTGACAAGAAATACTGAGATACTAAAGACAATTTGAGCATATTATTCCATTTTTGTGTTGGAACAAAGTAGACAATATTCACCAGGTGCTCTTAGTAGGGAGGGAGCTGCTTTTAAACAGGGGCCAGCTTTTGTGGTTCTCTGCATTCTGCATCTACAAACAAACCATAGATTTAGCTTCCAGGGCTAGAGCCCAGGAAATCATGCAAACTGGGACAAGCTATTTTTATTTCCTTTAGACTAGCCAAACTGGCAATGTGAGACAGCAGGAGTCCCAAATCCAAAGTCAGGGACCGTGGATTTGAAACCCAGATTTATACCAATTACTACTTATAGAGCTTGGACAACTTCCATTGTTCTGACCCCCAGTTTCCAGCCTAAGAGTCCCTCCTCTTATTGCACAGGAAGGGGGTAAAGATGACATGGAAAAGCACAGACTACACGATTTAATGTCAACTTTCTTTCCCTAAACATACGGGGTGCCATTATTCAATTCCAGCACTCTGCAAAATATAAACTGCCTTAACAGACCAGAGACTGTAAAGTTATATTGATATTTGGTAAACTGTTTTGTAATTGGAATTTATAGCAGCATTCTTTAAAGAGCAAAAAAATTAATCAAAAAGCCCCAACCCCCCCCCCCCCCCAACAACAAAAAAAAACCTCACCAAATCCCTCAATGGAGAAATCACCTATATACGGAAATGACGTATGTACACAGTTATTATTTATAAGATGGAATGTCACCTAGAAAAGTCATGGCATATGTGTGTATATGTGTATGTTTGTGCAAAATATTACCTCTTTTTCTGGGAGTAACATCTTTAATTCCAGTATTTTGGAGGCTCAGTTGGAGGACAGCCAGAGAGCTATACAGAGAAACCCTGTCTCAAAAAAACCAAAACAACAACCAACCCTCCCCCCCCCAAAAAAAAACCCCAAACCAACAAAAAAACAAACCCCAAACAAAAACAAATCACCTCTTGTCAAGCTAGACACCTGTAAAATGCCTGTTGGAATACCTAATACATCACGAGGCTCTACTTTTTACAACAGGGAATGTACTTGTGAAAAGAAAATCCCTTGATCTTAGTTGAGGAGTCACTGGCAACTGATGGCTGTGGAGGATGGGTAGCAGTTTTCATCAAGGGTGTGGTTTGCTGGTAGGCTACCCTTATGACCCAGGCAGCAGTGACTGGACTTGACAGGCTAGAAGGACAATTTACAGAGATGTGAAGTTGGGAGGGGCACACAGTGGGCTCTGGAAGAGTGGGAGGAATTAGGAGGGGTGGTAAGATCAATATATACTGTGTATATGGAAGAAACGATCTGAGAATAACTATTTAAAAATAAACTTTACTAAAAGAAAAAAAAATACCCAATAAGCTATTAACAATGGTTCGCAGGAAGGTAGGTTAAGAGTGGACACTTATGTTCAATACTCCTGGGCTTTAAAAAAAAGTATTATTTATGTAAATGTGTGTGCCTGTGAGTATGCGTGTGTAGTATGCACAGTGCCCATGAAAGCCAGGAGAGGGCATCAGATTTGGAGCTGAAGTTACAGGTGGTTACCTGATGTGGGTGCTGTGGACCAAAAGGTCCCCTGCAAAAGCAGTCAGTGCTCTTAACCACTGAGCCATCTCTCCAGCCCCTTGGGCTGTTTTGTTAAACACACACGCGCACACACACACACACACACACACAGTTGTCTAAAAAAAATCCTTTTATGTCAGCTTAGACTTTGTGAAAACTGCCCTTATAACAGCACTTGGAGCAGAGGCTGCTGATGTACCCAGCAGTGGTGGTAGAACGGCCAGCCTGAGGTGGCCTTCCAACCAGTGAGTCCATCTTGCTAGTCACTAATCACGTTCATAAGTCAAGTATGTAGGAGGTGAGCAGATCAAACCTTTAGATGTGCAGAGTAACTTTTACCACAGGACAGGTATGGATGACCCAAAAGATCTTTGGTTCTTCAACTGCATTTCAACAACAGTAACAAACAAACAAACAAACAAACAAACAAAAACCCCAAGGCAATGTAAGAGGAAAGAGTTGCTTTAATGGGCCAAAAAAATCAGTCTTATACAACTAATACTAAATATTTAAGCAATGTGAAGAAGTGCCACAGAAAGGGGCACATTATGTATTTTAGTAGAAAACTGGCCAATGTCTTGGAGTATCAATAACTGTACTGTTATTTTTCTGTTGCTCTGATAAAACATAATGACTAAAGCAACTTGCAGAAGGAAGGGTTTTGTTTGGCTTACGGTTTCCGAGGGGTAAGAGTCAGTGCTGGCGGGCAAGTGTGGCAGTAAGCAGCAGGCATGGCAGCTGCAGGAGCTGAAGGCTCACCTCAACTGCAACCGTGGAGCAGAGACCTGGGAATGGCATGCGGCTTTGAAATCTCAAAGCCCATCCTGCAGTGACAAACTTCCTCCATGAGGCCACACCTCTTCTTCAACTTCCCAAACAGCTACCAACTGGGGACTAAGCATTCCAACAACATCCAAGGCTATGGGGGACATTCTCATTCAAATCACAACTATTCTTGACTAAAGGTAAGCTAAGAGTGGAAATGGAAGAGCGGGGGACTCCCTCACATACAATGCTAACAAACAAAATCAACCAAGAGGCAAGTCTCTGTGTGAACGTGTGAAAGCTACAAGACTGGTTTGCTTGTGTTGAGACAGGCTGGCCTCAAACTTCCCATGTAGTTGAGGATGACCTTGAACTTGTGGTCCTCCTGGCTCTACTTCCTGAGCACTAGAATTACAGGCAAGTACCACAATACCTGGTTTATTCAGTGCTGGGGGATTGAACTCATGGCCTGGGAGAGCTACATCCCTAGAAATAAACATTTAAAATAAAAGCTTATTAAAAGTAATAGAAGCCTCTTTAGTTTCTTTAGTAGACAATTTATTTTGATAAACTTGCTCAATAACAAAAATACAAGTGAAGAAAATTATGTTCACTTTATACAGTCGTATTAACAATTTGTTTTGAAACTATTAATTGAAAAATGTTATAACCAATTAGAAAACAATTCTTAATAAAGTTGGGATAATATACAGACCTTGACCACAAACTAAAACCTCTCAAGGCAATACAACTAAAATCTCCGTGTAGGTAATTCTACACAGACCATCTTTTTCCTTCATATAATTTTATCCTTCAAAAATTTTCTGAAAGACAGCTTACTGTTTTGACTTGTGAGTGAAAATTTAATTTTTAAAAGAAGATCAAAGTGGGTTGATATAGCAGTTACTATAACCAGAGTAACTGGTGACTAGTAGTCTTTTAATAAAGACAAAATTAAATGCAGCATGTTCTTCTAACGAAGTCCATGATGCAAAACTCATAGCTAAGAACAGATCCAAAGTTAGTTTTCCACACTTTGTTCAGGACCTCTCCTCTAAATCAAGAGATTGCCTATCACCAGGACTATATGTTACTTCACTGAAGAGATTAAACAGTGAACTCACAGAACACCACACAGAGAAATCAAAGCTTTAGGCAAAAGGGTAAAAAACCAATGTGTTTTGGTCATCTAGAACATTGCAAAGGGGGAAAAAAAGGGCATCCTTCAAAAACAAAACAGATGGAACAGAACACAGGTTTGTGAGAGATGGGAGAGTCAGAAACATCACACCCACACACCAACAACACAGAACATGGGTTACCTTTGGAAAGCACTGTACTGAAATGTTGGCTTTTAATGAATTGAAGATTTTTATCTTTACAGATGTTTAGGCTTGTTCAATAGGAGCTTCCCCAAAACTCAAACTAATTCAGTCTTGTGCAAATAAAACCTAAAAATAGTTTTCAGCAGATTTTACAGTGATATTCTTAGGCATGAGAAGAACGTACACTCTAAGAACAATGTAACAGACAAAAATTTGACAAATGATTGCACCATAAAAGTGTTTTATATACATTTTACAAGATATGATTCCTGCTATAAATTAATACTGTGCTATGTAGTACTCATAGTGACCTTTTAAAAGCAGCTGCTGGCAGCTGGGTGTCCTTCCACTTACAGGACAGATAATACGGATGAGTCCACTCCAACAACATTTGGTCTGGGAGAGTTTACGAAGACGGGACTCCACACACTACTGGATGGGATGCTCTTAATCCTGGGGTAGAGAGCGCTGAGTGGCTGGAGGGACTTCCCCCCCATCAGCTCTTCATGCACTGCTCCTCCAAGACAATGAGGAAATTAGAGACAATGTACTGGTTTGGGTAATAGATACAAATAAAGCCTAGACTGCTGTAATCTTTTACGCACTACCACTCAAGTGAGAGAAGTAAACAGGGGATTCATAGCAGCTGAGAAACTTTCTCTCCCCATGCTCATGATCCAGTTCAAAAGATCTTGAGAAACTATTTACAATAATATCCATCCTTTGAAAGAGAAAAGCTCTTGGTCATGTCTGTGAATTTGAACTATACTTTGCTAATACTTCATATCAGTGGTATAATGCCAACTAACAAAACTTTCCTTCAACATGACCCATTTGACTGAGGAACAGTCAGAGCTCAATCCCGATGTCCACAGAATATGTCTAGTGGTGGCCTTAGAACTGACTGGATATAATACTTGGTGGAAAATGTC